TTGACAAAAGGAAATTGTATTTCATGAAATTAATTGATGATGTCATGTTTTTTTAAGTACTGCAGTTTCAGAACAGTTTGAGATATTGAAGTAAAACAACGTTTATATGATTCCCAATAAATTAAGCAATGTCAAAAACTTTCAAAATAGATATTTTTCATAAATTATCCTATAACCACCTTTTATTATCATGCCTATTTCAGTGCGGCCTGCCTAACCATTTTGATACATTGATCAAGAATGGTTTAAGTACGTACGTATTTACAAATCAAGCAATAAAAATATCAATATGAAAAGATAAGCTTTAATCAAAATAAGATACAGTACACATAAACTAAAATATTGTAGTTCCCCAACATGAAATTGTATGAAATTCAAGGGGTGGAGTAGAGAAATTGTTCACAAAACAAAATTAAGTGCTTGGCCCGATATTTATTGGAAAACAAAAAAGAAGTTTTTTCTCTTTCTTTATTTAAAGTTTTCGGCTAGTCCGTATGACTTACACAAAGCAAACATTTGGTTGTGAGCATGATAAGGCGTTGCCAAGTAGTTGTCCTTAGCAATGGTCAGACAATCAAACTTGCATGGTCCTTAGCAATGGTCAGACAATCAACTTGCAAATATAATTAGGTTTGTGGATATTTGGAAAACAACTTAATACAAAACTAATGCAACATCAGTAAAAACGAGGTTAAATTTGACCTTTAATCTTATTGATTAAACATGCAATTTAAAATATTCACACTAAAACATTTGATGCTTATTAAAAGTTCAGCATTATAATACGAAGGAAATTTGAGCCGATTCACGACAAAACCAACACAGTGCGTTTGCGAGCAGCATGGATACAGACTAGCCGGCGCATCCGCGCAGTCTGATCAGGATCCTTGCTGTTCGCTATCAGTTTCTCTACTTGTAATAGGTTTGTAGGCGAACAACATCGATCCTGATCAGACTGCACGGATGCGCAGGCTTGGTCTGGATCCATGCTGGTCGCTAACACATTACGTTGGTTTTGTCGTGACGCGGCTCATATGAAGATGATATAAGTTTTCAACAACGAAACAATCAATACGTAGCTATTTAAATACATGTACAACTTATTTGTATAATATTCTCTTTTTACTTAAACATTCTCTGAACAAATTCCGTATTCGAGAGATGTTAACAGCGGGGTCGGTGACATTCCACCATAACACTTTATGATAGATTTCTTCTATTTTTAACAACCTTCTACATTTCCCACTGTTTTTAAACGTATAATTATGATAATATTATATTTTTATATTACGTTTTTTATAGTGGTTTTACAACATCCTCGAGTCGTTAGGGGGTTGCCATAACAGTAATACATATCATTAATGCTGGATTTCTTTGCGACAATGTGACAGTCGGGCACCAGTTCTGACCTCGTTATTTTTAGGCCAGATGTCCACGTAGCCGTCATCTGGCTGCTTAGTTGGTGTGCGACTATCCCGTTTAGTTCAATGTGAAGTATTTCATGCAAAAGACCTCGTAGTTCCTTAATCTTCCAGCGTTCTTTTTATTGCAATCGGACCATCGGATAGCATTTCAGTAAAAACTTCATCAAAATGAAATAATAAAAAAAATTTGGATAAACAAAATTGTTTTTCCTCAAAGACCAGTAGATTTTGTCAACAGTTCCGAAAGAATATACTGTATACAAGTTATGTTCTTGAGATTTTAGATCTGACAGATAATCTATTTGTCTGTATTTCTTTATATGGAATCAGAGAATTGCTGTGACTTGCGTAACTGTTTCACTAGAGATAAGTTGAATAAATCTTCAACACTAAGCCGACCATTCTAGTGTATAATTTTTGACAAAAGGAAATTGTATTTCATGAAATTAATTGATGATGACATGGTTTTTTTTAAGTACTGCAGTTTCAGAACAGTTTGAGATATTGAAGTAAAACAACGTTTATATGATTCCCAATAAATTAAGCAATGTCAAAAACTTTCAAAATAGATATTTTTCATAAATTATCCTATAACCACCTTTTATTATCATGCTTATTTCAGTGCGGCCTGCCTAACCATTTTGATACATTGATCAAGAATGGTTTAAGTACGTACGTATTTACAAATCAAGCAATAAAAATATCAATATGAAAAGATAAGCTTTAATCAAAATAAGATACAGTACACATAAACTAAACTATTGTAGTTCCCCAACATGAAATTGTATGAAATTCAAGGGGTGGAGTAGAGAAATTGTTCACAAAACAAAATTAAGTGCTTGGCCCCGATATTTATTGGAAAACAAAAAAGAAGTTTTTTTCTCTTCTTTATTTAAAGTTTTCGGCTAGTCCGTATGACTTACACAAAGCAAACATTTGGTTGTGAGCATGATAAGGCGTTGCCAAGTAGTTGTCCTTAGCAATGGTCAGACAATCAACTTGCATGGTCCTTAGCAATGGTCAGACAATCAACTTGCAAATATAATTAGGTTTGTGGATATTTGGAAAACAACTTATACAAAACTAATGCAACATCAGTAAAAACGAGGTTAAATTTGACCTTTAATCTTATTGATTAAACATGCAATTTAAAATATTCACACTAAAACATTTGATGCTTATTAAAAGTTCAGCATTATAATACGAAGGAAATTTGAGCCGATTCACGACAAAACCAACACAGTGCGTTTGCGAGCAGCATGGATACAGACTAGCCGGCGCATCCGCGCAGTCTGATCAGGATCCTTGCTGTTCGCTATCAGTTTCTCTACTTGTAATAGGGTTTGTAGGCGAACAACATCGATCCTGATCAGACTGCACGGATGCGCAGGCTGGTCTGGATCCATGCTGGTCGCTAACACATTACGTTGGTTTTGTCGTGACGCGGCTCATATGAAGATGATATAAGTTTTCAACAAAAAAACAATCAATACGTAGCTATTTAAATACATGTACAACTTATTTGTATAAATATTCTCTTTTTACTTAAACATTCTCTGAACAAATTCCGTATTCGAGAGATGTTAACAGCGGGGTCGGTGACATTCCACCATAACACTTTATGATAGATTTCTTCTATTTTTAACAACCTTCTACATTTCCCACTGTTTTTAAACGTATAATTATGATAATATTATATTTTTATATTACGTTTTTTTATAGTGGTTTTACAACATCCTCGAGTCGTTAGGGGGTTGCCATAACAGTAATACATATCATTAATGCTGGATTTCTTTGCGACAATGTGACAGTCGGGCACCAGTTCTGACCTCGTTATTTTTAGGCCAGATGTCCACGTAGCCGTCATCTGGCTGCTTTGTTGGTGTGCGACTATCCCGTTTAGTTCAATGTGAAGTATTTCATGCAAAAGACCTCGTAGTTCCTTAATCTTCCAGCGTTCTTTTTATTGCAATCGGACCATCGGATAGCATTTCATTAAAAACTTCATCAAAATGAAATAATAAAAAATTTGGATAAACAAAATTGTTTTTCCTCAAAGACCAGTAGATTTTGTCAACAGTTCCGAAAGAATATACTTTAATACACTTGTTACTATATATAGTAACAAAATTGTCTATGATTTCAACTGATTATGAGTGTCACGTGACCTATTATGAGTTTGCGGCCCGGGGCCGAGAACTAGTTATCAGCCCGCAGAACATGTGCACGTGCACAAACTGAAACAATGACGTCATATTTTACGTCATCAAACAGTTAACTGTAAAAGTGAAAGTAGGTTGTCAGCACGAATCGCTTTATTTTTATTATGAGAGCTTAAGCGTATTTAGTACAAACACATTTTTGTTACTATTGAAATTTAAAGAATTAATACGACAAATTCATTCCGAAAAAAAATGAAAATAAAACTTGCTTCTTGATTCTACTGCTTTGAACACACAAACAGTAAACATCTCTGTACAGTACAGAACAGTAGAAGAGAAGACAAGAATTTCAAGGAAAGAACTTCAAAGTCTATTAAATTTTGTTTTGATTTTTTTTTTTAAATGCTACTATTAGATCTACCAAGTGTATTAAAGACATTAATACACGTCAGCGTAGGGCCGGAAGGTGATAATCGGTCCTGAATGAATAATGACCCTCGGGCTAAAGCCCTCGGGTCCATTATTCATTTTGCGGGCCGATTATCACCTTCCGGCCCTCTCCTGTCGTGTATTAACCTCTTAGTATACAATTTATGTTCTTGAGATTTTAGATCTGACAGATAATCTATTTGTCTGTATTTCTTTATATGGAATCAGAGAATTGCTGTGACTTGCGTAACTGTTTCACTAGAGATAAGTTGAATAAATCTTCAACACTAAGCAGACCATTCTAGTGTATAATTTTTGACAAAAGGAAATTGTATTTCATGAAATTAATTGATGATGACATGGTTTTTTTTAAGTACTGCAGTTTCAGAACAGTTTGAGATATTGAAGTAAAACAACGTTTATATGATCCCCAATAAATTAAGCAATGTCAAAAACTTTCAAAATAGATATTTTTCATAAATTATCCTATAACCACCTTTTATTATCATGCTTATTTCAGTGCGGCCTGCCTAACCATTTTGATACATTGATCAAGAATGGTTTAAGTACGTACGTATTTACAAATCAAGCAATAAAAATATCAATATGAAAAGATAAGCTTTAATCAAAATAAGATACGGTACACATAAACTAAAATATTGTAGTTCCCCAACATGAAAATGTATGAAATTCAAGGGGTGGAGTAGAGAAATTGTTCACAAAACAAAATTAAGTTTTTTTTCTTCTTTATTTACAGTTGTCGGTTAGTCCGTATGACTTATACACAGCAAACATTAGGTTGTGAGCATGATAAGGCGTTGCCAAGTAGTTGTCCTTAGCAATGGTCAGAAAATAAACTTGCATGGTCCTTAGCAATGGTCAGACAATCAACTTGCAAATATAATTAGACAATTTTGTGGATATTTGGAAAACAACTTTAATACAATTAACTAATGCAACATCAGTAAAAACGAGGTTAAAATTTGACCTTTAATCTTATTGATTAAACATGCAATTTAAAATATTCTCACTGAAACATTTGATGCTTATTAAAAGTTCAGCATTATAATACGAAGGAAATTTGAGCCGATTCACGACAAAACCAACACAGTGCGTTTGCGAGCAGCATGGATACAGACTAGCCGGCGCATCCGCGCAGTCTGATCAGGATCCTTGCTGTTCGCTATCAGTTTCTCTACTTGTAATAGGGTTTGTGGATCCTGATCAGACTGCGCGGATGCGCAGGCTGGTCTGTATCCATGCTGGTCGCAAACGCACTATGTTGGTTTTGTCGTGACGCGGCTCATTTATCTCTATAGCAGCTATGATGGCATGAAACAGTAGCATTTTATCTCTATTCAGCTCATTTTGTTATTTCTGCATTGCTTCATTTCAATGTTATAATATATGGTGTCCAACACTCTTGCACTCGAAATAATTTTGTCCAGACTTCATATTTCTTGATAATTAATAATCATGTTCATGTCATATGTTTGATATATTCACAAGATTTAAAATAAAAATGTTTCTAAGATAAATGCGAGGTCTCAATAAGACAATGTTTGTTTTTTGTTTTTGTTTTTTTTTTAAAGCAACTACAACTCGCTGTTTGTGCTGTACGTCTGTCGCTTTAAAATTATTTTAAGTGTTTCGGGAGAGAAGAGCTAGTCTAACATTTTTGTCTGTGCCGATGTCATTGAACATTAAATACAGATAAAGAACGAAATCGATGAATAATAATAAAATTCGACATCGAAAACAAAGTTTGTATGGTTCCGTCCTTGCAATCTAGTCTTAAAAGTTTATACACGGAGTCGTAAAATTAACCACTCTGTTGATAATTTTATTGAAAAAAAAAAGAACATATATTTATATAGATGTTAAGGTTATTTAAATGTGTACAGATTGATTGTTGCTCATGGTTATTTATTCTATCTTCATTTGACACATCATGACACATAGTCTGATCAATTTTAACCTGGGAATATCATCTTAGAATTAATGGAGAACTAACATTTGATATCTAAATGAGTTCATTTACTAACACGAGCGCCGTTATAATAAACACTGTATGTTGAATGTTTTGTGTACATCTTGATCCACTATCTTGAATACCTGAAAAAATGTAATTAACCCAAATGTAAAAATAACACAAAAGTATGAAACATAAATAAATTTCATTAAATAATCTAACGTAATTTACAGAACAGTTCTTTCAGAATGGCATCAATTTTCTAATTGTTTTGTTGAATACGTGTTTTTTTGCTCCTCCAATTGATAAAGCATCGTCTGATAAAGAATAAATATACTTAAGTGCCAAAGTTAAAAGTTTTTGAACAGAGAAAACATTTTTATTTTATTTTGATCAATATTCAAAAATACCTTCTATTAAAAAGTAATATGTATTCAAATACAGCAAAAAAAATCAATTTATAATAAAGACACACTGAATGGAATATAAAGTGTTATACCATAAGAGATCCGTTCGTTGCTTTCTACTGGGAATTCTTTCGAAAAATCTGAAATAAAGCCGAGATGAAAAACGGGTTGCGCAATCTGAATCTTTACTGTTTGTAGTTTTGATATTGAAGTCCCTGTAACATTGAATAAACTGTTCCAAATTCAAACCTGTACAATCCATTACAAAAATTCAACTTGTTAATGGTTAAAAGTTTTAAAAGGATTTGAAATATTTGAATATATTATGGCTTAAAAACGAAACAAACTGTTAAATAAGTATATACGGATTCCATGGACGACAGCCTACTGCACACTGCCAACTGCTTACTGACAGTTTAATTCTCAATCGGAACTGCCTCCGCTAGTATCTTTAATGTCTTTATCGGAAGTCTGACGGAAAGGGCCGAGTAGTTGCGATTGTTTAATTCTATGTACTAGTATATGGATTAATCACGAAGTATTCCGAATGTACACGCAAAATCTGCTGAATTAAATTTTACGGAACATAATTGAAAGTAAGTTAAAAAGGAATATTCTATAATAAAGCCGAATTATTTGTATTTATTTTTGACTTGTCTACGCCCCATCCTTGCACACTGCTTCGGTTATGTTATGAAATGGTTCTACGTGCCTCAGTACACTTTCAACTTAATAATAAAAAATATGGGCCAAGGAAATAACTCCATATATGGAGACATCGTGTGACAGTTTAGAGCTTTAATTATATCACAGGAGACAGTTTTAAGTTATCTTTTGATAGTTAACTTTTATTGTTTCATGTATATCACTTGGTGTTCCAGATTACGAGACATCAGTATAATATCATAACAAAAATATTATTAAGTACAGAACTTTAATCATAATTCTGCTTTTATCAAGTTTTCTCATTCAGAGGCTCTTTCATACCACAATGTGTATTTTTGTGTTAATTCTTAAATATGATATTAAAAGAGTATTGTTCTTTGAAGACATTGGCACGTAAATGGGCACCTTTAAAATTTCGAACAACATTCTATTTTACAATTTTGCTATATAATTTATACATCATGTTTTTTTCCGACTAAATGATCAATCTACAGCAGATAATAATGAGGCAAAGTACTGCAATCATTAGTCAGGATCATTTAAATGTTCAAAAATGAAAACATTAGCAAAAATACAGGAATTTTTAATTCGGGTTTTCTTGCAGTTTATAAATTGTTTTCTCCGTAACAAGGCAAATATTTTTATACATACGGAATATTTACAGGCGTCTCATAATTTTTATTTTGAATAAATAAATAAATAAATAAATAAATAAATAAATAAATAAATAAATAAATAAAAAATAAATAATAAATAAATATATGTTTGTTCTCATTAGCTTAGAGGTCTCATTATTGTGACCAAGCTTATTTTCATGTGGTGCTAAAATCACTAAGTGTAATTTGTTTCGTTTTAATTGTAAATAAAAGAGTTCTATAAATAAATATCATAATTTTCTTGTAATTTTGTTTATGTTTGATTTATGTTTGATTAATATTCAACAGTGTCCATATTTTAAAAAAATGTCTATAATTTCATCAATTTTAAATCCATGACATCGCTAAGAGTAATTATTAGGGAGATGAAGGTTTTGTAATATTATCAGTTCCAGAATTTTATTTTGAAAATACATCCGAGGATCCAATTTCGGGCAAGTTCACTGACTATAGGTTGTACACCCCTAATGCACTGTCTCCACGAAGTAACTAAATCAAAGCACAGAAGGCGCTGAATTTGTTTGGGTCTCAGAATGTCAGAAAGGTGAAGGTTGTGAGATTATAAACCAATTTGTTTTTGTATAGTGCCACCTGTGCTTTCCAGTGTTTTAACTGTAGTAAATTGGCTAATTGCAACACTGATTCAATGTTTATTTGTCTTTAAAAAAAATTTAAAAATGAGTGGCCTCAACTAGGATTTGAACTCGAGACCTCTCGCTTCATAAGCGAGCGTGCAAACCCCCCGGCCATATGAAGTTATATGTTAACGGTCTGAAGAAAACCATATTATTCTAAATTAGGGTTTGTAACTTATTTTTTCGACGCTAAACACAGATGTAAATAATCATGTAGCATACTACTAAAGCATGAAATATCTATAAAAAATGAAACAATATTAGAAATCTTCGACCATTCGGGAACTACTTTGCTTGAATATTATTTTTTGACAATCTTTACGCATTGATCTCCCCTGAAAAGTTCGGCTTTGTGTTACATATAAAAGGGAAGTAACCGCTTCAAAAAAGATGGCTTACTTTTAGGCATATTTGCAATTAACAGCATTAGGCTCTGAAAATTTCGCTACAAATTATTTTGTTTGGGTCTGACGAAACCCAAACAAATAAAACTTAAAGATAAACAGTTGTGACAAAAACGAGAATTTATATTTTTGTCGTTAATTTCGTTCCCCGTTACAACCGCGACAGAACGAAATAACGACATGCAGAAAATCAGTTCACCATAATTTCAAAGTCTTGGAGATATATCTATATATTTTTGAGCAACCATGTCCTAGTATATTTTTTGAACAAAACTTTACTTTTTAGCATTACATTGTACATGTATTTTCAAAACGCTAACTTAAAATTGACCGTGGTAATTGGAATGTACAGACAGCGACGTTCATGGCATAATAAGGCCTCCGGCCTAAAGTCTAAAGTTATAAAGAATCATAATCATTTAAGGAATAAATTTATAATATGCATGTTATATGGAAAATGTATTAAGATAAGTGTCGTTTGTAAACAGAGATATATTTGTCAGTTTTAATTAATTATTTATTGATAGCTAAAAATTAGAGAACAAGATTTAACAAGAAAAAGGTAATATTTGGTTTGATAGCAATTTTATAAAGTTTACAGGTCAATGATTTTGGAAAGTTCCCGATGCCAGGCCGATGCTTGCAAAGATTTAGTAACACGAGAATTATACATGTATAAATGTAACGCATTCCGTGATATTATTGGTCAAAGTCTTCATCTATGATACAGAATAATTCTTTGAACAACACTGTTTAAAAAGGTCCCTCATTCTAACATATAAACACATTGGAAGAAGGATATAAAATGCTGAGATTTACTTTTAGGCATTTAATCGGGTATTTTGCATTAAGCAGTTAACAGTAAGCATTAAGCAGTCGATTGTAAGCATTAAGCAGCCGATTGTAAGCATTAATCTGTCGACTGTAAGCATTAAGTAGTAGACTGTAAGCATTAAGTAGTAGACTGTCGTTTATAGAATTCCGTAAGAATATGACAATTCTATTTCGCTGTATAGCACCAGTATGTAAGTTTTGTACTGCAACGCTGAAAGTATGTTGAAAGTTGTTATTAAATGATGCATTTACCATATACAAGCACTGAATCAAAATCTTCGCCGAATGAATTATTGGCATGGCATGAATAGTTTCCAAACTGACAGTCTCGAATTTTCAGTAACCGCAAACGAAATGTTGTCGTATACCCATCTAGATTCTTCTCAACCTAGAATACAGTGAAAATGAATAACGCGTATGTCCATAAACATGGATAATAGCAATAGAAACTGAAATATATTGATCATGTTGAAAAAAGTCAGTTATTATTAAAGCTAGTGCTCTGAATGTGTGTTGAAACAGATCACTTATTACTGACGCTACTGCTGTGTGTTGAAAAACGTCAGTTAATTAAGAGCTCTAACCGTTAACGTTTAAGCTTGTGCTCTTAGTGCTAACAAAGGTATGTAATCATTTACGCTATAGTGCTTTCAGTGCTAACAAAGGTATGTAATCATTAACGCTATAGTGCTTTCAGTGCTAACAAAGGTATGTAATCATTTACGCTATAGTGCTCTCAGTGCTAACAAAGGTATGTAATCATTTACGCTATAGTGCTTTCAGTGCTAACAAAGGTATGTAATCATTTACGCTATAGTGCTTTCAGTGCTAACAAAGGTATGTAATCATTTACGCTATAGTGCTCTTAGTGTAAACAAAGGTATGTAATCATTTACACTATAGTGCTCTCAGTGCTTACAAATGTATGTAATCATTTACGCTATAGTGCTTTCAGTGCTAACAAAGGTATGTAATCAATTACGCTATAGTGCTTTCAGTGTTAACAAAGGTATGTAATCATTTACGCTATACAATAGTAGTGCTTTAAGTGATGACAATTAAATGTTTGTGTATTTTAACTCTAGTGCTCTTTGTAATGACAAATGTCTGTTATCAGTGACTTAAGTTCTCTAAGTGTATAAAATGTCCGTTATGCCCCGTGTTCAAGTGATCCTGATTTTATTTTCAATGTTTTATGTTACTAAAATTAATTTATTTTGCTAGAATTAAATTGTATATATTCAAAAATGTAAGATATTGCTGATTTGCAAAGAAACCAACCAAATTTTGGACAAAATCAACACATAACAAAACAAATACAAAAATATTGGGATCAAAATACGGATCAATTTTAGGATCAGGATCAATATTTTGATCAACTGAAAAATGCCTGTATTTTGCAAAAAATTTATAAAGTTTATTCTAAAATTTCATAAACTTGCTATTGCAAGTCATGTTTTATCAATTTAATATAAGATATTTAATCTATGAGGAGAAACAACGAAGAATACTTGTATTTTTAAATTTGATCCTGATCTTGATCCTGATCCTGTGTGAACTTTGTGAACACGGGGTCAATGTTCTATGTGTTCTATGTGTTTAGAAATATCTGATTTCAGTGACGCCAGTGTTCTATGTGTTTACAATTGTCGGTCATTTTTGTGCGATCGATTTTTGTAAACAAGACAGTTCCATCTTGAATAAATGTATATTTCAAAAAGGACAACACTACCTTGAATGTGTTCTTGTCCAGAGACTGTAATGCTTCATTGTCTTTTTGCCAATACATGTTAGTAGGTGTTCTTGTAAAAATCTCACATTCCAATATGACGTCACTTCCTTTAATCTGACCAATCATTTTAGCAAGCAATGATACTTTCGGAGCTTCAGTAAGAGTGAGATGATCTGATATTATAAAATGTTACATATTGTTTTATGTTCATGATAATACAAACATGTAACTTAAATATCACAAGCTTGTTCCCTTTTACGTAATATTTTTTGCAAGAAAAAGTAATAACATTTGATTGTGGAAATAAAAGTAAACAACGTAATCACATTAAAATCTACTGCAAATGCATCATATATTTTCTTGTTTCAAAGACATAAATTATCATTGAAATTATTGTAGTTTGTTTTAAATTTATAAGTGTTTTATAAAATTTTAAGAGTTATGTATCACAACTATACCGCCACGTTTTTCTGTACTAGTAGTGCCGTCTGTACTTGTAACAATATTTGTACGCAAATCTGGAAGAACTTCTGAAAAAGATAATTAAAGAACAAGGACAAAAATAAAAAAGAAGAAAAAACAAAACAAAGACAAAAAAAGCAACAACAAAAACAACAACAAAGAAAATAGTTCTGATAAAGTGTGAAACTGTATTTCAATGACACATTCTGTTTACAGAGAAAAGATTGAAATTAAAATGCAGTTGTATGGTTGTATTCATTGTTCCAAATGAAAACGGGAAAAAAACATCACTTATGTCAGTGAACTCTTGTCCCATAATGACTATGTTTGTATTACAGTATGAAAAGGGATACAACACTGAATTATAGTCAAACAAGTTGAATGTAGCCAAAACCATGTACATGTACTCATTTTAAAAACTCGGTTCTTCCATGCGTTTTAAGCAGGACCAATTTCAAGACAGTGTGTCAGAAAATTCTTCCAGAAATTCAAATTTTATTAATAAAAGTGCCTGGTGTATTCCCGATTTACCCTGTAAAATAATAATCTAGGATCGCACTGCATTTGGACAACATACTCGACCGACACAAAAGTAAGGCTAGAGCTACTTGTGGGTGGGTAGCGGGAGAGGAAATAAACACTGTTTTATTTTAGGCATAGGACCATTTTCCGTTGGTGCCGTAAATTTCGGTTGTATACATTAATTAGAATGGTATCATATATGACACACTTACCATATAAAACAACAGTCTCACAGACCGTGCACACGGAATTTTCAGCGCAGCATTTGTACTCCCCAAACTGACTTCCCCTAACATTTTCTATCTTTAGTTTTAAAATTACTTCTGGAATATCATAATCCATTGTGTATACCTACAGAAAATATATGTAAATAAATGAAACTGACAATTTTATTTGATTCTTTATAATGTTTTACATACTAGTAATTAAACTTTAACAACAAACACCATTGTTTCGTGATAAATAAAAAAGGACTTTTAATTTTGTATTTTTATGGATTCTTATGTCAATTTTAAGACATATTTGGGCATTTCTCGCCGGTTGATCCACCTAACCGGTTTTCCTGGATAACTAACCTGTAAAATAACCAATTTTTAGCAAGTGATCGACTACTTATTCCATTCCACGTGAAATCTGAACTCAGCGTTAAAAAACAAATGAACATTAGACATTATGTCCGAAATATTATAATTGACATACCATGAGAAATCGTTCATTCCTATATTTCATATGCTCTTGTGGCGGCATGGCCGAGCGATCAACACATCGGACTAGATATCAAGGATTGCTGGCAATCTTAGTTCAAATCCCGTCAGGGACAAGACATTGTTTCCGCGAGCAAGAAACAATACACTCATTGCTTAGTTGGTTTCCAAAACGGATTCGAGATTGTTTCAATAAGCTTATAGCTTCAGACACTATCGAACTAAAATAAACTGATATAAATAAAATGCTTCTTTGTAAGGAAGTGATAATGCGTATAGCCATTTTCTCTCTGCATACAAATGATTATAATGCTTTGGTACGCCGACGACATACTTCCAGAGTTTGCGTTCTGTATTGACAATAGTCTAAACCATACATATAGCTTACACTGGATACGTACAAAGGTAACACCAAACACAGCTTTATTTGCCTTAAATTATTACGTTATAGTATTCCCTGGTGAAGAATTCTAAAGTAACATTATCCTTCAGCCAGTATACATCTTCCTGAGCGGCCTCGGTGACTTCGCATTCTAGTACAACATCATGCCCTAGATACTGTCCAATACGCCGTGCCATAGGTGTAATTCTTGGTATTGCTGTAAAAATATAGTCATAACTATCAGTCACGTGGTTTGTTCCCGGAACAGAATACTTTAGTACTTAAACAGGTTTTATGGCTATTTGAACAGGTTTTTTTACCATTAAAGGGTGTTAAAATAAACTGATCTGCTGCAGATTAGTTACAATAAATAACTGAACCAATTTAGGGGAGGAATAAATCTTTAATAGATATAATAAACTTTATTATGTATATTACCTGTAAAGTTGGTATTCGAACCATTGATGGCCCAAGCACACGCATCAGACTCTACATTTGCATCAACAGCTGTTGATAGAAGAAAATATCATTTTTAAAAATATGAAATTATTGTCTGTAATTTTGAATTCTAAATATGAATAAACAGACATTTTCCAAGTAATTTTTTTTGTATCAAGCTTAATTCTCCACTGTTTAAATATTTAGATACGTACAATTCATTGAAAGGCTGACTTTATCTGTCAGTGTTTTACAATTTGATACATTTAAAAATTACTGAATTAATTAATCATGTCTCATGGATAGAGTTGGGTCATTTGGGATGAAAAATTAAACAAACAGTTCCACTTTGCTACCGGAAGCGACACATCTCTTTGTTCATAATAAAGCTCATAATCCAATGTGAACATCTCGGATATTATAAATAACTGTTCTTATCCGAAAGGGCCGAGAAGATGCGATTGGCTCATAAATAAGTGACCCCAAGAAATGTTTATCATACATCTTTTGATTTAATGAAAGACAATTCCTCGCTCCACATGTATATAAGGATATATACATAATAACAACTTACCATAAATGTGCACCGACTCAGACCTGTTACCAGCTGAGTTCTCGGCAACACACGTAAACACTCCGAGCTGTTCTTGCTGTAGGTAAGACAGTGACAGACTTAACGTAGACAACGTGTTATCTGAATATCCCTGAAACATTCCCACCTAGAAATACAGATTAAATACCCTGATATAGAACTTGATATATGTATCCTGATACATTCTAAAATTGCATTTTTAATTTTAAAATATTGATAAAATTGTAACAAAATATAGTGACACCGCAATGTCGAAGAAAGGAAACATTACAATTAACTTCCTTCTCAAGCTGTTAATACTAAATGCAGCAGACATACCAATCTTACGTTTCATTCTGTTCCTTCAAAAAAAAGTCGATAGGCAAAATTCTGAACAGAAAAAGAATTAATACGTTTGAAGGAAAGGTAAATATTGAGAAAAAATGAAAATTTACAATACGTCTACATATCTACAACACAAATCTACCAACACTTGTAACGACGTTGGTAGAACGTCATAATACTGATAATGAGCATAATAATATGCAAAAAAACTAAAGTTGGTGAATTAACATAGGGGAATGTTTCCCATATATAAAGACACAAACCGCTCTTGGTGGTGAGCTAGCTTTTCACCGACAGGGTTTGTGTGCCTTAAACATGTTAAAACGTTACACTCTTTCGTCAAGAGAGTCAAGTGATTTTATACCGAGTGTTAGCCTGCCACTTGGTGGATTTTTAATAACTTGTACACATATCGTAATTAAATATTAAAAAGATAAAAAAAAATATGTTAATATGCACCCTATTGCAAAAATCTTAATCAAACCTTATACAATTCTTCATTGGCAGATTCTAGAGTATCGTTGTCCTTTAACCAATATATAGTTGGTGTTGGAATGGAAAAAATCCTACATTCCAAATATATCTTGCCTCCGATAGTGTGCCCTATTTCTTTTACTCTCAAATTTATTTCAGGCGCAACTGAAAAGAAAAAGTGATCGTTTAGTTGTTATTGAAGTACTTATACTGTATAATCATCACCATCATCGTCATAACTGCTGTCGTCGTCGTCATCATCATCATCATCATCATCATCATCATCACCACCACCACCACCACCATCACCACCAACATCATCATCATCATTATTTAAAGAATATGAGATAGAACTATTGAGTTAAAACTATTTAGTTACTAAACATGTAAACTTGTCAGTACTTACATATAACTGTAACTTTTATTTGCATGAAGGCAGTTAACGGATTTCTAGCATAGCAGTAGTACACCCCTCCGTCTTCTCTTGTTACGTTGACAATGTTCATTGTCTCTCCTTTCATACCTGAAATATGTTTTTCTCAATATTGAACAACTGTCTACATCTCATTTAACGTGCCATTTTTTGAAATGTACTACATTTTATATTCAAATGGAATAAACTAGGTCCTTAATTAGTAAGGCTAAGCTATATCTATATACATATATGAAAGAAACAAATGCATGTAGATATACGTACAGTGCCATTAAATAATACCGAGTAGCAGGTTTAGTACTTGTGTGAAAAGTTATGTTGAAATATCTGAATTGCGCCTGTGCCCTTGATCACTGAAAATGTTAGCAGCATACAAATAGATTAGCAGATTTAATGAATGAAAATTGTAGCTTAAATGTTAGGAGAGGGGATGGCAGTATTCAGAGATAGATAGATAAATGTAATGATATGAGATAATCCTTGTCTGTTAGTTGCTGTTTGATATCATATATATGTATAAACATATCGGACGAATAAGTAAGAGGCAGCACATTCATTTCCTGTCTTCTTTCTCATTTCATATTGACAACCAGAACTTAAATAGGCTAACAATGTTCATAAAACAAACCATTTATAAACAAGTTTTAAAAGAGGCACTATTATGTTGGTAACTTTTATTGGAATTGAAGATTGTAGACACATACTTGGTAACGACCACGTGGATCCCTTTACCCATTCTATGTTTGGCTCAGGAATACCTAATGCTTTACAAGTCAGTGTTAATGTTTCGCCTTCCCTCAGAGTAGTGTCGTGACTTGAAACATCCTTTCGTATTTTAGCAGGAACTGCGGTAAAATAGAATAGGAATATACTTGTAATATTGTATGTACATAATTTTCAGATTATGGCCAGCAACTTGACTTCCATGTAGATCGACATGGTCATATCATTCAAATTATGTTCACGCATGTGTGTCACATGTTGGCCGGTCAGTCCATCTTGCCGGCTTTACTTGTTAACTAACTAAGTTATTACCATTATCCCCCAGATGATTTCTAAATAAATTAATTGTGAGAGACAAATGACTATTTCATTCGATGTCCGAGATCAATTGCCACGGAGCAATTCCGCCACGTCCGAGGATCGAAACAGCGACCCCTGGTCTATTGATCTGATACTCTCCCTATAATGTCGAAGTATTGTCGCTTGAAAGCATGGAATTACATGTTTATATGTGACATCTTAATACTAACAGAATATGGCCATGCTATGACAATTAATCAGTATAAGATAATGTATTATGATAATTTTTAACCATGGCAGGATTCATGATCGAAATATTTCAAGATATCTCAAAATAAGATAACAATATTGAAACCTTCACGTGTTAATAAGATCAAGTTCATTGACGAAAGATCAAAAATACTTGATAAAACTGGCCACTTTATCTGGAATATTTATTTGATTTAAGACAGTTCATTTAATTTTTTAATGAGCATATGTAATAGAACATAAATATAACCGACACATCAAGGGTTTTACAGTATATACCTATAATATTTAGAGTGACATGTTTAGAGATTGGAGGATCTGTGTTTATACGACAGATGTACTGTCCCCTGTCCCTGTAAGTTACATTGCTTATATGCAAATTCCACCACCCTTCGTTTGGGCGCTCCACGGTATATCTAGTGTCGTCTGTAAAAAGTTGTTGGTCTATTGCTAACAGACGGGTTTCATTTCGCAACCATCCAACCTAGTAAATAAAAAATACCAACTTTATACTTTTTTCCTGAAATGTTACCTTACTCATGGCCGATAAAGAAAGTATAGGGCATAGAAGATAAATGATTTAATCAGTGCATTAAAAATACTTCCTACGAAATATTTTTTGTTGACAAAAATGCTATATTCGAGTAGCTTATGAAGTTGAGTTTGTAATTTCATTTCTTGGCCTACAATGAAAATGCATTATTGGCTGAATAAGTCATTTTTTATGTTGTTGTTTTGTAAGTTTCAATTGTTTTGTCTTAGTTTGCACCTCGTACAAATGTGTTGAGCTTATTCTAAAACTGGTATCCATCTCTAAATGTTTTTAGAAAACTATTTGAGTAAGTAAACGTGTCTGATGTCTGCTTCAAATTGTAACGAGCTATATTTGGTTGCGTGATTCCTCATATTGTACTAGTGCTGCTTAATTCCAGGAAGCAGACTAGCAACTGGTAAAAATGAGCCTAAAACTTGTAACACAACTAAACTAAAATGAATATGATAAAAGTAAGTATTTTGATTGTAATTAAGTATACAATGGTATACTATTTGCGCTTTCCTTCGTTAATCACTCTATCCAGTAAGCTGTATTACAATAGAATCCCGAAATAAGTTCTTCAACATATTTAAGGCAACATAAACAAATAGTAACAGAATATACATGGTCACGTGGATGAAATGTACGAATCATGATCAACATAAACATTGTACAAACCTTGTATTTGCCCAAACCTTCTATGTAACACTCTAAGATCGCTGTTTCACCAACAACAAAGGTTACATTAGCATCGTTTCCATTAATAACCGGCTTTGCAGTGTTTATATCTGGATATAAGAAGAAGTTATGTTTCTTACACTCTGATGTGACGCTGATAAGTGAAACAATGTCATAAATCTCAAAAGCTCAAAAATAGATATTATTAAATCTTTTACATGAAGCCTAGCGTATGCATATTGTTATTCTCTCAACAACTCAATAGTAAGGGAGCGGTGGCCTTAAAGCAGCACGCCTCTAGATTCATGTTAATTTTCATGAAAACGTTAGAAAAGTTTTTGAAAGTAAACTATTGTGAAGTGAACAAAAATAGTAATTTACATATTGCTATCGGCACGGAAAAATTCCAAAAGTGGTCAATATATGCAAAAACAGCCCTTAATGCGTAAGTAACGCAGTAGAAATATGGTACATGTAATAAAATACTGCACCGCACATTACATGTAATATATAATTTGAATCTTGAATATTGTTACCTTTCTTAAACTTTTAGTACATTTTTCTCAATATTGATTTTCTTGAAATATTTTAGGTCATCTGGAGGCGTGCAGCTTTAATTATAAATGGTAAAGAAATTAACCTAACGATTGTTGGTTCTCATCTTACACCCGTACTATTTGGTTCCAGAAAACGGACTCGAAAGAAATTTCCTCGTAACGAGCATCCGTTACACATAATAAATTATTATTATAGTACTGCATATTTCCTGCATTATTTTACACATTTATGCGGTATTCACAACTGAAAGCTTATAATTAAGCATATGTTACCTATGTGTGCGTGTGGTAATCATAAAGCAACAATAAAGCTTAATGCATATTACATCAGATATGCTTTTGAACATAATATTATAATAAATATATCAATAGTACGAAATGAAGATACTGTTTGCAAAAATAGTATAAAAAATTGTACAAAATATAAAAACATATACATAACCTGCCCCTGCCACTGAAACACCAAAATAAAACAGCAAAACAAATATTGTTAGACAGATATCCATTTTATATTAACTTCACATAAACTTTTTTCACACAAGTATAACCTCTGTCAATGCATGAATGCTCATTTTAACACACACAGAACGTTTCAGCTGCATTCTAGTTTAAGAGATAGGCAGTGTTTTCCTGTAAACATATTTCAACATGTTCAAGGGAGATAAAAATGAAACATATCATAAATCTTATAGCAGCATTTAGTTTTTTTCAGGAATCGAACATAAAGAAATGAAAATTGTCCTTGTTGTTCTGCACTGTTTTTCATGTCTCGTGTCCATACATATTTTTGTCCATTCTTTAACAATGTACACTGTTTTTATGCACTGGTTTATATGAAAAAAAGACATATTTTAAAAATCAATGATAAGCCCATAGACCCTGAATGTTGTTTTGTGCGTCCGTCTGTCCTTCTGCCCAACACTTTTGTCCGAGCAAAACTCGATTACTATATACGTTTTATCTCCTTAATTAAGTGAAATATGACACGTGTAGATTGGAAAATGGAATATAAAAAAAATCATAAAGTAATATGTACGTAATTGTATTTAAAGATATCAACGAAACTAAAAATCGCCATCAATACGCTAGTCATGTCGTCATTTTCACCAATGATCTTGTAAAATAAACATTTTCATGGAAATATTTTTTGACGAGGTTTAAAGAATAATGTCTCAGCAACCGTATGCGCTAACTCATTTCTTCCAATTTGGTGTAAAATAAAAATATTAGTCCATTTACTTATCGCGGTGCTCATTTGAGCCACTAAATTGCACAATTCTGCGTTACTTTTGCACAATTCCTGCGTAACTTGCACACTCCTGCGTTCCTGTCATACTGGATATACACGGTGATATATAGATAGATCTCATTGATGCACTATACACCATATTTATTTTTGTGTTGTTGCCCTACTTATATTTTGTCCGGAGCATAACTGGAAAAGTATTCGTTCAGTTTAGCATTTGTAGAGAAGTTAAGTTTTACTTGTGTTGTTATTAGCTGATGTGAAATCTATAAAAACACAGATTTCATGTAATCTATATACAGCTTGGCTTGTTATGTACGGTGTTTTATTACCTTCTACTTACATTTATGACTTTCATGCCGGAAATGTAGCTATAACACAATTGATTCCGACGAAATCCGAGTTCATATCGAAGGATCCAACAGCACGAAATTAAAGTAAATTTAAGCAGGCAAATTACTTCTTAAAACAACTTACTTTTCTTAAACAAACACTTTTCTGGCCTAATGGGTTCAAATCTCTACTGTGCACTTTCTTCTGTTGTTAACTTCAATAAAGTTATAACTTCAATAAAGTGATTCAGACAGATTCTGTAGCAGTTAAAAGATCCATCTTGGCACAGGCTCGCAACTGAAACAATAGAAGAGAAGCATCAAGAATTTCTTTATGCCCTCTCAAGTAAAAAAAATGATAAATGCTTAGTTGCTTGTTGTTAAAAAAAACGGCACAGTGTAACTTAAAATCCGGAAAAGCTAGTGGTGATCCATCGGAAGCGAAAATTGCAAGCTCGGTTTTATTGAGTCTGTTCATGAGAAATAATAGAAAAGTGCAACATCCTTCACGCCCCCTAGCACCGGCTTTGGCGGTATTTTATCTTTAACACTTAATCAATAACTTGAATGGACCAGAAAAATATGATAACACTGAAGTGAAGTTCAGGGCAACTTTTTACACTTGACTACCGCTGTTGTGAAGTATAAAAAATTGCAAAAAAGGGAGCCTAATACCTAGATAAATAGAACATGTATATACATACAGTGGTTGCGTTTGTTAGCTTCAGTTCGCTAAAAGGACAAACCAGTGAATTCTAACTGTTAGACACTATGATATTAGTGTGGTATAAATTTATATTACAGATAAATATGCTAACTAGCAAAATAATGTAGTAACTACGTGTAATATGAACAATATTACATGTAATTACCGACAGATATTTCTATAATGATCGGATGATTTGATGACACAAGTATATGATGAGACTGTACTAAGTCAGTAACCTTTATGAATGGTGTATGTGTGTTTTACGGTGTTCTCTTTAAACTCGTCACCTTGAATCAAAACTGTTTAATGGTTTCTTTTTTGTTTAAACAATTGCGGCAATTTTATTCAGATACTTTAAGCTGTCTGTAAAAGACTCCCTTATGAGTTTCAGTTTGAAAATCGACTGAACCGTCCAAAAATGAGATGTAATTCAAAGGTTTTTTAATCGAAGCACAGCGACTATTTTATTCAGTTGAATAGAATGATTTTAGTTATTTTTGTTAAAGACGATTTTTCTTTGATCAATCTTTGGTCAGTGAGTGTCTAATATGGCCAAACTCTATGATAACAACTAAAGCAGAAATTTGACATTTTATGAGAACAATAACAAGTGGTTAGTGGTGAGAGAGAGTGTCCGAAATAGTCTTAAAGCAACAAGCACAGTCATTTATTCTATGTTCATTTACTTTTAGTCACTACTAATGGTTGGTGAGGTCAGTGAAGAAACGGAAGTTGAACGCCACTAAATTTTTAAAATGTTATCAAGCTGTCAAAACCTCTATTTAACCGGGGTTTCTATTATACGGCAAAATGGTGCATGCACATATATATTGACGACGATTTCACAAGGTACAAGGTTACCCGGTTAAATCCACTTTCTTGCACTTTAAATGACACATGTTTTTGTACGAGACTGATTCCCTACTATTAACAAATTGTGTCACTAATAGTATAAAAACAGGATAGAAAACATATAAATGAAACATCAAATGAAAATAACTCCTCTGAAGAAGCCACATTAGCCAATACCTACAGGAACTAAACGAAACACGTGTAAGTGAGTAACACCATTATAAACAGAACTATTGTTTTTAGAAAATGTCAATCCAAATTTGTCAATTAATGAATAACTTTGAAACCAGTCATCAGCGCGTGCTTCTGTAATTTAGCATAAAATATATTCTAAAAGTTATAATACGGTGATTATTATCATATCATCATCGTACACTGGTAACAAACATAACGTTTGATAATACGGCGTGTAGAACACCGAGGAACACATTTTATAAAAATGGATATATCTTTAAATATTCCGGTCTTGTTTGGTTTCTTAAAAGTATCTATAGCAGGTAAGATTTACGCAAAATCTTCATTATATAGCATTTATATATCATCAAAACACTGGTGGTGGTAGTGGTGGTGGTGGTAGTTTACCCTCCGAATGACAGCAGAAAGCAACTTTGAATTAATCAGAACACAGTTCAGCCACAGCATTGTCCCTGGGCAGGATCTCAAGCAGTTACCAGTGCTAAAGCCTTTATCACTGTCGCAATGAACTAATCACTTCTGTACCTACCAGAGCCGAGGTACATTACAAATGACCGTAGAAAGCATTTCATAATCAATTACAACGATGTCGGGACCTATACATTCCGGGAATCGAGCCCGGGTCGCCCCCAACCTGTTGAGCTAACCGGACGGCTCGCAAAGTATTAGGGAATAGATTTAAGTACATCCTGGGTAACCCAGACTATACCAGTATATTAGAATTAGTATAATATACGAAATGTGTACCGTGGGTTTCGACGATGGCTTTAGTAGTGAAAATTATCATAGTTTCAATTTCACTGGGCTTTTGATTAGTCCTATAAATTTGACGATGAAATTGTAAATTTAGGAGGAATAATATTTCTTTACTGTTTTTTCACAAAACATTTTTTTTATTTTTTTTATTACCGCAAGCAAATATATTTCAACTGTAACAAAATTAAATCAACAATACCATGAACTCAGCTCACCTTAACATTCAATGCTGAACTATAGAATATACTTTTCTTACATTCTGTCAGCGCATACAATAATTTGGACAAACTAAACAAAAACCCATGAATACTGGTTATGGGCTTTGTATCATATCCAGAATATTCTTCATCAACGATGATACCCTCCATTATTGAAAATGGTGTTTCAGATTTATCTACACCACACGTATTCGTTTCGTTATGATCATTTATTACAGCTCGTTCATTTTGATTGATATTCCCCTGCAAAAACTTCCGTTGTTAAAGATGTTTACTTTTAACTATGTCACCAAAAGAGTTAAAGACATGAAAAGTACTACTAAATTCTCTGGTAAATGACCCTATAGCTACATAGTGAATATTTAAAACTGAATCGAGAAAACAATTCCGGCCACAGTGTGACAATATTTTTTACAGTTAGAACTGTTTTCTATGTAACAGTACAATTTTAGTCACATACTTGATACATGCATTACCAATATGAATTACCCTTATGCATTCTGCTGTGTTGGCTTTACTTACAAAATAGTTAAGATAAGATCATTTAAGATCATTTAGCAGACGATTTAAACATGTAATAAATGATAATAACGAAACGAATACGTGTGGTGTAGATAAATCTGAAACACCATTTTCAATAATGGAGGGTATCATCGCTGATGAAGAATATTCTGGATATGATACAAAGCCCATAACCAGTATTCATGGGTTTTTGTTTAGTTTGTCCAAATTATTGTATGTATACGGAAAGAATATAAAGGGCATGTCAGTCAATAAAAACCGGAAAATTTTATTTGCATAATCAGCAATCATTACATATTTTATAACCGTTTTCCCTTATATTTTTCGTAACAGTTTATGGTGTAAACCCATCTATAGATTCTCCAGTTACGAATGTCACTGCATTAGAAGGTAACACCGTCACTTTGCCTTGTGTTGTAAAATACCTGGGCGAATTTAAGGTAAATATGCCATTTTACTTTTATTCTAATATAAATAAGTTAACATTAACATTAATGTATGACATAACTTAAGTCTGCACGGACATTTAAAAGCACCATAGATGTTCCAAACTTTGTAATAAATGAGCATTAGATGGTCATAAATGTTGTTCAATTTGTTAAATATTGTAACAATACAATACATAGGCCCCGTAATTGTCGGTTAGAAACGAAAGTATTTCGAACAATTCAATTTCTCAATTGAACACATGATAACTGCTCTGGTACACATAGTGCACCTTTCAAATTATAAACAATGACTTGTTTAATCAACGTAATAAATGAGCCGCGTCACGACAAAACCAACATAATGGGTTTGCGACCAGCATGAATCCAGACCAGCCTGCGCATCCACGCAGTCTGATCAGGATCCATGCTGTTCGCTAACAAACCCTATAGCAAGTAGAGAAACTGATAGCGAACAGCATGGATCCTGATCAGACTGCAAGGATGCGCAGGCTGGTCTGGATCCATGCTGGTCGCAAACCCATTATGTTGGTTTTGTCGTGACGCGGCTAAAATTAAGAAATTTAAAGAAATGATCAATTCAGTTCATCTTTATTTGAAACAAGGCGTAGAAAAGAGCCATATTCTTTATTTTATTAACCATTTACATGTATACACTGTACATATTATTTAAGGTTGTATGGATAAGTCCATCTTCGGTTGCATTGACTCTCGATGATCGAAGTATAACGGACGATGCTCGTTACCTTGTCGAGAGACCATTTAGCCAAGAATGGAACTTAAATATTATGAACGTAACACACCAAGACGCTGGGCAATATCGCTGCCAGGTAAACACCGTTCCAGTCACGTCAAAAACTGTCAACCTTGCCGTTCTAGGTAAATCGAACAAAACATTTATTTAAGTCTCGAGTGTTCGAGTTGAATTTCACGATTTCATTAAAAATTTAATTTCAAATAAATGAAATATTTTTTTTACAATGTCATTAAAATCGTTTTCTCGTTGATACTGATCGATACTGATGATGAGGCGCGTGGCGTATTTAAAGATCCCGTTACTCAATTTTTGTTATGGTTTTATATCATAAATATAATGCTCAAATGAAGATTTATCAATATTGTAAGTTCCAAAAAGCATTATTTGTAAAGATATTACTGAATTTAACATTTCATGTAAATAAAGGGAGGTAATTAGAAATTTATATTCTATAAAGTCTAAGTCAAATTTTTCAATAAGAAATGAATGCATTTATTTTAATGATTACATATAATGTGGACAAATATTTGCAGTACATATTTTACATACTCTTCGATGTTTGAACATTGTTTAAGAAGCATAATTATATACATATATAAGTACAACATAGAACACTACGCATTTAATAGTCAGTGCGGCCTCTTCATGGTCACAGTAGTATAATTTCATGCATTATAAAATTGTCATCAAATTGAATTATATGTGTAAAAATCATATTTTCTTTATGCAGTTCCTGCCAAGATTATCAAAGATATTTCAAGTAGAGATGTGATATTGAAAGAAGGTGAAACATTGTTTCTACAGTGTAACGCCACAGGGTTTCCGCAGCCTACAGTCAAATGGTATAAACTACAATTGGGACAAAAGCAGGGTAAGTTTCCAACCTTAAAGCGGCCCTCAGCTTTGCTAAAGGTTAAATCAAATTAAGGATATTTGTAGATAAATGATTTCATATGATATCAAAAGTCAAATCAAAAGAATTAAGGTGAAAAATAAAATTTGCCGACACTAAAATACATAAATATAAGGGAAGCCATCGATACCTCTAATCTACCGCTCTACTCTCTATGCATGTATTTGAATTCGAAAAGTGGACTATTCGTTTCTCAAACTTCTATTTTCAGAAAAAATTTCACTGACGCGTTTATAAATTGCTCTCGGCACGTATGTTTTGAACAAGGCTTAACCGTGATATGATGCACTTTTCCAAGATAGAATTACTAAAAACAACACATGATTGTTTTTCCAACAGAAAAGAAAAACTGAAGGCCGCTTTAAAATATCACGCCGAAACTACTGAACAAAGTATGAGTTACTTCATTGTCATAAAAATCATTTATTTCTGAAATATGTCTTCAGTAAACCCTAACAGTTTAGTTAATATTATGTGCCATTGAAGTTATGATGTATTTTCTTTTACTTGTATTTCTGTTGAAGACTCCGCGTGTTACTTTAAACATATTTATCTAAGCTCGATATCAATCACTTTCGAGTCCGCTTCATGGAAACTACCATTACCGGTGTCATTGAAGAAACGAGATTGTGACCCAAGTAGGGCTCGAACCCATGCTCCCTGAGTTGAGAGGCAGACACCTTACCCACTAGGCCACCAGTTCCGCGTGTTCCATGTTGTATCCGTTATTATTTGTTGCATTATTTTCTCCTAAAATCTGTTTTCTGCAGACATACACCGTTCTGGAGATGTGTTGATTATACCAAACGTGACCAGACAGACGGCCGGTACATACGAGTGCGTGGCTTATAATGGTAAATCAGACAGCAAGAAAACTAGAGTTATCGTACAATGTACGTATTCCTTATTCAACATTATTAAATATTTTCATACGCAGAGTAAAATGTTTTAGTGAAAGAACTGTTTTACATTATGAAAATAATTGGTAAAAAATAAAGGAGTAAACCTATATCATTTAATCAAAGTAAAGAAAGTGCATGTACTCTACAAACTAGCCAAGCAATTCAAACTAAATACAAAGAGGTTTAGAGTGGGCGCAATTCAAACAGGTGTTATGTAGAATGATGGTTTACATACATGAGATCAACTGTAAACAGTCAAAGTCAATCGCACACCTTTTCGACAGTGAACAAAATACAAAGACTTCCGGTAACGTAGCATCGTTTTGAATTGATATTTGCTTGCCAAAAGAACAATGCACATGAATAGCCAAGTATTATACATGTATTTCGACACTTACTGCTTACATTGGTTAAATTCACTACAAATTGTACATAAATAAACAGTTTATTCTAAACTTTTTAAATGTTTATATGTACGCCTCTGATTCACCTAAGCTGTCGATAAGGGATTGAATAAATATACTATTCAAACTAGTATACTATTATAATGAGTCTGAAAGAATTGTTATGGCTTTAGATGATTATGCTTATGCTTTTTTCTCATAAGTTGCTCCAAAGGTCAGCCTCCTATCCAAGCGGATTGGTCAGAATGTTGGAAAAGAAACCATCCTGGACTGTAAGATTACTGCCAACCCGCCTTCAGATATGTATTGGCTAAAGGGCAACACCAATCTTGACACCCCCAACAAAGGCAAATACCAGGTATATGATAGAACATTTTTATTTTTATTTTAGTATTAAACTACAGATTATTCATAAAAATGTTCTGACACATATAAACATTATACTTTGAAAAAGGAAAGTTGTAGGTCATCTATTGTCATACATTGAACTGGGTGTGCTTTGATGCCAACATACATTTTCCACAGAAATTCAAACCTTCAACTACTTACAAGTAGTCAATTATACTGAAATATTCTATCTACGGCAAGACTTGTAAAATAATCTTGACAAAAAGTCACGTGAGACCGGTATTTGTCGTCATACATATGACGAAATGCAGTTCTTTGACAGAATACCAGACATTATGATTCACCGACACTGGCTTACATATTGCCTTCCTTGCCATTGAAACATGTAGCATTGCCCATTGTATGGCTGGTAGCTGAGTGTTTCTGTTAGATAAGTACATTAACGACTCTCAGTTTCGATTCATCTCTACAGTACACTTAAATCTGCTTTCATCCTTCCTTCTGTTTTATGAATTTGTTTATGTGAACGTTGTTTTATAATTTTTGCAGTAAATACTTAAGCATATTCTTAACAAAGGTTTAATAGACACATGCTTATGAAAAAAGTCTAATGTAACAATTTACAGATATAACTCCGTCTATTTTAGATGAGACTCTATGGCAGCAACATAGACAATACTGTTAAAACATTGTCCTTGGCAATATCAGACCTACAAAAAGATGACTTTGGAAACTATACGTGCTACGCTAGAAATTCCTTAGGCAAAGATTTTGACACAGTGTTAGTATATGGTACGTACAACAAACACCATATATAAACAATATGCATTCAAAGTGTAACAAATGCTCCGTTTTCAAACTTTATAACATTGTTCAATAGACAATGCGAACATGAATTTATTCTACATTGTACCAATATGAGATCAAAGATGCACTTATAGAAGCGGTTTTAGATGCATGATAATGTATATTAAGGTATAAGAAATAGTTTTGATTTAATTTTTGTTTTCAGATTACGCCATACATTTCACTACACCCGCATCAATTGATACAAGTCAGACAAATCTACAGATCAATCATTCTAAAGCTACAGGTATAATCGGCTTGCTCCTGATCACTTTATATAACTATCTCAAGTTAATTACTAATTTTGTGAAGACACTGTATAAAGTAAATTAAATTATATTTCAATTTTAAAAATCTTGATGCGGTTGAATCGGCACACATCAAGAAATAAAGCCCTGAATCAAACTTTAATCACTGTCATTTTGCACAATAAAAATAATTATTCTGAAAAAAAAACGGGATGAGCGAATGATCTAAAATTTGTACACAAGTTATTGGTCTGGACCTACATTAAATGGTACAAAAATTTTGTGAAAACATTTCAAGTACTGTCATGTGTAGCTTCACTGAGGTCCATATGAATAAAAAAAGCATACAATTTGAAGTTCTTACACAAATCGACTGGTGTACTTGAAATGTAAAAATGTGCCAAGATAAAGAAAACATATACTCAGAATTTAATTGAAAATCATTTTTTGTGCGATTCTCAGCCTGATTTGAGTTAAAAGCATTTAAACGCAATTTCAATGTCTATTATTATATTATATTATATTATTAAATTTATCATATTATATAATATTATTTTGCAAAATGCAGAGAACCAGTAATCTGATATTTTGCAAATATATTAAAGAATCGGATCTTCATCAAATGGTCAACAATTCTCGATTAGAAATTTCCAGTTCCTTCTTGTCAACATCCTTTAAAACTTAAATAAGTTATATGCCATTATCATTCCATAAAAAGAAGATAGGAAACGTTAAGTACAAGAAAATATATTTTTGTGATTGGCAATACTTTTAAAAAGGCAATGTTAACATTACTATTTTCCACTTTTACAGGTTTATCGGCTGATGTGTCTAAAGGGAATCATTACATGATGACGTCATCAATTTTATTACTCTATATTACGATGGTCTTTATAATATTCTAAATGAAAAAAGCCAACACTTTATCACATTTTATCGACATATCTTAAGTAACTAAACATTAATGTAGGAATAGTGAATAGCTTTACCCCTCACTTTAGTTAGTTATACTGTTAATGCAAGTGTACCACGTGACTAAGAAATTTGTACTGTCACAGGGTAACAGTATCTTTAACAGTATAAAATATTGTCAAATGGTCTATTTTCTAAAGAAAATAAATAAAATCATCATAAAAAATCATCACACGTACTGTTCGGGTAACAGTATTTTCCTTGGGATGATATTTTTACTGTTACCCACAAACCCCATGTGTTATTTATATAATAATGCAGCATGCTGAAATAGAAGAATAGGAAGGTTATATAGTTGACCTGCTTTAATTCAATTAACCCCTAGCCTGCTGAATGTTAAAAAAGGGACTTATCCAGCTTCCATCTTCAAGGTTAAAGCTTTAAACGAATGTTTCCATTATTACAATTGGTAATATGGTCGCATGTTACTATAGAAACGTTTGTGTTACATGTGGCATCAGAATAAAATTCCAGCCGTTTACACATTTTATATATTTTTTCATATATTTTTTTTCTTCAAATGTTGTCCCAACAAATGAGCAACCTATAAATGTTAAGCAAAGTTTTTCATGCATACAGTATGACATTGGATGCTATAACAACGATTTTATCTATATCACAAAAACTTCTTGTTTGTTTTTTAATTTAAATTCTACCTTTAGCAGTTTAATGAAGTTTTTCAGATTTCCTCTAATAATCAAAGACTTTTGTCCCTTATTTTCGACCTGATGTTTATCTGTATATATATTCTGTAACATTATGTATATATAGTGTTGATAAGACATACACCACTTTCTTATCATAATCCTTCATTTTCAATACGTTGATGGTAGTTCATATTAGCATAAACATAGTTGTAAGATAAGTACTTTCAGCTTTCATTATTAAAATTCTAGTCTACCCCCTTTGGCTTGAGCGATCGAAATATGAGAGAAAAATGATGTGATCCAAGTAGGTTCAAACTTAAATTCTCATAGATTGGCAGCAGACACATTTTCTCCAATATCTTGCTCCCAATTTAATATGTTGATGATCTTGTAACTAAAGAAAGTTGATAGAGCTCAAAAACGTCAGTGTAGTTCTTAAGATTTTACATTTTCTTTCTAAAAATACATATTTGTTTACCATTTTCGTACGAACAGTGCTAAATAAATTTAGACAATTTATACCTTTCTTTATTATATATGTGTCCATCTATATACCCTTGTAGACCATTATTTATATATACATGTACGGTGTCCAACATGTTGGTTTTTCATGTAAAATATTTCTTTATTTCAATCTGCAAAACGTCGAAAAGAGTCTATTGCCTTTGGTATCCACATACAAAATAAAGCAAGTTAATTGTAATGTACGAAATACCGGTAAGGACATTTCAACTTCATGAATTTCAGATGTCATCATCGTGAATTCACAATTTTAACTACTTCTTACTTGGATTTTTTTTACCGTATTTGTGATAAGCGAACTTATAAAAGTGCATCAGAATGTTAAGTATAAATTTAGGCCGTTGGTCGTTGCTTTCAAACCATTTGTCCCGCTCCGCTATGGGTTCGAATCCCGACAGGGCTTTTGCATTCTTTCAAGTGATGCAGCTAGCTTCCGGAACATCAGTGGTTCTACTCCGGTTCTCGCTTGTGCCAGAAATAATGCACAGAAGGGTACCATAAGTTTTTCCTTCACCAGTATAGTTTGAAAGTCGCCATGTGACCTATTCTATGTTTGTGTGTCGTAAAACCGAACAAAAATATTTTGAGACAAACAAAAATAGCCGTAATTGTAGAATAAGAAATTGCATCCATATCTCGTTTTGGACAATTTAAATACAGAAGACGGCATGGAGATAAATCAAACTTCTAAATAGTTTGACATGGTCATCTTGTCAGATGTTTATTTTCCCACGCACTTGACAAACAAACAACAGGTGCTATACTAGATTGTTTGATTCATTTGGCAACAATTTAAATAAAGAGATGGAAACTGTAACAGAGGCTGACCATCTCATACCGGATGTTACTAATGGAACTAATGTATCACTATCCGACTTTAATATTACAACAGCAGCAAGTGGACTTTCAACATTAAAAGTCGTTTCGGACGTTGTTATTACCACAACTTTAGTGATCATAATGTTTGGCATGGGCTGTACAATAGAACTGTGGAAACTTATCGGGCATTTACGGCGGCCAATCGGAGCAGCTATAGGAATGCTTGCTCAGTTTATCGTGCTACCATTGGTCACATTTGGATTCGCGCATGCGCTTCAGTTAGAACCTGTTGCCGCCATAGGGATGCTGGTAATGGGTAGTTGTCCTGGTGGTTCTACATCAAATATATTCTCGTATTGGGCTGACGGAGACGTGCCCTTAAGGTTGGTTATATTTTACAATAAACATAGTCGTTTATGTTCCGAGTTAAACTTATCCATACATTCATTAATTATTTTCTGTCCTTTTTTAAACATTACATGTATCTATGGTTTTTAAGTAAATTGCATCATTGTTAAATTCAAAAATCTACTGTCAAAGGAAATAACATTAAAATAAAGGCTTTCGTGTTTCTCAATTACGGAATTGCGGGGGATGGAACCTTAGACCACAGTGCATCTAGTCGCCATTAAATTTTAACATTTATAGTGTCAGTCAGATATATATTGCCGCTAAACAATAATTAACTGTCGTACATTTTATTTCGTTGCCTTTTCAGTTTAACTATGACATCATTGGCTACTCTTTTGGCGTTGGGTATGATGCCTTTAAATATATGGCTGTACAGTAGAAGCTGGACGAATGATGATCTTGTCATACCTTACAAAAATATTATTATCTCCCTTGTAATGACAGTGGGGCCTGCTGCTGTGGGAATAGCTTTACGTTGGAAGTGGGAAAGGGTCGCTTTATTTTTTGTCAAGGTAAGAACATGGAAAGAACAAAATTGAAATTAAAAATAAAATCGCAACTTGAAAGTTCAAGAGAAAATTCTTGGCATTCATTTATCAGATAGAGACTATTTGGGATAACTTTAAAGTGTTGTGTGAGGGTGTGCCATACGTATACTTTCCCTGGGTATAACGCGTCTTTACGAGTTTCTGACCCTTCTTAAATCTAATTAGATCTCCCGAGCCACAAAGAAGGAATTCAGTTGACAAGGAAGTTTTGTCCTGTGTCACATGATCAAATAATTCTGTTTCTGAAACATCTTTGATAAGTTTTGTTTAAACACTGTTTTCTTGTGACACTAAGATACGGCATGCTCTTTGTTTTTCTTTTTCAGATAGGAAGTTTCTGTGGTGGTTTGGCGGTGATTCTGTCAATGACTTTAATGAGCCTACTTTATCCGTTCATGTACAAATCTTCTTGGAAAATCTACATCGGTGCCTTCTTTTTACCCTTTGTCGGATTTGCATTCGGATACATTGTAGCTAAGATATGCCGAATGAATGCCACGCATGCGCGAACAGTAGCGCTTGAAACAGGAATTCAAAACTTTCCATTGTGCATGACCCTTATTAGTTTATCTTTCCCGAAAAATATGATTCCGAAATTAGCTCTTTTCCCTTTATTATACGGAGTTTTTGTGCTGACAAACAGTTGTGTGTTTGTGTTACTTTATCACGTGATGAAGAAATTAAAGGAAAAGTATGATAAAATGGCGGGAAAAGAATTTACCAGAGTACCAGTCAACGAAAATAACGGTACTGTTGATGTAGAGAATATAAAGACTCTAGGTATGAGCTGAAGGTCATTTTCATTTTTAGGTCATTTTACAAGGTAAAGATGATTGTTTTGAGTTCTGAAATAAAGTTAGTTATATTTGTAACTATTTTGAAAATGTTGTATAAATAAAAGAGAAAAGGAAGGTAATAAAAATATTATATATAAAACATGCTTGTCATGAAAATTTTCTGCTTATCCTTTACATGTATATTTAAAAAAGAGTATTTCTTACTTATGTTTGAGATATTTGATGCAATAAAATGATTGTTTATGTATCTATTTGAAACCTATTTTTGGTCATATCTTGAGGGTTAGTCCGCCTTATTGGCTTTCCTACAAATTTCTCGGCAAGTAACAGACTGCCTATCTCACACGATTTCTATATCAGCAGTGTGAGAAACATGTCAATTAATAAGACTCAAGTCTGACGGAGAAAATCGTCACCTTTGGGGATTGAACCAACCACTCCTGGAATACAAATCAGATGATGTGCCTAATGAGCAAAACGGGCGGACTCGAAAGTTGGATAGAATGATATGTCTGAAATATATTAATTTGCGTTCCATTGTATTGACTATTGACGCCTGAACTCTTATATTGCTAATATGTATACATATTGCTTTGATTGTTTGAAATGACAGTTTATAAATGCGATGGTGTAATATCAATATACTAAAAAAATAGTGTGCCACCTGACAGCATGGGAGTGCATGGGAGTGCAGACTGGCTTGGGTCCATGTTAAAAACCATGTCATTATACTTGCTAGCATTTACAGTGTCAACAATTATTCAAAACTGTGCTGTCAGTGGCAAAGGATGGTGTGTGCTCGTTAATGAGAATAATTGATGTAAATTTAAGAGCACAAATACATACAGTTTTACAGTGGGAAAACGCCTCAAGTTTTTGCACTCCCAAAAAATATATGAGCTTTCAATTAATGATACTGTGGACGTGTATAAACTTGAGAATTTCGTTTCTAAGTTTGATATCCATACTCACGACTGCTTATTTCAACTTGATAAATGTATGAACATTTCCAGTTTTTTTTACAGTGAAAAATGAAGCCTCCTCTATTCTATTCTTCACAAAAGTAAGACAAACAAAACCAAGAACTGTTGTGTAACCCATGTCAACCAGTTACTATATGTAGTGTCTCACAGTAGCAACTTGTTCATCATAAAACTGTAAACATTGGAAAGGTCCATTATCATGAATATGGATCAATTACAAAAATACAAATTATATTCTACTTTTAACTAGAGAAGTGTTATTGCTAAAGTATCCAAAAACATCACCACGCTTAATCAGCATCGCAAACAGAAATAATTATGTATGTGTGTCGTCTGCTATTAAAACAAGAACTGTGAAAGACCATTAACAAATTAAACATGTACATGTAAATATTTATAATCCGTCCTATTAAAGTTTGGCTTATTTGCTGTGCTTACACTACATGTAGTTATATAGTATGAACATTTCCATTACCTTTACCAAAGTGATACTAAAGCATTTTGTCTGAATAAAAACATGGAGTATGGCCTAAAGAAGTTTTGGGCGCGTCTGCGACTTATGCAGTATATTTTGGCAATTATGCTGTTGAATAATGAAGTTACGGCGGTCAATCATGTCATATCAAAATTGACAAGAGTGTCGTCTTTGGATGACAAAATATGTGTGACTAAAGATTTAATATTTTCTTCAAATTTTGGAATGTTGAACAGATGTCTGTTAATGTGTATAAATGAGACAAAGTGTCTATCTGTTTTTTATAATCAGATAGACGGCAAATGTCGCGGATGTGCAGAGATTTATTCATCTCCGGGCGGGCTGATTTCATTCACTGGATTTATATATTTTCAAAAAGAACCTAAAAGTAAGAACTTATTATAACTTTTAAAACAGCTAAATGTACAGTGTTTATATAGTCTATATCATATCAGAATTTTATATATCACAAAATCATATCTAGCCGTTAACAGGTGAGTATCAACATATAACATTGAACAAATCAGCATTTTTTTACATTTTCCTTTTATACTAGTACATTGTAACAAACAACCAAAGTCAGGGCTTATTATAATGAACACTGTATTGTGTCTGGTAGTAGTGAACGTCTTATCGGCTGCCAAAACAAAGGATCATTATAATTTTAAGATTATACGTTAAACTGCCAATCACGAGAAGGGACAATATTACAATTTTAAATAATCTACTTACTGTTTATTTTTCAAATACGTACTGTACGACATTTCATTCTAGTAGGATACTACATTATGATAAGTTAAATATAGATATCTTAAAGATGACATCTATGTAATATCCTAATACTGCTTTCTTCTTTTATAGTTTAGATACACATTTTTCTTAAGACAATACTTTTACTTACATGGATTGGGCAATTATTTGTACCTTTTAACACTCTTTCATTAGCAGTCTGTGAAGAATCTGGTTCGTGGACGGCCTACAAAGAGTCGTGCTACATGTCAAGTCCGAGTGGTACCTTCCAGCAAGGAGTGGTATGATTCAATTTGTTTCATATTTGAGCCGCGTCATGACAAAACCAACATAATGGGTTTGCGACTAGAATGGATCCAGACCAGCCTGCGCATCCGCGCAGTCTGATCAGGATCCATGCTGTTCGCTATCAGTTTCTCTACTTGTTATAGGGTGTGTAAGCGAACAGCATGGATCCTGATCAGACTGCGTGGATGCGCAGGCTGGTCTGGTTCCATGCTGGTCGCAAACGCACTATGTTAGTTTTGTCATTGCGCGCTCATTTGCTTTTCTTCTTTGCCAGTACATTGTATGATAATAATATATTGATAATAATTTATTAAAGTGTTTTACGTAATATGATTATAAACGCGATATACCTAGAACAATTTACTTTGAATAATGTAAAAAAATAATTATAGAGACCTGTTTTTGTATGTGACTTTATATTAAGACATTTGTTAGTATTTACAATAATAAGTCAGGGCCTGCGTTAGCTAATTGGGAAAAGGCCCCTGGCATAAATTGGGAAATAAAAATATTCGGCATGTTGGGAAATTTGTGAAATTTTGAGAAAATGATAACTTCCTAATACATGACTTGTAAATTTTGAGCATTTGTCAAATCATGAAACATGTTACTTTAAGAAACATGCCAAAATAGTTCAAATTTTCTCACAAGTTTAAACAGTTTGATAGTTTTGCGCTTCAACAGTTGGAATTCTTTTTCAAATTGGGAAAAAGAGGCTATTTTGGATAAGGAATGGGTCTTTTGTGTATTTTGATTACTAAATACGCATTAATACATTTTGTATTAGAAATGCAATACTGATATGTACTAATCGTTGCAAAACGTTTGCTTCTTATATATTATGATTGCTATATCTTATTATTTCTTTGGGTTTTTTGTTTGTTTTATTCATTGCTGTAAATTTTTCTGGTGTTTCGGAATCATTGATAACACCACGTTAAGAGCTGTGGATAGAATACCTTTGAAAGCGGTGCTGGGGGCATGACAGGAGTTGTATTTGGTATTATTTCTCACAGCAAAACTCAATTATTCTGCGATTTTAGCTAAATATTTCTTTTATTCTTGCTCCCTCTTTTAAAATATTTTAAGTCAGGTCATATGGGGGCTTTTTCAGAACCCAAGCCATGTAATTAGAACGGCTCGCTTACTTTACGTAGAAAAGCTTACTCAAAAAAATCTGACACTTTCTGCAAGAAATATTAAATATTAGATAGATACATGTGCATTGTTTATTGTATTTATTTTGATAAGTAGTGTCATTTAACACAGGATTATTGTCAGACGAACGGAGCACACCCTGTGTATGTAGAGACTTCTGACGAAAATGAGTTTCTAAAGACCTTTCTAGCAGAACAGGGTAAGTTTGGTTAAATATTATTCTTTTAAAGTATTCAGGAAATCACGTAAAAAATCGTTAAATGATACCTATATGCACGAAAGCCTTCATGTTGTAACTTTACTTTCTATTGAAGTAATACATCACCGTCTGTATTCATGGTTAAAACACAGACGCTTGGGGGTCAGATCCTGCCCCCCAACGTGATACGCCCCTGTAAACACTCTACCAAAACTATTTTAATATTTAAACACGAATTGTACATCTGTTACAACGATAAAAATGGTTTTCGAACAATTTTTACGTATATGAAAAAAAATACCGTATACCATCAAGTCTCAATACTTTATTGAGACTTGATGGTATACGGTATTTTTTTCATATACGTTAAAATTGTTTGAAAACCATTTTTATCGTTGTAACAGATGTACAATTCGTGTTTAAATATTAAAATAGTTTTGGTAGAGTGTTTACAGGGGCGTATCACGTGGGGGGGGGGGGGCAGGATCTGACCCCCAAGCGTCTGTGGGTTAAAATACCCGGTAAAAAATGACGCTCTGCAATTTGTCCAAATGCATGTTAAAATACAGAATTGTAACGATTAATTTGTTTAACTGGTTTAATTTCCCATTTTTATGTATTAGTAAAAATATTATTGTAATGCTGTAACGTTAAGAGGGATGTTAATTGGTGTTTTAAAAGGATGTTGTTACTATAAAATTCAATATTTGATTAGTGTTAGTTACTTTGTATTGATTATATGATAACAAACTAATGAGTATAAAATTATTTGCTTTAAGATTCAATAACTGAATAATAGAAGATCAATATTTTTACAATGTTTTACACCCTTGGAGTAAATTTAATGTGTGCACGTGGGTGGGGGACTTTGGTCGGGGGTATATATTGAATCTTCTTTGAAGCTACACTTTGATTGTGTTAACGATCATCTGTTCATAGTAACATCTTTTATGCAAACAGTGCTGTATATTGAGTGGGTCTTATTAAAAGCAATTCCGTTTGATATTTCAAAATACAAAATGTAAGTGAAAGTGTCTGTAAATTTTATCACCTTTAAACATAAAATATAAAGATTCAAAGTTGTAATATTCATCATTGGATATGGGGAAAAAATAAACAAAAAAACAAAGAACGAAACACACACACAAAAACAAAGAACAAAACAGCACGCTCATGTTTATTGCAACTAGGAAATGACCGAGGATTTTAGGTCCTTGCCATGGCAAATCGTACGAAATATATCGAATCGGTCTTGGCTACGGCTTGACAGCGAGGTGTTCTAAATGATCAAGAATTTCTAAATGGGACTTGAAACTATATAACTATTATTTAACGATACATTTTCTTTGTACGATAAAGGACAGGCAGTTATTTCTGGAAATCAAAAAAGCGCAATTTATCTTGTACATTGTATTTTTCTACAAATATTGAATTTCTATCCAATTGAAAACTATCCAAAAAGTTAATAAACGACATATTTTTATTTTTAGTTTCGAACAATGGTTTATGGTTCATGGGAATGAGCGACAGTACTAAACAAGGGGAGTGGAGATATTGGGGTACTAATGAAATAGTGACGTTCCTAGACTTCTTCCACTCAGAACCGAATGATGATGGGTCTAATTCCCAGCAATGCGCTGTTTTTGTGCAACCGTACCGTTTTAACTACCAATGGGCGGACCATTTCTGTACTGACATTTCTCCAACTGTTTGTGAAAAATCCTGCTGTGAAACCATATATACATAATTATAGTATATGATACAGAAACCTCATAAATAACGTACTATTAATAACGTCTTCTGTGTCATGTATCACAAGAACTGATATAGATGATGGTATATCACGTGACGAACACGACTTTATTTGCTAGGTACATATGTGTATTTAACAATGGTAAAACAAACATTTATACAAGTAACACAGAATCTCCAGCTTCTTTAGATTATTATTAATGAAGAACGTAACGGTGATATAAATTCATCTATAACATTCACCGAACACTTGATCAACTAGTATAGGCAGCTTTTGTTGTAAGTATCATTTATGAAGAGGACATAATAATGTTTGATCAAATCAAACATACATTGTAACTGTATAATTTCCTGTTCGAATAATAAGTAACAATGAGAAAAAATAACAACGACAACAGCAGCAGCAGCAGCAGCAACAACAACAACGAAAAATCAAACAAACGAACATGACACGGAAATGTTGTATATTGTTAAACATGCTTACATAAATGGTGTGAAGTTCAAGGCTGAAGATATATCAGTAAACAATACTAATTTATTTAAATTATTTGCCACCAAAATATAATAATGGTCATTAATAAAACCTGTGGATTTAAGAAAGGAATAGTGATCAAAATCAACAGTGTACTCAGCAAGTTTTAATGATGTATTGGTTATCTGGAAAACAAGCACATACCCTGCTCTTGTCATATGTAGCTTCGAAATAACGTTAATTATTTTATTTTGTTCCTTTAATTCAACACGTTAACAGGTCATCAAAGTTGTTACAATGTAACATCAAACATAGTTTCACTCTATAAATCATTAAAAATTGAATCAAAATCATCATCAATTTCCTTTTCAATATCTTCAATATTCATCCCTTGGGTGAAATATTCTAATGATAAAGCTTTTGACACAGAGAGGCGACTGTCAGGTTTAAAAGCAAGAAGTCCACGGACAATGTCTAAATAGTCCTGGTCAAAATACAAAAAGCGTTCCTCACTCTTTCGCAATTCGAAGGACCGCACAGAACGCATTTTCTTTATATATTTGGCGATTTTTGTCTGATCAACTTCACCAAAAGGAAATCGTCCAGTGAGCATGATAAACAAAACAATTCCGATACTCCATTCGTCAATTGCCCGGATGTCGTAGGTGTCGTCTGCTGTGGCACAAAATATTTCCGGTGGCAAATATTCTGGTGTTGTTGCTATGTAAGCGAAATCATCGTAGGTTGCCTCTGAAACTCTGAGTGCAGACCCAAAATCAATGATCTTTATGTCTCCTGTTGTATCGATCAACATATTTTCAAGTTTCAGGTCACAATGAGCAATTTCTCGGTTATGCATATGTTCAACAGCTGACAGAATTTGCTTGCTATATTTTCGCCTTTTTTCAGCCGACACAGGCCAATTACGGATGATATAATCATGTAGATCCCCTTCAGGTAATCTCTCTATTGCCATGGTAACTATTCTGTTACACGCTATACAATCAAACACTTTCACGATGTTTGGATGCTCGAGGGTTCTTAGTATTTCATACTCTTTGAGGAGACCATCACAAAACTTTCCATCTGTCACTTTGCAAGCGTTTATTTTACCATGACATTCAGCTTGATAAACGGACGAAGTGCCGCCATGACCAATTCGTCCGTTAAAAACATAGTTGCCAACGACCTTGCCCGTCATCCGTTCTTTTCGCCATTTTTTGCCCTTTGGTTTCTGTCGATCATTGTTCTGGGAAAAGAAAACTTTTTATTTAATCTTTTTTTAGCTGATGATATTTGATAAATCTTGCCCAATGAACTACTGATAGATGATAAATACACATAGATATGGTAGGATACAAATCGAAGACTTTGTCGCCAAACTTATATATTTTTTCTATTTTTTTCCTTTATTTAAAGAAGGTAACACATGAAGATATAGCATCGTAGGAAACAAATAACAAATCTTAATTTAAAATGTGGCCTTTTAAACAATATATAAATACACAAAACATCATGATATGTTAACTAAACTCATAACTGACCAAAGTCTCAATATTTGATATTCACTAAGTAAAACAATGAACAATATATAAATATATTAATTATGGCCGCCAACACGCAAAGTATGTAATGTCGAATGCCAACTTCCGGTGGAATATTTAAACATAGAATACCAAAAAAATACTCTTAAGTTTAAACTATAATATACATTAATACATTTGACAGAAAGTCGGCAGTTGTTTATAATTACGTACTTTATAGCGCATTTTATAATTTCTGGTTAAATTCTATGTACTATTTGTAAATTAGATATAAAAATCACTGATGATAATAGAAATAAATAACTCAAACAAGCAAAAAGAAACAAGTTTAACAAATATGGATTGATCTTTATTTTTTATCGAAATTATGTTTAACATAATAAAATTTCTTTGAAAGAATACCTACCAAAAACGTATTCACATCATCCAAGTCCATTATTTATAAACAGAATAAAGATAAATGTATGACACTAGTTTTTGTCGCGCCTTACTTACCAACTACTTCAGTAACTTCCGGCCACAGGGGTTGAAATGTGGTGACGTATATAATGTAAGTTATAGACGATTCAAGTGGGTGTAAATCTCAGCCTTTAGAACGTGTGACTAATATAGATGATGGAATGTACGTTAACCACGTTTTAATGATATTGTCTAGAAAGCACTTTTTTGTTACTTTAAATATCTATTTGTAAAAAAGAAAAGACATGTTGAGAGTTTGGATAAGGAGTTTGACTTACATAAAAGAACTTTTGTTCTGTCTGCATTGCCAATAGTCTGACATATTTGAAAAAAGAAAAACTTGTAGAATTTTGAAGAAACCTTAAATTCATTCAAAAATTAAATTGTTTTAATATACGATAAAACAAGTTACCTTTAGTGATAGTGATATACCGGTATTTTATCTTTGTAATATGAAAACAGAGAAATAAATGTAGCCTTATCGATATACTTCGCCGATATTAAATTCGGAATTGAAAACGGTTATCGCGTGCTAATGATTGAGTAAACAGGCACAGTTATTTGATTTTGATTTTTAACTGCTTTTCGAATGTTTAAAACTATTAAAATTCGTTTGTATCAGTTGTAGGCAGATTGAACACTGTTTCATAGAAATTATTTTAATTTCCTTTTGTTATAGAATATAATAACATATTTTAGCAACAAAAATGGTGTGTCTTTCACGTACATGTATTATGTATTTTCTAGTTATCTGCCTTCCAATTTCAAAAGTTTTATTCCAATAGCAGATAATTAAATTAGTCTAAAATATAGTTTATTATTCACTTTGGTTTATGTTTGTCATTTAATTCGTGGTCACAGTATAAAATTTCACGGAATTCTATAAAATATTTATTGTTCCTTAACTTCCAAGGAACATTCCGCGTGTAACCGTTGACCATTGGATGGTACCGACCGATCGGATAAACAAACGATCAAACGCATTTATACATGTATTTTATACATTGACATTCTTTCATTCGTTCGTCCGTCTGTCAGTGCCAACATCAAATGGTTTATTCACTTCATTCCGTCCATAACCACGGTGAAATAGAAGGACAGCACATTTGTTTAAGATAAAAAAAATCCTATAATTTATGTGGAAAAATGCAAAGAAAAAAACAATAAGAATAAAATAAATAATCAATACATTGTAAAAAGATAAATAAATAAATAGAAGAAAGAGTCCATAAATCCCAGATTTTTCATTCATTCATTCTTTCTTTCATTCATTCATTCATTCATTCATTCATTCATTCATTCATTCATTCATTCATTCATTCATTCATTCATTCATTCATTCCTCTATATGTCTCTATTTGCTATTGTAATGAGAACTGCACAATGATATGATAATATGGAAGATAAGGAAACGACATATTCTTGACGTAAATGTCTGACAAGTAATGTTGCCGCTGTTTCCCCCTTCACATTATTGAATACAGTATATACAATGTATATATCACTGTCCTTTTCAGGAAATTTGTATCGGAAATAAATTTCAATTGCATGTCAACATATATATACATGTTATTAAGATAAAGTGGATCTTTGTGAAATATTTCCTCCTTATAATAAATTTAACCCTTACACCGCTAAATTTCTAAAATTGACGTGTCCACCTTTTAATCTGGACGGCACCATTGAGCATTTTAGGGATAATTTCAAAATAGATAATGACTGCAAACCATGATCAGACGGCAAAGATGACCTTAATCTGTCGTCTGCACTAGTTACATGTTTATATTCAGCGTTCGCCAGTCGTGTTAGGGATAATATTTTTAAGTATCGTCATCTGATTTTTGATATGACCATTTTCTTATACCTTTGTCATATGTCATGAATTTAGTTTTCGGAAACAAATTAGAGGAACTCCGTTGATGTCGAAAACCCTTAAAATTTGAATTTCTTACTAATATCAGCTGGGGCACTTATAACAAGATAATAAATAAATATAAATGAAAATCGTATTTTTGTGCTATTCTCAGGTTCATTTTTCGCAAAAATTAATCCCGAAACATTATTGCAAGCCATGTCATGTCAAAATACCTCAGTGCAGTCCCTTTAAAAGATTTCAATACGAAATTCACATCACTTAATCAATTATACTATAAGACAATTGTAGACATGATAGTTCTGGCTTCCAAAACTTTGTAAGCCACTTTTTTAACATTTTTGTTTTTCATCTGTTCACGTCATGTCATAGTATATACACGGGTGCGCTGAAGACCTTAAGCTATATATACATGGGAATGTATGTAGTTGTCCTGTTACTTTCATAATCTTCCCAAACAAAATATTCACACGATTTAGGCTTATTAACCCCGTAACAATATTCAAACAAACTCCTCGCAGCGGTTACTTCCCCTGACAAGACCAACCACACTACATTCAAAGTTTCGCCCCGCCATCTTTGCCGTCTTTGTCCAACAAGCAATATGTATATGGTAATTTTGATCCCAAACTACACAACCAGGTAAAACAAAATACATTTTCTCAGCGACGAAGGGATACTTTGGTCTAGGACCTTACCTATATGTAGAAAAACAGCTTTCGGGTCTTTACCAATCAACGTGTCCTTGGTGGAAATTTCAGGCAAGCTCCAAATCTTCTGCCGATGCCCTGCAAATTCTCTACGACGTAGGATAGAAAGAAATGTGGCAGAAGAAGTTATTTACTATTACAATCGCATCCTCTCGGTTCTTTCCTGTAATTTTCGGATTTGTATTAATTATATAAAATGATTTATTTGTAGTGGGCAATGTCTCCAGGATAAAACCATTTCTACTGCTGCTGCTATTGCTACAATGTAGCTCTCTACTATTGTTACTACCGACACTATACAGTATGGTTTAGCATTTTTGTATTATTCGTATGCTGTTCCTTGCTGTATTATTCAGGGGCGTTACTATTTTGATAAGTACTCCTTAACTATGGGGGGTTCGGGGGCATGCTCCCCCAAGAAAATTTTCGAAAGAGGAAGCGATATCCTGGCATTTCGTGACTGTCTAGATGCTATATTGACAACATATTGGTGATGATTTCAAACTATTTTATTAATTTTAAAATACAAAAAAAAATGTATGTAAAATGAACAAGTACGTTACATATACAATAAAACCGTTTTTTATATTTATAATCGAATTTTTTGGCATTAAAAAGTTATTTTGCGACCTTCAAACTGATGTTATGGCAACAAATCTCTCGTATTCAGTAAATCTTAATCGCTAGACGTCTGTTTCGTTGGTATGCCAGCTTGTCTACTCGGCATTCACTACCCTATCTTTATAAACATTTATGAGGCCTAGACCAGACATACGCTCAGTCTCCAACGTACGTACTTCTGACGTTTTAGGTCAGTTGTTGCCGTTGACAGACAATGCCTCATGTTTGGGTACAGAGCCTTGCTTTCTTAAGAAAAGATGGGGCCGCTGGACGGCAATTGTCAAGTTCAGGTTATTCCATCACATAAGTCACAGCTAACACTCGGAAAAAATGCGAGGTACAATGCCCCAATGCTCTCTCAGGAAAGAATGTCATACTGCACCTTCATAAGTAGCAACTGTTGTAACAATGTATTAATTTAAGAATGATAATAGCGTGAACATTGTGACTTATTTGGCTTGTAAAATATTTCATTACATTACAATATATCAAAAATACCGCGACATATTACACGCTAAGATATGTCAAAATTAATAATCGTTGCGTAAAACATAGATTATTTGGAGTTAAATATATAACTCACGTGAATACATTAAAGGATTCATTTAAGATATTTTGTTATAAAGTAAATTCATTAGCAGATATACGACTTTAATAATGTAACTTGCTTGATGACTCATCGCAATGTTTTGATGACCACAAAGAATAATAATCTCAACAACTAATATTAGAATCTGGCATTCTTTTAAATAAATGCATAAAATTGTACACTCTTTGTCTTTTTCTGCCTTTTCGGCACGGCCAAGTAATTCTCTGCAGTAATCAAATGATAGAAACGCCATTGAGAAATAACATCAATTTGTTACTTGTTTTCTAGGTAAAAGATGAGAACAAAAATCAAACATACAAGGCGACGTTGGCAGATAGCAGCCCCTACACAATCCAGCCCCACCAGCAGGGCACCCAGAAGGAAGGCACCAAACCAAAAGCAGAAGAGGGAGAAAGGGCCGATACGGGAAATAAGGAGGAAAAAAATACTGCGGGCGACCTGCTAGCCGAATAAGAAGCACGGTGCGCAAAACATGCCGCCAATGCTTGGTGGAATATCTCCGCCAAGAATGGGTCCTGAACCAGGCACATTAAGCTTTTCGTCACTTATCTCCGCTGAATCTGTATAAGATATTGCAATATAGATCATTTTAAAAGATGTATGTTATGATTTTTTTATATAATGATAAAGTCGAAAGAGTCAGATCGAAGGCCTATACAAATATATGTGCCCGACCACACTACCCCCTCTGTTTTTATCACTTTTTTAGAACTTTTAGCGCATGTATTTTTTTAGAATAAAGGATTGATTTGTACACACGGGCGTACAGGAGTACGCCTAGTTAAGCCCCTGTTATTATACTTCACCTAGATAGAGATGTGTACACGTGTATATGCAAAATAATAATTTCTTAACTTGTACAATCTTATTTTATTTGTGAAATAAAATTAACAATATATTACAAAAAAACAACCCAAAAAACATTGTACCTGTTTATACACATGTGAATATAAATAATTTCTATTAATTAACCCACTAATTGCTTTTTATGCCAACTAAAAAATAAAATGGTTTAACATAATGTACTTGGTCCGTCAAGAAGTATGTACATATATGTATATTGTCAATTTTCAGACCTTTTTCTCAAACAATTAACAATACCACATTGAAAACACTTAGGTCTTAAATTGCATACGGTATCACAAGGTCAAAATGTGATATGCTTTAAAACTCAATTTCTTCCTAATATTCTAACACCGTTTTGCTTCATAACTTTATAATATTTCAGCATTACTAGAATACGGCCACTCATGCCTATACGATGAATATAAAAACGTGTTATTTATAGCATTAATTGTGACTTAAAATAGGTAAGCAAAACTAAACCTGAACTACAATTACATAACACCAATCAATGGCTATTAACATACTTTCTTCTAGTAAATCAAAGATTCATAGATTTTGTTTTCAAACATGTTCTTATTCATTTCACAATTTGTCATTGAGGACTTCAAATGTGCAAATGTATTTATAAACCTACATACCAATATACACGGTGCTTATATATGATGTATTTTATATGATATACAGTAGACAGTATTCAGTATTTTCCGTAATGTTCATGTAAACCACGAGAGAATGCCCCCACCCCCACATATATTCATCATGAATATTTTTATAACAATATCCCACAATGGTCCACGTGATTATCATAATGCCGGGCAATATCCTACATTGTATTATGGCCGTACACTGGTCATGTGAAGTGAAACCTCGTGTCAAGTTCCCTTTCTAACGACAGTAAATTTTTCTTTCGTTTCAATGTTTATTTTCTCCATTCTCGGGAACACAACTCGATACCTAAAATAATACATGTATATACACAGATCAACTCATAATTTGCATCATGATTATTAAGAAATATAATTATAGCATTATAAACAGAATATTATAACTATTAAAAGTTACATTTTCATAAAACCAGTACACGCCGTGTAATACATTTATGGATAAAATCACGTGAACACGTGCGGGCTTGTTGCACGTTTACAAAACATAATATAACTGACTGCAATAACACCCCGTTAATTTCATTATCAAAACATATCACATGCACAATCAAGGAACTGAAATCTTTATACAAAAACAATTACTGAGATATGAAATAACCGTAACACATGTATAAGTTTATGCAATAATAACGTTCATGCATTTTTTTGCATTTTTGCCTTCGGACTTATTAAATCCCTGCGGGCTCGGACTTTCAATCAATGCTTGCGCACCAATTTTCGTGCATAAACATCTGCATAATCACACGTTTATGCACGAAAAATGGTGCACAAACCCTCTATTTCAAGTGATTTATTATCTTTAATATTTACATTATTTCATCTAGCCGTATTACGGTCGTCCCTCTCGGGTTTCTTTTGTATCCCGATTCTATTTTCTCAATGATATCTGGTGAATATGAACGCCATGTGTCCCCGTCAAGCCACATCCATTCTACTTTTTCTTCTAAGCATTTACCTTTAAAAGAAAACAGAACATATTTTTACCCTTTTCCGTCCCTTCAGTACACGGCCAAGTCAGCCAGCACATGCAGTATGTCGATGCATTATGCTGTTGGAAGTTCAATTTTTGTATTTTGATATTGAAATCATTTCCTTTTTCAAACAAACTGTTCCAAATTCAAAGCTGTGAAAATCAATAGGTTAATAGTTAATGATAATTGAAAACCGATTGGTATATATCTTCAATACAACAAGTAGTGTGTCTATAACTATCGTAAGAATCCAGTTTATTTCATTTCAATGTTTCTCAACTTTATCACTATTAATATAATAATATGCAGTATAATTAGTTCTTAAGATTAAAAATTCAACAAAATAAAACAGTGAAAACGGATTCCTATAAAGAACATCAAAAACGGTATACACATTTTTAAAACAAAAAAAAGATATCTAGAATAATTTATTCATGCTATAGGCTCACCTGACCCACCCTTCGTAGTTCCTTCCACAGAATGTTTAGGTTTATGTTCGGCAAATGATGTACTGATATTTTCTGCCGAACTACTTTTTATCGTGTCTGCATGTTCTCGTTTTAATGTATTATTTTCACCATTTATATTATTATCTGACGGCATATTTTTCACTGGTTGACTGTTTCTTTTATTTTTATTGTTTTCGACACTATCGTCTGCAGGTACTTGTGAAGTGGCGCCCCCTGTTGGTTCCGACATCTCCATGTCATATATTGATCTGTTCCGCTCGTTCATTTTCTGTACTCTCATTTCTTCTGTTAGATCATCGTTTGGTGGTTTGACTTCTGTATCTTTAGGAACGATCTTCTGGACGATTTCCTTCTTGTGACCACTTGTACTAAAATGTTTAGTTGCAAACAGAAATGACGATTTAACAAGAGCAAAATTATCTCAGAAATGTCATCAGAAATGCAAGAATTAGTTTGCAATGTTCAATACAACATTTTTTCTGCGACATGGTTAAAATTGTTATTGCATGTAATCCATTTATAGTTGTTGAAAAAGGTGTTTTTGCTGTAATAAAAAACAAACAACAATAACTTTCATGATATCTTGGAAGAAGGTAAAAAAACTACATGTATTAGCCGCTGATATCACATAATACATAAATAAAAAGACTGCGAGACTTCTGAAAATATTTGTGAATTTAAACTGTACTCACACTATTTCTAAATCAAACTTGCCCTCCGCTCCGAATTTGTATGTATTCTTACTACCATTATCCCAGCGAACCTAAAACAGTATACACTAAATGTTTTCTTACTTTCACAAATAAATAATACGACTGGCTTCTTTGTTATTGTTAGTACTTTCATGATACTATATTTTGTCTGTGTCAGTGTAAAGCAAAGGAGATAATATTTCTGGTTATAAAAATGAAATATAACTAAAACTGATACATACGCTGACAATGCCATTTGGTTTTATACTATAAACACTTCCCAAGTTGCCTGGCCCTCCATCCTGATCAGGGTAGCACCAATCCTTGCCTGAAAAATGTTCATCATGAGTGGCATTTTTGAACATCAACATCATTCAAAATTGATTAACGACCCACACAGTGTTAAAATAGTCAAACATGACATCAGTCATACTTTAAAAGAATTATCCTAATTTGGTTCAACAATTGTATTAAAGAACAGTCTATTGTACGTATAATGTAATAGATGAGACAGGAGAAGAAAACTAGATCGAAAACTCGCGACGTTATATAATATTTTCATTTCTTGGATGTAAGAGAAGTTAGCTTGTGTCAAAAACAATTCTCAACATTTTGGGGAGATAACCTATGCTATTAAACCATTCAAGCCGGGCTAAATCATTTTGCATTCTGGTAATGTTTTATTATAAATAATAGTATTTGTATAATTTTGTTAAGTGCAACCGCTTAGGACTATTTAAAGATCCTGTATGTTGTGTGATCAAAGTAGTAAACCACACTAAGTGAAATCATATACGTGTATATGTACATAATTATGCAAATAAAACAATTTTCAAACATCGAAGAATATTTAAAATATGTACTGCAAATATTTGTACATATTATATGTAATCATTAAAATATATGCATTCATTTCTTATTGTAAAATTTTACTTAAACTTTATAGAAAATAATTTTTTATTACCTCCTTTTATTTACATGAAATGTTAAAATCGGATATATCTTTATAAATAATGCTTTTTGGAACCTACAATATTGATCAATCCTAATTTGAGCATCATATTTATGATTTAAAACCATAAAAAATTGTGTTACATGATCTTTAAAGAAACGTTTACATATTTACGTGGATATATGATTTGAAAAGGAAACACTTTGCCATGTTTTAGTCCTTATACATGTATACATATTTACCTCTTGTCACTCGGCATCCTTCTGCAATCATTTCGTCGTCCTTCAGTACCCGAGGTTCGTCAACAACAATTAACGTTACGTGCACCAGGTTGGTACGGTTTCTTCTCTCGTAATTTACCGTTGTCATTCGGCTCGTCCCACGTGATCCCAATATGACCTATTTCATAAACAGTCCATGGATATAGAGTATTGTTCGGTTGGTTTTGTACATTTTATAAACTAAAGCACCAGGTTCATCTATAAAATGTTACTCTTTTTAGGCATTTAATCTTAATACAGTGATAAATTTTAATGGAAACATTTCTGTTGTTGGAAACCAACAAACAATCATGGTGTCCTCACCAATACTGAACAGATTAATGCAGTTCTTTCAAAACTATAAAGAAATACAGAATAAGTATTTCATAAATCTATGTGCTATAGCGCAAAACCATCCAAGTATGCATTCGATTTTACAAATTAAAATCATTTAAACACGAAAAGAGAGAAAGTACACAATAAACTTTCCATGAAACTAGGAAAGACAAGCATTTTACTATATATAATACAAATAAAAACAGTTAAAGCCGGTAAGTTGTTTTACATATCGCTTTAAAAAAGAACACTTCACTCGGTGTTAAAGCAATGCTCACCATCAGAAAAATGTTTTGTTATTGTCCCAATAGCCATTGACTCTGTCATTATTGTTGATCCAGGATTGTGACCACGAACACGTGACCCTAATGGCGGGAAAGTGTCCGTTTCCTGGTCGTCTGAATCCTCGTCTTCTTCCTGTTCATGTCTGTGTAGAAATTCCTCCATCTGTATCTGTTGTAGAAACATGACAACATTTACTAATTATAATACTTTGACAGTATAAGTATATTGCAGTGATCACTTAAATACAAACTTTGTTCACACTTGTTCAGGGCTTCATTGAAGCATCAACAATTCATAATTCCATAATCGGCATTTCCAACATCTTATTTCCATAGCAAACTGTGTGACACATTTGTTTGTTATAATTATTATCTTCTGTTCTTTTTTATTTAAAAAAGCAAAATGAATTAAAAGTCGAAACCAAATAACACTTTTCGAAATTTTGTGAATTTAGATGAATATTGTAATTTAAAACATGCACTGATCAAATAATGTAAAATAATAAAGACAAAACTCCACCACAGAAAGGAATTAAAATAAGTGTTATGCTTGTTTTCCAATCCATATATATTGTGATGTAAAATGATACATGCTTGTAAAATTGCTAAATAAAATATGTTTAGACTGGCTAGGTTTAGTTAAAAGCTGAGTAAAACCAACCTTATCTTCTGGTGATGCATTAACAGCGTCCAACATCATCGTCTTCAGACCTGGAGCTAGCATCTTAGCGAATGGTCCTCCACATAACTTGGCAGCAGCTAACTGAGGGAGGTTAATGAAACTTTGGTATTACTTTTCATTTTCAGTAGAAATTATATCTTAATGCAGGGTTTCGAGTTTAATAAGCAATGTAATGTTAAGCTTAATGATAACTTAATGTTAAAGTTTACTCAACTCTTTTTTTTTAACAAAAACATTTAATTTTTGTTATTTGGTTACAGTTTCGGAAACAGCACTTATTGGTCATAAAGCTGAGTTATTATTGATTTTAGGCTATTAGTCAAATTACTGTGATTTTGATTGATTTGTATTGAAGACAAATTACCACTTTGTTTAAATTTTTAATTTAAGAATAAGAACAACGAAACTTACATAGTTTTTAAAAACTCTGGACTGCATTCTCCAATCTTCTGGTGAAATCATTTTTCCTTTTGAAATTTGTACAATTTTCTCTAACAATGTCTACAAAGTAATATTTGTTTATTATTGTTGTATCCGATTTAACAATATTCTATGATGTTAGCTATGTACATTCAATCAAGTTTACACTTTATACAACATCTTTCTTTTAAGTACATGTATATTGTTGACAACAGTCATACTATTTTAAAGAAAAATACAGCCATGAATATTACCTACCATTTATAACCACAGTAAGCTTCTTGTATTAATAACAAATATTTAAGTGTAAAATGCTTGTTTTGCTTTTATTGCTATTATAACATCCAATGTAGTTTGAACCTGATTAAAAATTATCATGTTTTCATGATACATGTATATTAATAAACGAGTATACATGAAATTTACCAGAAAAAGTCTGCGTGGTAAGATGAGTAATAATAATAATGCCTAACAACTTCACAGACAATAGACTTAGTGTATTTCTTTCATTTTTGCCTAATTTTGTTACTAGGAAATCTTGTAATAAAATAAGATAAATTGATACCGCATCGCATTCTCCAACCGGAACTGTGTTAATAGTCACGTGGTATTTATCATGAAGTTCTTTCACCACTTTGAGAATAGGAAACTGCTCCTGTAGTAATAATAATCTAGCAATTAATGACATTGTATAATCATAAAAAATGAACATTAAACATTTGTAATGTCTTACTTATCGAACACTGACTATAAGAACATCTTATATCTACAAATAAATATGGTACAATAATATGCGAGTGCAAACATCCTATTAGAACCGTTTGAACGTGAATGTTGTGAGCTGTTTTCTCTTTAAGTCAAAAATTGAAAGCAAGAATCTTGAAAATTTCAAGGAATTCTGAAAAGAAATTGTTTAGTATTATTCTTTACTCTATAAAAACAAAAATTTGCAAAGCGTGGATATTTTTCTAGTTTAAGAAACTGAAGACTCGTATCTCACCTGTTGTAAAAGTTCTGGTGGACATACATCTGGTCCTGAAACCATACCGGCTGGTGTTGCTCTCCCGTCCGTAATCAAAAATACCCTAGGATACATTCTATAACCATTGCATTTGAAGACCATTCCTAAGAAAAGATTAATAATGAAACTAAAGATTGTTGAATAACTGGGTTACTATATTCTTTATTCGTAATGAGTTGAAAAGAATGCATGTACAAATGTATATAAATTAATCATTGGATGCATAAAGTAATATACTTTCTCTTTATGCATAAAAAATTCAACTTGGGCTAATTAACAATCTGTGGATTCCTTCCAGCGTTTTCAAGAACTGAAGATATTGCAAAATTGAAGCTAACCGGCCCCAAGAATAGCGGCGTGTACCATCTGTAACCCTGCATACATCGGGGAGGGACCACTTGGTTTGAGACGATCTGAAAAATAAAATCATAGAAATACACCAAAAATTATCATAATTATATCCAATGATAAAGTGACAGAATTTACATCTAACAAAATGACCTCAAAAAACAACAGGGGAATTCCGAATATTTACATCACACGTGTGTCACACATATGACATGGGGATGCAGAAAAATGTTGTAAAACTAGGTTACTGAGATACAAATCCGTTATATGTATATAAATGTCTCTGTTCATTTCATTTATACGATCAACACAATAAATATAGCTTTTAGAACTGTCCTGTAAGTTACAAACATGTTCCGTATGAAAAAGATTGTGTAAAAACACAATTAATATATGAGCCGTGTCACGACAAAACCAACATAGTGGGTTTACGACCAGCATGGATCCAGACCATCCTGCACATCCACGCAGTCTGATCAGGATCCATGCTGTTCATTTACCAAACCTATTACAAGAAGAGAAACTGAAAGCGAGCAGCATGGATCCTGATCAGACTGCGTTGATGTGCAGGCTGGTCTGGATCCATGCTGGTAGCAGACCCACTATGTTGGTTTTGTCGTGACAAGGCTCATATATTTTAACTGAGTAGCAAACTATTGTTCTTCAATGAAGATAGTACAAACAGATGTTAGAGGACTGGAAGGTGAAATGTTCTTACACAACTTCCGGAAGATCTCCACATAATCACAGGTCAAATGTTGTTGTACTCGAGTCTCGCTGCCATACGTCACGAGGGCTATGTGTTCGTATGATGTGTCCATTAATGTAGAATTTTGAATACCTAATATGATGGACAAATAAAACATCAAGAAAAGTAATGCCATCGTGTGTTTTTATATAGTAAGTCAATCAATATATAAATGTATTTAGCTGATTAAATAGATAAAACATTATTGTTATACAATTAATTCAAATATGTCAAAAAATAGACAAAGGCATAACTTCTTAAATTTTATTTCAATCATTTTAAGTAATAATTTAGCTTCAAAATGTGAATAGCTATTACCTTCAACAAAATTCTTTATAAATGTGGTAGCTTGCTCCCACGCATATCCCCTCATGGAGTGTGATAGGTCAAGACAAATAACTGTGTCCATACCACTTTCACGTACATCCTGTGCTACCTTTCCCTTCACTACCTCATCATTTGCATATTGAACCCACACGTCTGGGTCTATATCAATTCGTTCCACTGAAGTTCAAATGGACAAACATGTATTGTTATGTATAAAATTTATGCAAGAATAAGCGCAAAATAAACGCAGACGGAAATATAAACACTCTGTCAACTCATAACTGTTATTATAAAACTTTACAAAATTACCTTCTGAATCGTTTTCATCTGTTTCATTTTCCTCTGTTTTATATGTTAATGCTGCAGCACTGTAAACAAAAGTTATGTAGTAAGAATTCAAATTTGATTAGCTGAATAATCTACACAGTATAGACTATATTTACACTTCTTTCACTGATCAAAGACACACACATGTAAGACTCTTATGCATGAAAAGATCAAAGAAAATAACAAGTCGACAGGTTAACCATATAATAATGACGATAAACGACAATAACAAAAAGCTAGTGCTCCAAATGCTTATCGTTAAAATTGTAATAAAGATTTGTTTCTGACATTTAAACCATGTATATCTGTAAGATTAAACCTGTGCCCAAAAGAAGTGTCACGTGACTTGTCACTTTCGTCATCTTCTGCTTCGTCGTCGTCTGCTTCGTCATCATTTTGTGATTCTGCCTGTCCTAATGCTTGATCCATCATAGATTTAAACTGCCCAGTCCATAAACCCTGTCCAGCCTGAAGTATTCAAGCACCAATATAACAGTCTGATTACGCAGGGCATAATATTTTACAAATCAGTGATACGTCTGTTTTGACCAATATAAACGAAGCAATCGTAAGGACATGAAATATACAAAGAAAACTGAAATAGACAAGATTTTCATTTTGTTTACTACATACTTGAATGTTGTCATATCTAAACTTATTATCTACTGACACACATGCAGTTACTATAATTAGAGGTCATCATTTAAAGGGTCACTGAGGTTTTTTTTGACATGATGTGATTGAAATTTTTTTCCCAGATAAATATACTATTTGATGTAGGTTTAGACCACTAATCATTTCGAATAATTTCAGATCATTCGCGCACTTCGTTTTTCCTGAATAACTATTCAAATTGGTAAAAAAATGGCCCAAAATGAAAAGCGTTTAAACGCTTTTCACTCGAATTCCGGCTAAGAAAAGCATAAAAATACGATTTTCAATTTATTTCAAAGTATATTTCTTACCTATCTTTGCATATATTTCTGTTTAAAATGCCCAAGCTTATTCATGTTAGAAATTCAATGTTATATTTTTTAGGCTTTCAAACCTCAGTGGAGTCCCTTTAAAGGTTAAAACAGATGATGAATCCTATATCATCAAACTAATAAATCATTCACTTTGTGATACAATGACTAAATACAAACCAATTCTATTTGACTTTTCGTACATAATCATAAATTTATAACAGAACAAAAATAAAAACAATAATACGTCAACAGGTATTACCTGAACACATTTTAACAAATCAATTTTTCCATTTTCATCAAAAAATGAATTCGCTAGTCCAGCTACTACCTGTTGATCCTCCTCACTAAGATTTTCATCAGTTGAAAACATCTTAAATATCCTCTCCATAAATTTGTCTTTCGTCAGCTGTAACAAGTCATGAATAAATAAAACCAAGAAAAGTGACACGAATAGTATCATTTTATAGAGAGATGAATTGTACAGAATTGTCATTTCCTCACACAGAAAGCGGAGCATGCATAGAACTTGCATAAAAATGTATAGTCTGGAATGAAAAAGTTACAAAATAAGCATACGGCATAATCAGCACTTTTATCTCTGATATGTCTGTTGTCGTTATGGTTCTTTCAGTCCCAGCTAGTGGTATACAGTTTGAATAATTACCTGACTAAACTACTGCATGAGCAAGGCAGAAAAACATATAACGACAGACTGCAGGGTGGAAACAATTACTTAGTCTAATCTGGGAGCAAAAATATTTCTTTATTTGTCCCAGGTAAATAAATCTTAAGTCGATGCAAATCAGAATAAAGCAAAGGCGGAGATTTCAATGTGGAATATACCGGTAATAACATATAACTAATAAAAAAGGAAACACGGAAACATGCCAAACAAATGGTTCAATCAAATATGATGGATCATAAAATAAAATGTCATTACATTTAAAAATTCTAAAGGGTTAACAGTCTCTCCTTCTCCGAATAACATATTAAGAACAGGGACCATCTGCTCTCGTATTCCTTCTTTTTGTTGATCATCCACATTCATGTGCTCTGTAATCGTATTTAACCAAGCATCTCTCGACAACTGTATCTAAATGATAGAGTATCCAATTCTATATATTCAATCAAAGATATTTCCAATAACAACGCACACGAAATACAGTTGAATCTCAGTATTTCAAAGGACAAGAATTTTTAACTTCGAGTTAAACGACGTTTGAATTGCCATAACGTTTGAGGCATAAGCCACATTAACTTGACATTTTTTATCAATAATTAAAGAGAAGTCCGATTTAACGACAAATCATTGCAAACATAAATTCTAAGTAATATGGATCAATATTGATGTAATACATGTGCGATTACAATAGAAATTAAGACCCCAATTTGCCTTAATAATGAATAGCCACTTAATTGCATGCCTTTCTACAAATAAATAGAACCTTCTTTCCAATGTTGTCAGAAGTAGCATTTTCATTCAATGTATGACATCAATTAACGGAAATAGAAGTTAAACAAGAAAATAACATTTAATAGTCAAACAAGGCAAGAGTTCATTAGTTAAACAGAATGATAACATTTGATCAGAACGTGTAATTAGTGATACAAAACAAAATAAAAACAATGAAAGGTACATTTAATTAGTGAAACATTACATTTGATAAGAATGTTTAATTAGTGAAACAAAACAAAATAATACCATTTAAAAGACACGTTTAATTAGTGAAACAAAATAAAATCACTTGATAGGAAGGTGTATTTAGTGAAACAAAACAAAATAATTACTTAATAGGCACATTTAATAAGTGAAACAAAATAATAATATTAGATAAGAACGTTTAATTACCGAAACTGAAACATAAAAAAAACCAAAAAAAAAAACATTTGATAAGAACATTCACTTAGTTTAACAAAATAATTAACATTTGAAAAGAACATTACTTTAGTTTAACAAAATAAGAACATTCGAGTTACCTGGACCCCTGTGTTCTGTAATGATCCTAACATACCAGCCATCTGGTCCTGTAACTGCTGTCCCCCGGCACCGTCTCCTTCAATAAAATATACACATTAATTCAAACATACAAAGTTTGGAAAAGGAAAACTACATGAAAAACAATAAAACAAAAGCAATAGGAAAAAAACTTCTGAGATGAGAAAGAATAAAATAGGCACATCGTCTCTAACTTCCATGGCACCGGTGGCTTAGTTCATTTCAAAGACTTGTTAACATTAGGGCCAGAAGCGAGCAAATAATTCAAACGTGCAATCTTGGTAATTATATAAAAATGTATAAACGGTGCAAAATTTAAGTAGCTCTTCATAACAGAAATAATAATAATAATACATGTAATAATAATAATAATAAAGTGTATGCAATCTGATTAAAATTAGCTCTAAATAACGCTCCGCTTTTAGATCTAACCGTGACCATATACGAAGTCATTTCTGGTGACCTTTCATACAGCCAATCATCGGCGAGCTTTCATAATTTTGAAAGCGATATGGTCTGGGAAAACCAATCCTGAGTGGGTAATTTTCACGATTTCGAGAACAAACATGGCGTTGTCCATATAGCCACAGGCGCTAGTCACATAATCAAATATTTTACATGACCGGTCTATATATGTATATCTTATTATAGTATATAGCCCATATAAAACTTTAAAAAGTTTGTTTCAAGCACCTGTGCATATAGCCGCCAGGTAAACTGGCAAAAGAATTCTTGCCCATTAAAAATTGACTCTATTATTTCAAGTTAATTTTTTAAAAATTACTTCAAACATTTTTTCTAACAAAAATCAACAATTTGTTTCAATTCCACGAGTAAAGGTATTTGATACTTCTTCTAATGCCTTAGTAAAGACCGGTTTGATTGCATGGCTAAAATAGCTTTCTCGGGAAATTCGAATAATAAAGAAGGAGAAACATATATCAACATATATACGGTCGTCATCAGATCTACATATAAGAAATAAGTAGATTTGAACTTTAGTCAGATTGTAAGTGTATGCAACTGTACCAAAAACTAATGACTGCTGATACAGCAATTTTATAATTCAAAATCTTCAAAATTCATGTGATGAATAACCATTCACTCGATCGTTGTATGTGTAATATTATTTGAGTACATACAACAATAGAATGCAACAAACTACCAGATTCAAAATTATACTAAAAACCTGAGAAAAATGTTTTTACTGAAAGTCTGAGATAAGAATATTAGACTCTGATAATACTTATTCAGAAGCACTTTCAATAGTCTGGCTCTTCATGCTACCATAAATAATAATCAGAAGTGCGGGTGCCAATAAAATGAAAGGTAATATTACAAGTTTGCAGGAAATTTTGTAAAAAAACCCCCAAAAAAATTTTATATTTCTTGGGGGAAAAATTTTCCTTTTAAGGAGGGTTTTTATTTTTTTGTTAAATTTTTTTTTTTTTTTTTTCTCAGGGTTTTTTTAAAAAAAAAACCCCCAAAAGTATCACACGTTATTTGTTTTACGACTTTTCACCTTGCCACACCCAATCGTAAAAAGAAAACAACTTATCCACAAGTTGGTCCGTTGCTTAAATAAAATAAGAAGTAAAAACATTCATGAAATTATTCATTATTATGGTCAATATTAACTTTCTTCATTTTCGTAATACAAAAGATGATATATAGCGAAAGAAACTTACTACTTGGAACTTTGACTTTCATTTCAGGACGTGGTTGCGATTTCTCTAATTCTCTCTTTTCAGTTTGTTTCTTCTTTACCTTACTTTCAACAGCGCCCTCTGCGCTTGGAGTCGTTTTTGAACGGCTTTGGCTTTGTCGTTTAGAGATAGCAACTTGTTTCTCTTTTGGTTTTGACCTCTCAGTAACACTACCCTCACGTGAATCTAATGTCACTTGTTTATTACAATCATCATTGACTGGCACTTTAGTGAGATTACGTGTTGGTGCAGTCGCTTCATTTGTGACAGGAGAAGGAGGTCTTCTACTTTCGTAAACGTTACCAATGTTTGGCTCAAGTCCAAATTCTTCACACAATCTGTTGTCTTGATACATTTCTACAGCGTTTCTCTTCAATTTACTCCCATACATTACATGATTAAAATTTAAATCTAGACGTTCCTTGAACCCATATGAATGTTTTGATCCTACTTTAGGTGCTTTGAGAATGCCTTTAACCTTTTCGTCTCTGTTACTTTCACCATTAACATTTTGGCTTGCCTCTTCCATCATGTTTTCGGTAGGTGTACTGCTTTCTGAGGGATTATCGTCATCTTTGTGGGAAAGGGTAGCCGTGTCTTTAGTAAGTTCACTATTTGAAGTTTTCGATTCATTATCATCACCAACAACTTGACCAGATCCTGCTATAGATAAAGAGATATATTTTAATCATTTATAAAAACATCATTAGTCAACGAATATATTAAATAGATTCATACAACAGGCAATTATTCAGAACTGAAGTATATCGGTACCAGTATATATTTCAATGCAAGCTTTGATGGTCAAATCATGTATGCTTAACATTCATGATATATAAGTATTGTTTACGCTACTAAACGTGTCATGCACGAGTTACATAGAAAGTAGGTTGATTGTGAAAAACATCACTAACATGCAATTACTGATAATGTATTATGAAAGATATTTTATTTAGCTCCATGAACACTTTTTATGTGTGTTTTTTTCCTTCTAATATTAGATACAAAAATTGATTATAGGATGAATCCTCAAATCAAAATCTTGTACATGACTGTATTGAATGTGTACGCGTGATGTTGACGGAGTGTCTGCTGGTTGACAAAACGTAAGAGCAGATCGCGACAGATCTTCAAACTTTTGTTAAGACTTTTATACAGTATTATTTAATGGCTTGATCTCGTTTAAAAAATTAGATCAATTAAAACTTTCAAATTTCTTTAACTAGAAAACTCGGATATTTGATACTGATTTCAGGAAACAACAAGTTATAACAATTCAGTTCCTACCGCCTGCCGCTGTCTGTTGATTGTTTCTTCTCTTTTCTATGACATCTAATGCAGTGTGGATTTCCTTATTCAGTTCTTTGATAGTGTCCAATTTCCCTTTGGTTTCTGTTAGCTATAATGCAACAATCATGGTCACATTCTTTATGTTATATATTTTATAAGAAAAATTATTATAGCAATATTGAAAAATCATCATCATCATCATGATCATCACAACCACCACCACTATCATCTACATGTATTACTATTATGGTTGTTGTTTTGCAAAAATGGTGGGGAGGGATGAGGGTCTTCTTCGAAAAAATTTCAATTTTGGATTAGAGGGTTCAAAATTGTCCGGGATCGAAACAATATAATAAATTAAGGAATAACTTTTCCCTTTTGTTTTTTTTTTAATCCAAATGAAATACTGTATGTTTTTCTCTCTCTCTTTTCTTTATGAAAACCCTTAGCATAATTCGACTGTGGTCAACGTTCTCTCTTAATTTTCATAAACAATTAGTGTGAATACGGGTTATCATATAAGGACATTATCAAGTTTACGAAGTGATCGATAAACGCTATTATTCTTTTTTGTGACACATTTCTCATCTATTTCCGTATGAAACATATAGTCAGCAAGGTTACATGTAGTTGATAACATAATTACTTGATTTATCTGCAACGATCTAACGATCAAAAAGCGTTAATGTTAAATAATTACAGTATGTGTAGGCAATCCGAATCTAAGGCAACCCGAATTACATCATTTAATAACTTTTATATTCATCAATTAATTAATAATTGACAAAAGAATCAGTTGATGTAAGTTTTAAAAAATCAGCACTTGTGTGTAAAGAAATATATGTTTTGAGTAATACAGAACTGAACATGAATGACAAGTTTTTTTTAGATAACCTTTATTTTAAATGAAGGCTTTAATATTTTCAAATTAACTTTTCTGTAGTTACTGTTACATGTTAAAATAACCAATTTTTTTTTTCATGTTGATTTCTTTTTTTTCTTCATCAGTAATTGATATGTCAAGATTTCAAGAAAACGTTGACCAGCAGTGTGACAATTCCACGATGTTTAGAAAAGAAATGACGCCTGTTACTTTTAGTTTGTGTATGAATATATGAATGTTAAAAATAATTTAAAGCTTTTCATAAGGTGATTCCGATTGCCTACACTGACTGTATTCCAATTATTTTCTATTGAATCCACAATATGATTCGAGTCTATTATGAAAAATATTTTAATATTTTACCTGTTATAATTAGCGCTTCATGTCATTACTTAAAAAAACAACTTTGTCTTATACTGATTTTTTTAAACATTCATGAATAGGAGACAAGAAAAATCCATTCTAGTTAAATAATGACACATACAGTACCCTGGACTGTCCAATGTAGGTGTTAATTTGAGTGTAGAAATAATGTAAATCTACACTGTACACTACAATGTCATAAAAATAAAGCCACAATCTGAATACTCATTTCACCAAATAACATCAAATGATATTTATGTATACAGAAACTTACCATTTCAATTATATCTGTTTTATTTTCCATCTTCTTAATAGATGTTTGAAACCGAAAGTAGACTTTTAAGACCGAAACAAGGAATTTTCATTTTATGAATTAAAACATAGATGGCGCTTGGATTTTTTCATAGATAAGATGTAAACAAATATTTATATATATATTTTTTTTATTTAATGATGAATAACGTACGTCTAATGTATACATATAATCAGTATGATGTATGTTCATTAATTTCACGGGCACTTTAAATAACGGACATAATTTACACATGACCTCTCTCGAAGCGGAAGTAACTTGAAAGTCAAGGTCAATTATTTTGGAAAGATGTAAGAACATATTTTTTGTTTTGGTAAGTTTTTAACAGAAGAGGTTTTTCCATTTGTCAAGTTATACTCATGTCTTTTATCGTATGTACTACCAAACCCTTACCAAATATGTCTTTCCTTAAATTTGATTTTTTTTTAAATGTTTTCTTCAAATCCGTGTCTTAAAACTAACTTGGCACCGAGTCATCTCGGTTTTATAACTATTCGTCACGGGTAAGCTCGGCCCATAATTATATATTACTGGTAATGATTACTGTTATACATTTTTATATATTTTCATTATTACTTTTATTGCATCAAATTTAATTTTAATACATGATTTACTCATTCAGCTGTTCAGTGATTCACTGATTGCATCAAAGTTTGCATCATGTCATGTTAAGCTTAGTCACAGCGATTCACAATGTTTGTATATTGAATTTAAGATTAAAATTTACTTTGAGTGACTTCAAATTTCTACGGAATTTCTACTGGATGGTAATAATGCCTGATCGGGCTTAGACATAAAATATCATATTTCTATAAAATTATTAATATGTTTCTTTCTCACTTGTTTTGTTTATTAAGCATTGATATACATGTATGATACAAATCAAAATCAAAATATTTTGGTTATCTTTTATCGTCCTAGAATTATTTCCATTTTTCCCATTTTCTAGAAACAAAATATTTGAAGTTCATAAAAATGATATTATAATTTAAAATTCTAAATAGAAATGTGTCCAACAACTTCATTTTGCTCTAGAGTATTGCGCCAATATCTTTATTCTATGCTGTGGGATCACCTAAAACCGGCGACAATATCTAATTCCGTGACGACATCAATCCATGACATGTACCTAAAATCCGTGACACTCTTCATTTACCGTGATATATAATGCAAGGCACTAAATACCGTGACAAACTATATTCGCTGTTATTCATCTGTCATGAAGGGTACATGTAGCTAAAACCTGTGACGATGCAACTAATCCTAATGATAAATAATCATTCTTTCTTTCTTTTTTTTCTTTTTTTTTTCATTTAATGAAAACATAATATTATGACATGTGATGAATTAAGGGAAATGAGTAAAACAAGTGACGATAACTAACAGTATTAAATTTATTATCAACAATTCAAATTTAAACCAAAGTTTTAAAGTACATATTATACATTGTGTACACTACATGCGTTTTTTTCGTCGTATGTTTCTCTTTTGGGGGTGTGTACATTTTGTACAGAAATACGGAATGTCATCACCAGTAGAGGTGCAACGATACCTTTCGATGCATCGAAAACTGGTTTTATGAGCGCCGATTCGATTCCCGATACCAACTGTAACATTTTCGATTCGATTCCCCACCCAAAAATAAACATGGAAAAAAGTGAGAGTTTTAGTCTTTCCCTTCGCGCTTTATCACGTTACATACGATTGGCCAGTTAAAACTCGGTCATCCAATCAGTGGGCGCGTAATGTTTTATTTTCGGCAAACAAGTCAAAATGGCTACCAACATCAATGTTGATGAAATAAAATTAAAAAATCCTCCTAAAAAATTAAAATCAAAGGTTTTGGAACACTTTGGGTTTCGGGAAGGCCAGGACAGGGATAAAGCTACTTGCAAAATATGCTTTACGGACGTGTCATATCCAAAGTCCGGCAGTACGTCTAATTTAATGCAACATATGAAACGAAGACACGATGTGGACTTGTTTGGTCAGCTTTATCCGTGTCCTGGCCTTCCCAAAATAAGTTTGATTAGTACTACAGTAAGTAGGCATATTTGACATTGGGATTGATTATTATTTCTTTAGTCAAGTGTGAAAAAAAGTGATAATTTCATGAATTACATTTTTTTCTGTATTGTTTACTAGACTAAGAAGTATTGTGTGACAACACTGACATTAGGATTGATTATTCATTTTACATATTATGGGAATTATAAACAGAATATCTGAATATCAGTTCTGACAACCTTGTGAAACTTTGTTCATTATTATTTACTTTACAATTTACATACTTTGTTAAATTCCTAGTCAGCAGAAGGTATCTGTGATAGTCATGTAACTGAGATGAATGATTATTTGCCTGATTAAAATTATTTCTAAATAGACAAGAGCTTTTTATTCTCATAAACACAATTATTAAGTCAAATAAGTTTATATAATAGTTATATTACAACAGAAAAGCAAAGCACTAGGTTGAAGGCCACTCACTTTTTGAGCAGACAAGCAGAATTATATACCAAAGATAAATTAGTAATCAGAAATGTATCGAATCGAAAAAAATCGAATCGGAGTGTCTAAAATCGAAATCGAATCGAACATTTGGTGTATCGTTGCAGCCCTAATCACCAGGAATGTCAACTTTTTGTAGACCCTCACATTCAGGATGGTACCATATTTTGCATTTTTTGCAAACCACATTACATACAGACGGTCTTCTGGCATTCGGCAAGAACAAAACACCTTAAGAAATGCTGTGTATCTGACACCATTCGGATGCTCGAGCGACCGGGTGCCAGCAGGAAATGGCACAAGTTGACCCTTTTCCAAGCATTGTATCAGGTGACCCTGAAGCAGTTCTACGTCATACCTTTGGGTGCAGGGATCTATACCGTTAGCTTCCGCAGTTACGTTTGCAATTGCATACTGATAGAGACCACAGTCATTGCCGTTTTCTCGGAATGCACAGTCCATAAAATTCAACAATATTTTATCATTCTTTTTTGGTTGGGTATCTTTTCTAAGTAAATTATAAATAACCTGCTGGGTAGAAAAACTTAGTGATGTGAAACCTGAATCATAAATTTTTACTTCCGACTTATTTGTTTTCATAGTGGATAATGTCAGCCAATGTGTCCCACCCTGTTCTGGCGTTCTGTTGACGATCTGAATTAAATTTCCAAAAGCATGAGGAAACGTTAGAGTTGCTGCATTAATTAGGCAACTGTCCAGACTCGGGCGGGCAGTGAATCCCCATATATGTGGGAACTGTGTCTTTAGAATAGAAGAGACATTGCCGCATCAATCAACCGATCATTTAACCACTCTGTTGGTGAATACAGGATACTTTTTTCTTCGTCCTTAAGTTTAAGCTGCCCAATATCTAGCCTTTCTGGTCCACTTACCGATGTGTTTGGCTGTACTGGCTCTCCTGATTCAGTATCCTGCTCAATATATATCGTATACGATGGTTTTTCTGGCGGCTGAGTCGTCACGGATTTTTCATCATGATCCCGAGTTGGTACTGTCATGGGTGAATCTAATTTCTGTGACGCCTGAATCGTCACGGGTTTTTCAACTTCATCCGTCACGGGTGACTGTAATTTCCGAGATGGCTGTATTGGAGCCAAGTTCGGCTGTGAGATTTGTTCATTGCCAATGTACTGAATTACAAAAGGACCGTTAATGCAATCAGGTTCATGGTAAACTTTAAAACAAATATAACAAATTCTTTTGATGCGCCATTCTCGGTATGTTTATAAAAATACTTTTTCTTTAACCGCAAATTTTTGCGTGGAAGACCCAAAGTGCCTTGGTTTATGAAACGATGTCCGTCAGCTCGCCAATCCAGTGTTTTTAGACCGTCGCCTTTAAAAATCGACGTTTCGTCACCTCTTGTTCTGAAAGGAAGCGCCGATATCGGCGGTCAGACCGTATAAGATGTAAAATTTGGTCTGTACTTAATGACATTTAATTCTATGTTTCTACCATCTTAACTGACGTCATTACTAAGTCAATCACATGATGTTATTGTAATATAAAGTTGTGATCGCAACATGATAATAATGTAAATTAAAAGATCAAACTAAAATAATCATTCATAAAATCAAATAAAATCTTTGGTTACTTATATTTAAATGAATAATCTAACTTAACAAAATAACAAAACCCGTGACATAACCCATGACAGTAAATTATATTTTCCGTGATGATGCCGTCACGGGTTTTAGTATATCTGCTATGCTGTATATTTGGATTAAATATTCTGTTTCTGGCATTTATATTTTTGACAATTCTTTGACACTGAACATTATACTTTGAAGTTTTCTCTGAAAATTGAATGAAATGTATGCTGATTGAGCCTGACAGGTGTTGGTGCAATGAAATAAAGTATTTATAAAGAAGTTATTTAACCTATTTTGTTTTAGTACTTTTACACTTTGCATATGTAGCATACTTTTTAAGGACTTCAAAAATTATGTGTTATAAAAACATGAAAAAAGGGAAATAAATCTCAAAAAAGTGACAGTAGCCAAATATTTTTCTTTCTCACTGTTTATGTCAATATTATTCTCAGTCAATGAACAAACAATGTTTAAAAGAAACATCTCTATTTCTTTTCTAGAAATATGATTTTTTCTGACATAAGGCCGATTGCGCATTTTCACCAGCCTGTTCTACTTGTCTTTCTTTTCTAGAAATATGATTTTTTCTGACATAAGGCCGATTGCACATTTTCACCAGCCTGTTCTACTTGTCCTGCATTTTATGCATGGTTTTTTAGATAAACTTTACCATGCAATTAATGCTAGAATTCTCATAATTTAATTATTGTAAACTGGAAACAAAGCTTGTGTATAAATCGCGCACTTTATAAAGCGTTGTCATGCAAGTTCCAGTCACACCCATATCTAATTAACAATGTGTTCAGAGCTTTATAAAGTATGCAATTTTTACATGTTAGGATGTATGCTTGATGTAGTTCATGTATTATAATTATTTGACAAAAAATTGTAGTACTATGGTCCATTTATTTGACCTATCAAAATAAAAAAAGTAAACCTTGATGACTTGTGTACGGCTGGAATTTTCTAGTGTATATATAGCTGGTTGCTTTCTTCTTTACAGTTGTGATGAGTGATCAAAGATAAGACTCCAGAATGATGATCAAACTGTCAGTTCGGCTGGTTAGAGCCACCCAGGAAGGTATGGTGTTGGCCCAGAGAGCTGTACGCACCTATACCAGATATGCCTACTATTCATTCCGTGACAGAAAGGGGAGACAATCAGATGGCTCAAAAGCATCACCAGTAGATGGACCAAGACACAGCCTTATGTATAGTCAAGTTGAAGACTTCTTATTATCTCAGGTAACGTAATATGTTTTCATGTGTAGCGGACTGAATGTGATTAATGGATTTCAGTTGACTTTCAGATAACAAATAAAAATCTCCTGAATTTAATCTTTGCAACAAAAAAGTTCATCCAGACAGTTCCATGAGTGTACAATATTTCAAGAATTTCACTGTACATATAGTTAATTGAATTATCAATTATTTTATTCCATATCATACGTTTTCTTTTACCAAGTTAGTATTGAATTATTTACTATACAATGGTTCAATTTTTTTTTCTCAACAGTGGAGTGATAACCCAGTACCTTATGCAATATATCGAACTATTGTAGCAGCATTCTTCTTTATCATGGTATTTTACACATCTATATATGGTGTCCTTGGTGCTAAAGCTGCCATAATGCTCACGTATTGGTCATTTTATATTCTGGTGGCATGTCAAATACTGCGGGCAGTGAACTGCTGGTATTACATTTCCCTCAGGAAACAAGGTCAAGGTATGTTGTATATATAAGTTTATTGTAAAGGTATACAATTATGTATTTTGCTATGATATCTGTAGACTTAAATATTTGTCTTGTCTGTTTTAATTGTCTGTGAACAACTTGAACCTTTTGCGATTAGTTGAATTTCTTTATTTGTCGTGTAATGAGGAATTTTCATAAAACTTGACAAAGTTTATGCATCAAGATAATGTGCCATTTTGTCATAGTTTTATGGTAAAAATCAGAATTTGAGATCAGGTAAGTCAGAGGTTTGTCCTTACTTACTATTTGGTTAGGAGCCTTTATTTATTAACATATATCATTTGATGTGTTTTTAGGTCAGTTGGAGTTAGTTTTATTGAAGCTAAAAGTAGTTTTTTTTCTACCTTCTTTTATTGGATTCTTTATTGACCAATATCTTGAATATTAAGTAACCATACATAGACAATTCAACATCTTCTTTTTGAAAAAAGGTCTGTAAGACTGAAAATTGTCTGTTTTTTCTTCAGCAGAGTTTGCTAATATATTAATTGGTTTCTCTGATATTTTTGTTGTTTTAACAGATGTAAAAGCTTGTCTACAGAACAAAAGACGTATAAAGATGCAATGGTTGTTACATAATCTAGGCAGTGATGCTGCACCACTAGTTTCTGTACTGTTCTGGACTATAGCATATGATGGTATGTTTACCTGTTTACTATGTACATGTACGAGGGTTGTCCCAAAAGTCCGTGACAAATTTTATAGCCGGTTCATTTTTAACGCCAATAGAAAATAATTCACACATATAACCGTTAAGTTTATTATTTAACATTACAACAAATCATTTACAAAAAATTTACCCTAGTTACTTAGAAATTTTTAGTATTAACGACATTGGTTTGAGTTGCCGGCGCACGTCAAATAATTTACATTTTGTTATGAATAGGCTGAAATTAATTACGTATATTTCAAATATCTGATGATGTGTCTGCACAATGTCACGTTGACTTCCTCTGCTGCTATGTTTAAATCATCTCTGAAAATTTTAGTTAAATAACTTAAAAAACGAAAAAGATGCGAATAAATGAAAATATCTCATATAAAATAGGAAAGTTAAAATGGCGACGTTCGAAGAATTTACGGCGCAGTGAACATGTCACTCAGGTTTCATGGCTATTTCGAGATGACACATGTAACGATTTTCAACAAATATACCAAATATAACAGTTTAGCAACATATTCTGAGCATTTGTGTACAAAAGGCATGAACGGAACCAGAGTTTTGCGCTACAAAAAGCGAAAATAAGGAAAACACGGATAGGAAGACCGATCTTCGTCGCCTATTTTCCTACAGCTAAAACAGGAGTAACGAGACCGGAAGTTTGCGTATAGCAAAACTTAATGTATGCCATCCAAACATTCAACAGACATTAACAACCACATGATTTAAGTCAGAAATTGACGATTTATGGGTACCATTATTGCGTTGAAAGCCATTGAGAGTATTTGAGAAAGGCGCCTTATATAGATTTAACGCCGTCTTTGACGTTGGACGTGCGCCGCGATTCAGTTAGTTGCCATGGTGTTTATGGCATATTTTTGTTGTTTGTTGATATTTATCTATGAAAATTTGTGAAAATGTTTAAATTATATGGGTTTATAACATATTAAAATATCAAATTCGTACCTGTTTTATTTAGCTTTTAATCAATCTTGTCACAGAATATTGGGACAACCCTCGTATTATTGTAATTATGTAGGTCCCTTAACATGCTAAATTTCTTGAATGGACTTGTCCACTTTCCATTTTTGGAATTGTTTATTATCAAGTTTGGGAAAAATGAAGATGAAAATTTAAAGTTAGTAAAACAATAGTATAGAGCCTATTGCAAGGTTGTGCATTTTTAGACATTGTCAGTCATGATATACTGTATTGTATTTTAACTTTTTAAAACACAGGGACCTTAACTCTGTTGTAGTACTGTATTTTAAAAAGTAATCATACTGAATTGTTTGTTGTTGACTCTCTAAACCCCATACATATGAATATATCCTGAATGCCATTTCCAACTGTCTGGCTTGCAGCTGTAGCTTAAAATTGTCATCACACATAGTTTGTTGTTACTTTGAATGTGATTAGTTCAAATGCAAATAAATCAATGGTTCAGCTAGATTTGAAGATTTTCTCTTATATCAACATCTTATGAATTTTGTCAATAATTTGAAGATCATGATGTTAGTGTCTATAAATTAAGATTATTATTATATTTTCAGGAAGTGGTGTAACCTTGGTTAACTGCACTACACACGGCATCAATGCTGTATTTGTGCTGGTCGACACACTGATATCTCGTACACCAGTTAGAATGTTACACTTGTACCAGAGCTCGTGTATGGGTTTTGTGTACATGCTGTTTAGTTATATATACCATCTAGCCGGTGGAACGAATCATAAAGGAGAGCCGTATATCTACAAACCTCTAGACTACAATAATAACTTTAGTGTAGCAATCTCTACAGCTCTCGTATCAATATTTCTCGTAGCACCGTTGATTCACTGCTGGATCTTTTTCCTCTACAGGTTTCGATTATTTATACATAGGTATCTTAAGGCTGTAGAGAAAAGGGTTGAAAATTTGCCTGAAAAAGCTCAGTAGCCGTAGAATGATTTTGCTAAAAGAGGCCAAAATTAACTGTTAACACATAGTGATACACTTATTAAACAAGATTTTTCTAAAACAATTAGATTTTACACAGTTCCTTTTGAAATACTTGTATTTTTTTTGTATGAAAGTATATGTCAAAATTCTCTTCAATTTCCAATTAACAACTTAAAATGCCTTTGGGGCTATATTGCCCTGCATTCTGTAACAATCTTCTTTGTTTGCAGTCAAGTTAGTCAAGTTAAAAATATGTCTAATCTTACACTGGCATCAGTATTTATTTAATACTTCAAGTAATGTTTTGAAATGCAATATTGTACCTTATTATAAGTTATTAATCTTTTTTTATTAATCTTTAGGTTACTGTAAGATTTATTTGGAATATTTACTGAATTATATACTTTTATGAAAATGAGATTTGTTATATAACCATATTCAAGTATTGGGAATAGTTAAAGAGCTGGCAAATTGTTCATTTGACAGCTCTTGTTTTGTTGTGAGTGAGTTTGGTGAAATTAATTTTGCATTTTGATTTTTACTAATTTGTCATGACAAAAGATCTTCATTGTAAAAATGAATGGATAATACATTATAACTATGATCATTGAGATAGTATCTGGTCAATTCTCTCCACCATTTCATGAAGTGTATATAGGATTTGTTTTCCTTTGAGATGGTAATAGGTTAGCTTTAATTCATGTACATTACAAAAAGATAGCAACTGCTGTAGGAGTTTGTATTATATACCTCAGATAATTTTATAAATAAATCTCAGTCTATTCACATGAACATGTCAAATATTTGTAAGAAAGCTATGTTTGAGGAAAAAATGTCTCTATTGTGTTATATTACGTAAAAATAATGTCACACTGTGTAAGACACTAATGTTTGAAACAAAAAGTTTCATGTAACTTGAAGACAAATTTGAAAAAAAACGTAATAATTTTTACTATAAATTCTGTTATTCTGAAAATTTGACTACGCATTTGTAACAATTATCCTTTTAAACTAGATACGAAAATATTTTGAAAATAAACTGTGATGTAATATGTACTTAACAATTTAGAATGGCAAGCTTTATGGCCAATTGTTACACTACAGTATTTAGTCTCGTTTCAAATTGCTAGTTCTCATGATACATGTGTACATTGAAAAAAAAAACCCAAACAATATTACGATGCAAGTATGTAAGTTTGCTTATTGTTTAAAACAATGGGGGTTTTCCAACAAGAAATTAGATTATTTTTCAGTCTATTTTTGAGACTGAAGTTGGAATGGAATGAACTGCCATACATTTAGGAATTATATTGAGTGTATTAGTATATTATCTTGTTTGTATAAATCAAAAAGGAAGTATTAAGATGGTTTTTTTTAATGAATATGTTGTTAAATTTAGATTAGCATTCCACAAGCATTATATTAAACTAACACTTCAAAAAATTTGCGACTTGGCCAGCTGCTAATTTTAAGCTTGGCATGTTATGACAAATATCGAAGCTATTTTTGTCTTATTCATTAATTATAATTTCACTTTTGACATTATTATGTTAATCCTCAGTATGAGATTTACACGCTACTATGTAGTAAAAGTTCAATAATTTCTATGTTGTTATTGCATGATTTAACGGTTGGAAATGAAATGACTTTCTTACTTTTAATAATGTTAGGGGTACTTAATTTTCAATATTGAAGTGAGATGCAGTATGATTTACACTTACATGTACTCATTATGTGTCACACAGTTATAACTACTACAGTATTGAATATTTTCACTATTTTATCATCACTTGCTGGTCTTATATTGAATATTTGGAATGATTTTATTTTATCTTTATACAAATGTTTACAAGAAATGGTGAGGGGGTTGGGGCGTCTGTGGTCAAGAAGTTATGGTTGTTGATTTCAAACAACCTAGCCCTCGCTGCTGTAGGTTTGAATCCTGATTTTTTCATGTGAGGACGTTATCTAGCTAGCTGATGGAATGTCGGTGGTTCTACTTAGTGCCAGTTTGTGAACCCGAGGTCTTCCTCCACCAGTTAAAGCTTGAAAGTTACCATATGACCTATACTTTGTTGCTGCGACGGAACCCCCTTCCACCTATTGGACCCCCCCCCCCTCCAAAAAATTAAAATATTATACTGCATGATGTTTGTAACATTGATTTTCATTGTTTATATTATCAACAGCTGCTGCAAAGTCAATACAACCTGTGATTCTAGATTTTTAGAATCTTAACTATAGTTAGAACTGATATCTTGAAAGCTCGCAGTTTTTACTAACTGAGATGTTTTGAACATGATGTATACATTACTTAGACAAGTATGTGCCTATCACATAGTGTCTTACCTTGTTTAATGTAATATAATAATTTTGAGCCGCGTCACAACAAAACCAACATAGTGCATCCGTGCAGTCTGATCAGGATCCATGCTGTTCGCTTACCAACCATTTTTTCAAGCAGAGAAACTGATCCATGCTGGTCGTAAACGCCCTATGTTGGTTTTGTCGTGATGCAGCTTTATTGTAATGCTTGCTTGTTGTCAGTAAAGATCTTAGATTTAGAGATAATGCTAGTCATTTAGAATAGTTGAAGCTTTTTATGCTCTTTGAATTTTTCTCCGAGCAGCATAATTACAGTTGCAGATGTATTCTTGCTAGAAAAGTGTAGATACTTATTATATAAGATCTACACTCTAATTTGTACCATTTATGTGTTGAATATGATCAATTTGAGCATATCAGACTTGGAGTGGGGACGTTCTGAAAGATTTTAAAGGATTAGATGGCCATTGTGATATACATAACAAAAGTAATGTAGTTTAATAGAATAAAAATCATTTGAGCGGCGTCATGACAAAACCAAATAATGGGTTTGCGACTAGCATGGATCCAGACTGGATCAGGATCCATGCTGTTCACTGTCAGTTTCTCTACTTGTAGTAGAGTTGGTAAGCGAACAGCATGGATCCTGATCAGACTGTGCGGATGCGCAGGCTGGTCTGGATCCATGCTGGTCGCAAACCCATTGTTAGTTTTGTCACGACGTGGCTCATTTATCATTAAGGATGTCATCATAAACATTCCAGAACAATTTTAGGTTATGGTTTTAGTACAGATGTGCTCACTTGTTTTATTTCTGCTCATTTTGATGCTGCTGATAGCATATCATATAATAAGTTTGGTATATAGATATATAGTGATACAAAATACAGTCTTTGAGATACAACATCTGATTATAAATTGAGGAAAATAGCTTGTTCAAAGTTTTATGTACAGGCCTATGGATAACTGACCATGTTTTGGGTATTAAGGGAAATACATTTGCCAAGTACATGTACACAAAAATCATCTTTGAACAAAGGCAGTCATTTTATGAAGCAAATATCTCACATTTACACTGACGCTGTTGAAATTATGCAATTTATATTTGTTACCTCTAATTTTAAAGTTGCATGCCTCCAGATGAGCCATAATATTCCAAGAAAATTCAACTTGAGATAAGTAAAAAGATACATTGCTGTATTTATCAAGCATGTTTACTGCGTTAATAACACAGGGCTTTTAATAATTTACATGTTATGTACATTGCCGTATTTATCTAATATGGGCACTGCGTTACCAACACAGTAAGGGCTATTTTTGTTTATTTTGACCTCTTTTTGGAATTTATTTGAATTGCAAGTGCTGTTTGCAATGTGTAAATTATTTTCTTTGTTCACTTCACAATATTTTACTTTTAATAACATTTGAAAGTTGGCATGAATCTGGAGGCATGTGGCTTTAACTAACTGATACAAACAAAACTTCCATTTTAACAGTGGCAATAGTGCTAATCTAATTCTTGCTGTAGAACAAGGAATTTTGTTTATGATGCTTAAATGTTTAATAAAATTTCGGCTAGGGACCTGAAAAATAATGAGAATCAACTGAGTTCTGTATGGCAATAATGAATTTAACAAAACTCACCTTAATAAATTTCTGTTATTTTATATAATTTAGATTCAAAATTCAGGTGAAGAATAACTATATTCTGTACATTTTTAGTGCCATCTAATTTTGGTGTTTATCATTAACAATTAACTGTACTGTTTATCTGGAATCACTATAATATTATGTTTTGATATTATAATTGTACTGTCCTGTTTTAGTTATATCTTGTTTTATTTTGGAATCTCAGTATTTCATAATGTTTTGTTTTTGGTTTGTACATTGTAAATAAGTTTTCTTGTAGGCCAAAAAAAAAATTATGTTTCTGGTCTCCTGCCAATAAAATGACTACAAAAAGGGATTTCTTTTCTACGATTTATATTCATATGTATTTATTTTTTCATACAAACATATTGCAAAAAGATTTTTAAAAATAAACTGCAAGGTAAACATTTAAGATTAGTAGTTAATTAAAGGAGACCCAAAGAGACCTTTTTTTCTCTCCATCATACAACTTAACCTTCATTTAGAGTTGGATGATATTGTTTTGTAAAAGTGCTATGTATTTTACAATTATATAGAATCTACCAGTATTGTTTGTCAGTTGAAATGACAATTTATAAAGTGTTTCCTGTTTTTGTATAACACATTATGAAGTTTATTTCATATATTGATAGCAGATGGATATATTTATTTAGTACTGCTGTAGTAAGTACAGAAAAGATACAGCAAGAGTGAATGTTGTTTTTATCAGTGATTTGAATATTGCATAGGTTTAAGGGGTACGAATTAGTCAATATGAATCTCCACTTTACAGGTATTATACCTATGTAACACATATTTTTACAACTTTTATTGTTTGTTTTAAAACAATGACACAAATAAATCATTATCAATTGTCAGTGTTCTTCATTCTTGTGTACCTTACGGTACCTACATGCAAACCAACTAATGTAATGTCAAGATCTCGAAAGGAATTTGCAATGAAACAATGTACATTGTACTTTCAACTGATTTGTAAACACTTGTAATTTAACTATATAGATAAGCCTGTAATTCTACTTTTTTCAAGAATTTGAAGGGAATTAATGTACTGTATAGTCTTGCCATGAAATAAAGTTTATGTTTTCTCAAAGTTACTAGGAGCCTAAAGAACTGATATATGAGTGAGCTTTCTTTAAAGTTTGTCGCAGATCTTCATACTTTGCAATCTCTACAGCATCTTCTATATTTAACCACTTCATATCCTTATGCTCCTTTGACAATTTCACAGAAAATTCTGGGTTCTTGAGCTCAGATAACCAGTAAATGACTTTTTTTGGTTTTCCTCTAACTACATAATGTAATTCATCTTTGAAATCTTCATAGAGGTGAAGCTGATCTAATGTTATACCAGCTTCTTCTTCTGTTTCTCTCAATGCAGCTTGTCTCTCAGTCTCGCCCTTATCTACATGACCTGTAATCAAAATAAATACAGTATGTCTACAAGTACATAATGAACAACATGCCACCATATTGCAAATCAAACTATGTAATAAATATCTATGAAACTGGAATTCAGAACTAACATTCACTTGCTTTATATCTATCTATTCAACGAGTGAAAGAAAGTTGTTTCATACTGTGTATTACTTGCAAAGAAGCTCAAGTCAATGCATACACTTGATCACTCTATATAAAATCAATTTTATCATTCCCATTCAGCTCAAATCCCACCATTTACTGTACATACGGAATATTATGTTGTAGTAGCTTTCTGAGGCTTTGTATTTTTCTACGAGCAGCGGTGGAAAATTGATATCTCGCGAGACCGAAGGTCGAGCGAGATATCAATTTTCCAACGTTGCGAGTAGAAAAATACATAGTCTCAGAAAGCTACTATAACATAATTTTCCTTTTATTATATACCTTTTCGTTTTATTCAGAAAATGAAATGTAGTTGTCAAGAAATAAATTCATGACTGACGGATGAATACGTAATTCTTGCAAACCGGCCACGCCTTTAATAATTTTGGTTCCCGTTTTCAAATGCAACGTTATACAAAGCTAAGATCGGAACCAACGCCAAAAATAGTCCGGCACTTCCATATATGGTACCGTATTTGTCACTAACATAATACGGAAATTTCTATTCGTTGAAGCGTATTTGCGCTTCAATATTTGCGTGTATTTTAGGGAGAAAATTTATAGGTATATAATGAAAGTCAATATCATTCCCACTCAGTCCCAATATCTTATCTTTATTGTACAAATAATATCATTCCCACTCAGTCCCAATATCACTTTGTTATTGTACAAATAATATCATTCCCACTCAGTCCCAATATAACATTGTTATTGTACAAATAATATCATTCCCACTCAGTCCCAATATCACATTGTTATTGTACAAATGATATCATTCCCATCACATCATTATTTTACAAATAATTTCATTCCAACTCAATCCCAATATCACATTGTTATTGTACAAATAATATCATTCACATTCAGTCCCAATATCACATTGTTATTGTACAAATAATATCATTCCCACTCAGTCCCAATATAACATTGTTATTGTACAAATAATATCATTCACATTCAGTCCAATATCACCATTATTGTACAAATTCTATCATTCCCACTCAGTCCCAATATCGCATCATTTTTATCAAGTAACTATTATGCATCATAACCTGCATACAAAGTTTTTATATTACAGGTAGATTCTGTCTATCAAGTCACTATTGTAGAGGTAGATTTTGTACATAAAATAAATAAAATTAAATACTAGGCCATCCTTAAAAAATTGTTTGTTTGCAGTAACGCTACTCAGAATTTTCAGTGTGGGTAGGTAGGTCGTTTTTTTTTTTTGATTTTTTTTTTTTTTTTTTTGCATGAACTCTACATATACTACCATAGACTAAACAGCAAAACAAGATCACTAATACCCAATATAGCATTTGTTATGCCTTTGTTAGACAGCTTTTCCATGGGCGCTGCCATGTTGAATTAATAAATGAACACAAAAAAAATAAAAGCAAAAACAAAAACACTCTGGGATTTTCGCGAAAAAAAAATTTTGCTTTGCCAGACCCTAAAAAATAGTTTGGGTAGGGGCAAATTTCGTGAGTCGGTAGCGTTACTGCAAACAAACAATTTTTTAAGGGTAGCCCTACAGGTAGGTTCTGATAAAGCTTAATTCTAATAGTGTATATCCAACCATTCCAGTAACAAGTTAATATTATCTATCTTTTTCCTGCCATGCCAGTCATTAGTAATTAAGAAGAATAAATGCCTGAGATATAGAAAGTATTGGTACTTATCTAATCCAATCCAATTCTATCCTCCCCTATTCTATCCTATCGCTTATCCTATCCCATCTCCTATCCCCCTATCCTATCTCATTCTGTCCTATCCTCCCCTATCCAATTTTATATCCTATCCCATCATATCTCCTATCCTATCATGTCTCATATCCTATAATCCTATCTCATACCCTATCCTATTTCCTATCCTATCCCATCTCCTAATCCATATCCTATCCTATTTCTAATCCTATCCTATCATCTATCTTATCTCTGATCATATCCTATCTCCTATCATATCTATCTCCTATCCTGTCTACTATCCTATCTCATCCAATCTTTATCTCCTATAAAATCCTATCTTTTATCCTATCATATTTATCTCCTATCATATCATATCTCCTTTCATATCCTATCTCCTATCATATCTCCTTTCATATCCTATCTCCTATCCTATCCTTTCTCCTATCCTATCCTATTACCTATCCTATCATATCTCCTTTCCTATCTCCTATCCTATCCTATCTCCTTTCCTATCTCATCCTTTCCTTTCCTATCATATTTCCTTTCATATCCTATCCTATCTTCTATCCTATCCATCTCCTTCCTATCCTATCTCCTATCCTATCTCATACTATCTCCTTTCCTAGCATATCCTATCTCCTATCATATCTCATCTCCTATCCTTTCCTATCTCCTTTCCTAGCATATCCTATCTCCTTTCCTAGCCTATTCTATATCCTATACTATCCTATCTCCTATCCTATCCATCTCCTTTCCTAGCCTATCCATCTCCTTTCCTATCCTATCTCATATCCTATTCATCTCCTATCCTACCTCTTATCCTATTCCCTATCCCATACTATCTGCTTTCCTAACCTATCTCCTATCCTAACTTATCTTCTTTCCCATCCCATCTCTTATCTTATCATATATTCTATCATATCCTTCACTATCCTATCCTATCTCCTCTATCATCATTTCCTATCCTATCCACATGTTTCTCTTGTTTGGCCATAGACATGTCTGCGAATAGTGAGAATTGTCTAAGAAATATGGAAAGTCAATCTCATAAACTAACTTGAAACGTCAATTTTCAAAGTTGAGGAACAAGAAAAGTCCTTTGAGTGAAAAAGAAACATAACAGTTGTCTAAAATGTTATTCGGTCAAAATGGGATGGGTACGAAATGTCACTAGACCGAAAGACTTACTTTCGTTTTAAACAGTGTGCCTTATTTTGATAAATTTATCATATTGTCTATTCTTAAAAACTCTGCTCATATGAATGTTTTTTACCCTTTGGAGGCGACCAATGAAAATCTCCATACGACGCTTGTAACATCAGGTACTGAATCTCTTTAGCGACCCGTCTGAAAACAACCAACCCTGCAGCAACAACCGGTTTTGACATTTTCTCTCTTCAGCTTTGATCTCTGTTGGTATGATCCCTTTGTATCAAGGTAGATATTGTAGTCATTCACAGTGCTCAATCTCGTGCGTTTCGGGAAAAACTTTATTCACGCAATAAATTGAATATAAACATACAGTATCTATGTTTCTATCAATGTTGCAATATCTATAACATTAGGTTGAACATAACTAAATGTTTTCCTTTTCTCGCCACTGGGGAGGGAGCTTTGCTGAAACATTTTCAATTTCTTATTTTTAAATGCCAAATTTACAAGGTATCTAGAACTTCATTTGTTATGAATATTTTATGGCATTAATACATTAAAAATACCAATTTTACTAGGTATGTAGAGCTTCATTTATTATGAATATTTATGCCATTAAAACATTAAAAATAACAATTTTACAAGGTATCTAGAGCTTCATTTATTATGAATATTTTATGACATTAAAGCATTTGATAATGATAGATCTAATGTTTTTTCTGACGTTCATTTTCTAAAATCAACAAACATCATATTAACAAATAACAAATGATTTATCACAATCAGGATGCCTTAAAAAATAATTGCCGATATTTTTAACTTAAAAAATAATAGCCAATATTTTTTAACTAAAACAATTTTAACAGCCAGTAACAAGGTATCCAACTTTCCGCTCGTTGCCCCGTAAAAATATACAATCGTCACAACTACATCATTTTTATTAGCAATTTTGTTGCAAATGTTAGAGAATGAATTACTGTTAGATGAATACCACTGAACATCAGTCTAGATTGTGTTTAATTCATAATTCCGTACTATTAAAATGAATCAATTAGTAAACCTAATGTTCATCTAAATAAAAGATGTAAAAAAACTATTATGTTTTTTATACAAATTATTGTTTATTAACGACATTTTCAGTGCGGTAAGCAAATACTAGTATGGAAATTGTGACTGTTTAAAAAAAACTGTTGAATTAATCACATATAGTTTTGATTACCTTTGAATTATACAAATATTCTATTTTATTTCATAAATTTATTCTTAAGTCTATATTTTGCAATAAACGTTAGAATGAAGTTAAAATCTTGTATGGCAGTTATAATAATTCCATTTAAATTGCAGTTATGGGATAGGGCGATACCTATTTAATTAGTGCCATCTGTTGATAACATTCCAGTGGTGGTCTACCTTTTGTTGTATTCACTGTTTATTAATTTACTCATATTATAACTTCTGCTTTAAACTAATTTAATTCTAAACCATTTCATGGACAGATGGATCTCTGCAGTGTCTTTCAAACAGAAAGACTCTGATCTGTGTCATTACAATCTTTAATTAACGTATTTATACTGTATTATTAATTACCAATATTAATTTCTATGTCGACTAATGTATACATTTTTACGAACTTGTTTTTCAAGTGTTATTGATTAAAAGATCACTTGTCAGCTTATAATAATTTTTATTTATTATGTTTAACAATTAGCATGAAAATTAATCTTTATTCCCTGCGGTCTTTGGTCCGGAGACCGCAGGGTATTGGTACGCGTTTAATTTTTGAGGCATGGAGGAGCACGTGACCTGTTTTCAGTACATGGAGGAGCATGTGACCTGTAAACCGTACATGATTGGTTAATTGACCTTTTCGAAAACCTAGCTAAATACCGTTTGCCGGTACGTTACGGATTTACCTCTTGGGAATAAGTCCGAATTACACCTAATAAAGAAGAAAAGCTAGCCTATTACGTGATATTTCTAATTTTATATAATTATTTTACCGTTTAAGTTTGAAAACTTGAATGACGTGTTTGAAAATGATCAATGTATCTTTAAAATCTATCTCAAATTTTACAAACAATAACTTGTTTATACTAAAAATCTACAAAATTTTAGATATTCGTAGTGGCATCTGCCATAATAAATAGAGATATTTTCTGCGTAAACTTTTGTGTTTATTTTATTCTTTGTTCGCTCGGAGTTATTCATAAAATGGTAGGCCTATTTAATCATTATCTTAAAAGAAATAATTGTTTTATGTTCGACCTTCTCCGGTCTTCAACGGTCACCAGTTTCCAAAGACCTTCTTCTATATTGATCGATTATTGTCAGCTATATTTCCTGATACAAACGTGTATTTATGCCCGCCCCTGCCCCCCCCCACCCCACCACAAGCATCTTTAAAATAGTTCAATGAAATATCTTTATATTGTAAACGGGGAACAGTCTTTCGGTTCGATTCACAGGACCGTTTGTGTAAATTAAACAAAAGAAATGATAATAAAGGCAAATGTAAGTTTTATGAATTGTATTAAATATTTAAGTCATCATATTTCATAATTAACATACATAAAAAATAAATAAGGTAGGGGAAATAAAAGAAAATCGGAAAACTTCCAAGAAATGAAAACAACCGCTTACCGCAATGGTGGTCAGAGCGCTTCTGTTCTTCTTATGACGTCAAACCTTCACGTCCAAGTGTTCGTTCAAGTTTGACGTCATAAAGTGACGTCATAAACATGTTAATTAACAGGACACTTGTTAATAGCAATTAACATACAGAATGGGATAAATTTAAGTTGGCAAAAGTGCCAATGATTTCAAATACTTATTGTTTAGCAGCGTAATAATATTGCCTAACTTTAAACAAGAAAAGTGATCGTATAGTGTTTCAAAAGTGATCGTATAGTGTTTCAAAAGTGATTGTAAAGTATCAGTACTAGCATAATGGAAATTAAGATATCAGAATTAAATAGAAATATAGTACTTATATAAAGTAAATTTGGTCATCTATTACACTATCATTAAAAATGATCCCCGCAGGAAACCATTTTACTTGTATGTAATTATGGGTGTCTTCAGCAAACCTAGTAGGTATATCAATTTAGTGGTGTTCAGTTTTATGCAAATATTTTCGTGGGGAGGTGAATTGAATTTCCAAAACAACAGACTAATTGTTTGATTTTACGATATTTATCATGGATAAGGAATGTATTTCAGTACTTTAAGTTTGCTGAGATATCTTACTTGAATAATGGGTGGATGTTGTTCATCGCAGGTAAAAACATTCAAACCATATTTCTGAAAATATTAATTGGTTTGTGTACAAGTATTCGGAAAAATCATTTTCGGATGAAACCTTTGATTAAAAAAAATACCTGGAATTAACATTGAAGTTGAACACTGTTGAAAGATTTTGAAATTTTAATTTCAGCTGTTTTATATATCTGAAGAGAGATTTGGATATATTAGGACAATGGTAGATTAAAGACACTGGGACATGATATTGACAAATGCTTTTTAATTTAAACAGGTTAAAGTTGTTGTTTTTTTTCATATGAACAATGTCTTTCAAATGGAATCTAAAAAATTTGAAAGACCCAAATATGAAGTATCATGGCAGGAATTTTTAAAAACCTGTATTACTGTTTATTGCTTACATGTATATATGAATATCTAGGATTTTCATGGCCTGGTTGGGAAGCCAAAAGTTCTAGCCATAGGTGAGAAACCTATGGTTAGCCAGTACACAATGTATACCATTTTTCCATAGAAATGGATGTTATATTTCACGCATGCACATTCTGCGTAGGGCAAAAAATGCAATAATGATAACTACTAATGAATCTGAAACAGACAAGTACTTACAATAAAACATGGATATTAAATATAAAATTACAATACACCAATAAACACTTTCCGAACTAGCAGTTCTTAGTTTTACGAGTAAAGATAACAGGTTGTGTATCTCACTATAAATCGTATGTAAAATGGTCTGACATGTGGTAGGTTTTACAGTTAATTTAAATACTTTGGAGTCAAAAGATTTGTTGAAGTATATACACTGTTATGAAGCTAAGATCCCAAGCTTTCCATTGGTGTAATCAATTTTAAAACCGGACATTTAGTCACAACAAACAAGCAGTTTAAAAACGGCTTAATTTGTATTGTTTTAGCATATAAGAGATATCGATTTTACTCGAAGATAAGGCCATAAGGGAAGCAACTTGTATTTTTTCACTCGATATACCTCGGTTATTTATGTAGTTCATATCGAAAGTATTTATGGGTGTATTACAAAGTTTAGATTATATACAAATAATTTAGCCATTGAAACTGGACGATATAACAATATTGACCGACAACAACGCTACTGTACTCAATGTAATATGAATATGGTTGAAGATCCTTATCATTTACGAATCAAAACTTTCACCCCGTATTTTTGCAGATGCATGGCCATCTATTCAAAAGTTTACTATTTATTAATTTTGTTAAGTGACAAATAGTGTGATGTGCATTTAGTATTTTAGATGTGTTACGAGTCCTAAACCATATAAAATATGTGTTATTTCACTACCAACTACCCATCTTAACTTCTCAAGATTTTGATTTTTTAAATACATTTATGTGGTTTAAATATTTTCTGTTTGGCATCACAGTCAAATCTGATAAAGGATAAAATCAGGTTGACTGAAAACTAAAAATGCATTTTCGCTCGTTCTGATTTTTTCAGAATGATAATTCACCTTGATTCCATTATGTAATAAAAATCCTTTAGTTTTAACAACAAATAACAATTATGGTAAATTTATGACTGGCAATATAAACACATTTTAACTAAATCAAGATAAATTAATACAGAAAAAGCAAAATAGAAAATTATGACAATTAACAGTAACACACAGAGTTTGAATTTGCCTGTTAAAAAAACATTTCATACCATATCACTCAGACTGTTGATAGATCTAAGTCAAATTTCTAGGCAATTGAAATAAATGAATAAATAAATCAGTCATTTAAAATAATTGGTAATTGTACAGGCCCGTCGTCACGATTTTGTGATTGGTGCGGCCAATTTGCTTGGTTTAAGCCAGATTCTAGGGGGGTACGGGGGCATGCTCCCCCGGAAATTTTTTTATTCTAGGATGCTCTCAGGGCCGTTTTCCCGTATATTTGGCACAGTTTACAGTCTGCCGTTAGTACAAGTTATAGTAATATGTTAACGATTTTTTACAGATTTAAGTGCGTCGTGAAGGACGGATAGGTGTACATAAAAGATGAATACATGTAATTGATATTTGGCAAATGAAAAGCAAACAATAACTGATGTTGTTATAATTCTTTAGATGTATTTTATCTGATAATTATAAATAAACAAATACAAGAAATATTACAGTACTAGGATTATTGTTTAACATAAATCACACAATGGTATAAGCTTAAATAACAATCGATGACATGATGGAAGAATAGCACATTATGAGTCAACAGGGGTGGTAGCCAACACCGTTCCCAATCTCGGATCATGTGGGCGCCTTCCTCTTCCGGGGAACATTTGGATCGTTAACATCGACTCGATCACTCTCACTTTGAACTTTAATGCATGAAAATTTAGAATATGTTCTTAATAGTAAGCAGTATGACAAATATACCAATAAATTGATATGATTTATCTTAATAAAATGTTCCATTTTCCGTTAATAAATATTTAGAAAGTAGAAATATGATTGTGAAATGAGTCTCAAATATATGAGTCTGAAATGATATATGTCTTTATTCAATTTAATTTATCCTCATATGGAAGCGTTCCCCTTTTAAACTGAGTTTAATTTCGTTATGTTAAAGAGTAAATTGAATGAGTTTATTACTGAATTTATTTCACAGAGTTGCGAAAACAATGATATCAAGCTCTCGGAGAATTCAGGCATACTAGTTTAAGATACTCATAATGCATATTGCAAATCTCATGCACTGCTATATCATAATATACATAACATTGATGAAAAAATGTACTCACCAAATGTTCGTTTCGGAAACGAAAATGATTTTGGTTGATTTGGTTCCGATGGAATTGTGTCAAACATCATGATATTTTACTATCTTAAACTATTCATATTAAGATACTTGTATGTGAACAGAGGTAAAATTTAAAGAATTGTGATGTTACTATTTTGAATAAACATATATATACGGTGAACTGTCGGAAGCCACGTCGATGTCAATTAATGCCAATTAAGATAATTTCACACTTGACTTTGGGGGACACCGACATGTACCTGGTCAATAAACAGTGTACAGTTGTTCCTTCGCGTCATGTTTGTATATTACCGCGCAATTTGCATAGGGGGCTAGTTAAGTGTCAAATCGCTAATCAGCGATGCGTTTTTTTTTTGTTTTTTGTTTTTGTTTTTATCATTTTTGGCCAGAATATTGGTCCGGCCAAGGCCGGACCGGCCGGACCATCGACGACGGCCTTGTTGTATCACAATAAATGTATTCAAAATTGAAATTTCAGTTCGGATGTTGGTGTGGCCCGGCTTCGTGTGGTTTGTGCTGTAGTGGATGCAAGCCAATCAATGAGTCAACAGGAACCAGGATTATGTATACAACTTTCCTGACACTAGGATTCTTAGCTTGCTGTCTCATGCTTTCACCACAGCTGCATGATCATGTCTCTAATAATGTAAGTGATGTGCTTCACCTTTCGTTCACTCATTGTGAAATTATTTCAGTGACTTGAGAAATCCTGGGTCCTCACTCCTTCACATCTGTTGCATGTATCTTCTTTCCCTACCCTCAGATCAGTTAAAAAAATCTCCCTCTGAACAAAAATGGAAATATAATTATGCTTTTTGTGAAAAATAAAATTCATTGTAAATGTGTTAAGTGATATTTTATTTAATATTTGACCTGAAAAGAAATGACAAATATTCTCCAATAAATGCTGAAATTAAACCTGCCACCAAAGGGTACCAAAATGTATTTCCCAAATTGGATATTTCCCAAGGGCTCTGGAATCTTTTCTAATACACTATTTATGATAAAAATGATCAAAGGCCAAAGTATTGGGTCTAAGTTGTTGCTTGTACTGACTATCAAGACTGCATTGCATTTGATGAAATATAACTTAAGTTATGTAAAAAAATTGATACATTTAAATTAACCTGAACACAATTTCATGTTTTATCAGAACCCCTTTATTGGCTTTAATGAAACTGTAGTTTTAGTGAACTTCATGTTTTATCAGAACCCCTTTATTGGCTTTAATGAAACTGTAGTTTCATGTCACTTTATAACATTACTAGACCTCTCTATAACTGAAAGTGTTCCCAACTTCACAGGTGCATGACCATCACAATGTTAAGTGCCATTATTTTATGGCCTTGTAGTGATCTACTTACATTCTTCAGTGTCTACTTTCCTCCTAATATCCTTTAAGCTTGAGTGTTCACAGCTGTATATGTCTCTGGTTACACTAGAAAAGCTGTTCACTGATGCATGTCTTTTTGTATGAGTATTGTTTAGCAAATGGTGCTAATTTATTTGCTAGATATCAGATTATCATCCCAACATGAATATAATTTAAACGGAGTTATTGTGATATTGTTGTTGATCATTAGGGTCATCCTGTCAGTCCAGTGATAACATGAAAATGTTCAATACATCTTTAATTTATATGAGCCGCCTCATGACAAAACCAACATAATGGGTTTGAAACCAGCATGGATCCAGACCAGCCTGTGCATCCGAGCAGTCTGATCAGGATCCATGCTGTACGTTTACAAACCCTATAACAAGTAGAGAAACTGATAGCGAACAGCATGGATCTTGATCAGACTGCTTGGATGAGCAGGCTGGTCTGGATCCATGCTGGTCGCAAACGCACTATGTTGGTTTTGTCATGATGCGGCTCATATGTTTGTACATATCTCACTATAAGCATTGCCAAATAAATCAATATTAGTTAGTTACTATTTAAAATTTGTATATTCTTGTTGTAATTGGATTCAATGAATTTAATCATTTTTGTATTAATTTGTATGCTTTACTTTTCAGGAATTCTATAATAATATACTTTGACTAAATGAGGAAATACATGTAACATGTAACATTATCTTATTTAACATTTTATTGTTATATAGCAAAATGTCATTTACTGCAAAAGCTATTTTGCTAGACACATATTTTGCATAATGTTATGAACTGTGCATCATTATAAGTAAAGATACCAAATTACTTTTCACCCTTATTTTCTCATTCTCATATTCTGAGATATATATACATACATGTATATGTTATATTGTGCTTAGTAGATTCAAGCAGGTGGTTTGTATCATACAGAAAGTTTTATTGATAATACAAATTTTCTTGTTCTGTATTTAAGATAAAACAATTGGCAAAGAAAAATACTTAACATTAATATGCATTATTTAAAATATCATTAAGATAAGAAGATGTTTGATAAAACAATTACTGCCAAATAGTTCCATACATTAAACACTCACTGTCAGAGTTACTAAAATTACACATATCATTATCATAGAGTTCTTTATTCCCTTACTGCTGTGGGTTTGAATCTCGACAGGGACTTCTTTCATGTGAGATAGCAATCCAGCTAGCATACGGAATGGCGGTGGTTCTACTCAGGTGCCTGTTTGTGCCTGAAATAATGCACAGAAGGGCACCAGAGGTCTTCCTCCACCAGTAGAGCTGGAATTTTAGTCGCCATTGAGTTGGTATGACGTAAAACCCATAAAAAATAAGATTTCTTAATCACAGATAAAAACAACTATTTGTTTGCAGGTTGGAGGTTTTAATGAAACATGTGTGATGCTAGGTATTGGTGAGAATTGCTCCATGTTGAAAGGTTACAAGGCAGTTTACAGAATTTGTATAGGAATGGTTGCATTTAGTTTACTTCTTATGATTATAACAGTATGTGTACCTAATAGCAACCAGTGGAGAGGACATATACATAATGGGTATAATCATTTAACTGTTATTTGTTAACTTTTATCCTATTTGGTACTTCTTACAGTTTTAAGCTTAAAGGGACTCAACTGAGGTTTTTTTGACATGACAGGGCTTGAAATAATTTTTCAAGATTAATGTTCAATTTGATAAAGGGTTAATGGTGCATAATTTCAGATCATTCACTCACTTTGTTTTTCCTGATTAATTATTTAAATTGTGAAAAATGACTCAAAACTGAAAAAGCTTTTCACTCAAATCAAACTAGGAATAGCAAAAAATAGGAATTTCATTTATTTCTGAGTATATTTCTTAATTATTGTTTGCATATTTTTCTGTTTATGTTTTTATGCCTTTGGATCTCAGTAACTGTTGAGTTCCTTTTATATTTAGAATGAGAAGTGGGGGTATTTTTTTCACCAGTGCTTATGCAGTGGTATTACATTTGGTTCAAGTTCAACATGTAAAGTTACATATCCCATCAAGGACTTAAAAGTATGCTGTAGAAATTTAACACATGTCTTTGGATTTAAAACTGTAGATTGCTGTATAAGACAAAAAGCATAGCCTTTTGCAAACTAAAATAATTAATGTTTTACAGTTTTTCAAGATGAATCTATGAAACTAGAATTTTTAGAAAATATATTAAAAACTAACATTTGGGGGTAGCAGTCTTAGAGATGCACTTTGACTTACTGACAGCAATTGAGAACCGCCCCTTGAAATCCCAGTGGATATTTTGCACTAAATCTTGCGTCTGACCCAACTTTTTGAACTTTTAAAGTTCTTGTTAAGATTCTGTATACATGTAAAACAACTAATGATTATTTTCACCTACAAGTTCGGGAACTGAGTTTTATAGTTTCAAAATAAATGTTTGAAGAGAATTTCTCTCAAATTTACTATTGGTAGTTATAAAAAGTTATACAGAGTGTTTCTACACTTTTCTGTCTTGATATTTTTTTATTTCATCTTATATTATAATCGATCAGATGAATGTTTATTATTATATGAGAAACAAATATATGAAATATATTTCAGTTACTGGTTGTTCAAGTTGATATTGTTGATATGTTGCTGTACTGGTGCATTTTTCATACCAACAGGATTCTCAATTTGTAAGTATAGTTTTACCTTGTCAACTGCAGCAGTAGTTTTCCTTTACCATCTGTTAGTGTAGTATTCCTTTGCCATCTGTAACTGTAATTTTCCTTAACTACTCTTTTATCTATGGATGCTTTTTTCCTCTAACATCTAAAGTGGTTATTTATTCCCTCTGACCTCTTTAAGTGTATTCTTGTGTTTTTCCTGTCACATCTTTTAGTGTATTATTTCTCTGTCATAATGTAAGTGTATTTCTCTATGGCCAATAAGTATGTGTATTATCTTGGTCACCATTCTTTAAAGGCACATTATGCCTCAGAAATTGATAAAAGATTCTTATTCTGCAGAAAGGGCAAATATATGTTTTATGATGTTGCAATAATGTATTTTTGAACACATGAGATGTTTATCATCTGAAGAAACTGAATTGAATGTCAAACATTTTGTCTTAAGGAATGTAAGCAAATTAGTAGTATTTTGACTTCCGTACAAAATACTTTATAATCACTATAGCTGTACTCATTGCCAAAATGCAAAAGATGCAAATTAAGCCAAAAGCTATATGCTATAGGAAGTAACAGTTTGGAAACTGTAATAGGACACTAAAAAATAAGAAGCTTTTAAAAAATGAAAATGAAAGAATTTATTAGGCTTTATGGGTCTTTAATTGTATTTTCCTTTTGTCCCTCTACTACCTTTACATAAATTTTGGTTTAACTATATACAAATGTCAAATCTAATGCCAGTATTACATAATCATACAGCCTTGTTGTATAAGTTTTACATATTTACTTATAATTTAGATACAAAATAATAAACATAAGGTTATGTTATGATAAAAGTACTTGATTATTGACAGCATATTACTATAACATTTTAACCCTTGCCCTGATGAACTTCTTAGCTTCCATTTTTAAAACTGTCCATCATCATCTTTAGGGGTATCAAGATGAAAGTTTAGATTAGTCATCCAACAGAATAGAGTCTGGTCAGACTTGTATATCGTCAACTTTTGTTTCAAACATCCCATAAAATATATATACATGTATTTTTTATTCAATAAATATATTTGAAATTCATGTATTTATTCAAATGTATATTTCAGATTGGATGTATGTAGGAATGGCTGGAGGATTTATCTTTATTTTACTTCAGCTGATTCTACTGGTAGACTTCACTCATGCATGGAACGCAAAATGGTAATGTTTATATCTATTTGATCAGTAAATTTGTAATAAGACATTCATTACCAGCTTAAGACATTCATTTCCAGCTTTTAAATGTATAAAGATATATTTTTTGCATATCAGACTGGCATTTCCATTAGTTTTACCCATGCTGGAAATTTCGTCTGGTATGGGGGGGTGTGTGCCAGATAAGTCGCGTGCCTTACAACAACGTCATTTTAGCGCATTTTATGACATCACTTTGGCGCATTTTAGAAGGGAACTATGTGTTTAGGACGATGTCATTCCGCTGTTGTTATTAAAGTTGTAAATTCATAAGCTATTGTAAGAAAATAGTTATGAATGAAATGACATTAATTTCCATGAACAAAATATCTTAATGAGGTAAACCATTTTAAATATGAAAGAATATGGCAGAATATGCAAGAAAAAAATAATCTGACATATGTTTGCGGTTCAGATTGAAATATCTATCCCTAAGGTACCCGTCCATGGGCGGGGTAAACTCGGGACAGATATTCAGAACCGTAACATATGACAGATTTTATAAATCTGCTGACTGTACACGTAATTTACAAAATCATTGTTTCAATTTTGAAAAAGAATAATTCTGAAATACTTGTATGAAAGAAATATTTTTGTATATTTAATTAAAAGTGAATGGTGCATTAACAAAGTCATTGTGAAACAGTTAAAACCTTATTAAAACAGCAGGATAATATTTTGTTATTGATATTTTTTTTATCCAGATTGAAAGATGGACAAGATATTTAGCATGGTATAAGGGTTCAATGGCTAAAATAATATTGATTAAAACTTCAAAAAAATACATAAAGTAAACCAGGCTGGCGTGATTGCCATTAATTGGTGGCAAAGTCTTTTTGGTTCCAGAAGGGTGTCTTTATCTAATATGTAGATTATTCATTTATATTGAAGATGATGTACCATAAATGAAATATTTCTGCAGTTGTTAATTATGATGTGTGTTTAACTTTTATATACTTGTTACTCAAGGTTGCAATACAATTCTGAGACAGGAAAGAAGAGTACCTGTGGCTACATTGGTAAGTTTTCTTATTATGTAAGAGAGGGAACATTATATCTGCCCTTGTCAATCCATCCTGCTGTTCTTGTTTCACATTGCCCATTTGTAGATTGACAATGCAGTGGAATGTTGGGGCATATGTGTCATATGGACACATTTTGAATAGGACTGTTCTTTTACATTTATCAAGAGCAGTCTCATATCAAGATTTTATTTTGTATTTAAAAATCTTATCTTAGTTAATAAATGAAAGCAAAGATATTAGTAAAGATTTAAATAGTATTGAGCAACCAATATCTATAAAGTTCTCCTTTTTCATTCACTAGTCCATTCAGACATGTAGAATGTTACATGTAATAACTTTGCAGACAAAATAAAAATAAAGTTTTAAATTGCAGGTACCCTTTTTTGTGCCACCCTGTTTTATGTTATTGCCATAGGAGGGGTAATATTACTGTACTTCAACTATACTAGGCTACATGGATGTCAAACTAACAAGATATTTATTCTTGTCAATGCTGGTCTGTGTGCCATCTTATCATTCTTCACCCTACTTCCTGTCACACAAAAATGTAAGTTACATTCGGTTATACTTTAAGATTATTTAAAAATTAACTGTACAATATGGGAATATAATTGAAGGAGTAGTCAGCTGGAGAAACCATATTGGACGAGTCACCAGCTTATTCTATATCCAAATTAATATTGATTTAATGAAATGCGCGTTAATATTGTTAAGGTATGACAAGACACTTAAAATGCTCCTTTTAGAATTCATACTTTTGTTGTTTACGGCTTTTATCATTTATTATTAAGCCAATATCATGAAAATGGAAATATATTGGATGGTCATGTGGTACATGTGGTACAATTTAAAAGCAATGATTGGATGTTAATAATTTATAAAGAATAATTAACATTATTACATAACACTTGCCACGCTAAATATATTAAATAGACTTGTTGGTCTTTCAACTTGGAAAAACCATTTCATTTTTAGGAAAAATTTCAATAAGTTCTGACTGAACTTTGTGTTTAAATGATATGATAATTTGCAAGGTTAAGCTTTAAAAGTCATGTTTGAACAGATAATTTAATATAATCCAGAGTAGTTTATACAGAATTTATTTTGTAGTAACCTATAAGCTAATAGACATTCTCTTAAATCCATACCTCTAACAAATCAGTACTATTCAAGCAATGGGTTAAAGTTTCTTGTGCAAGGAAGCACTGTCTTGCCCCTAAAGGGGTGTCAAACTATGTGGCCGGAAATATTTAAATTACTAGTCTGATATGTTAACTACTTGGCTATACTGTCACATATTGTATCACTATTGCATGCATCAAAAATGAAGTAAAAAAAACCAACAAAATGACGTCAGAGTTACTTCCAAAATGACATCAGAGTTACTATCAAAATGACATCAGAGTTACTTCCAAAACGATGTCAGAGTTACTTCCAATATGATGTCAGAGTTACTTCCAATATGACGTCAGTTACTTCCAAAATGATGTCAGAGTTACGTCCAAAATGATGTCAGAGTTACTTCCAATATGACGTCAGTTACTTCCAAAATGATGTCAGAGTTACTTCCAATATGACGTCAGAGTTACTTCCAAAATGATGTCAGAGTTACTTCCAAAATGATGCCAGAGTTACTTCCAATTTGACGTAAGAGTTACTTCCAAAATGACGTCAGTTACTTCCCATATGACATCAGAGTTACTTCCAATATGACGTCAGAGTTACTTCCAAAATGATGTCAGAGTTACTTCCAAAATGATGTCAGAGTTACTTCCAATATGACATCAGAGTTACTTCCAAAATGATGTCAGAGTTACTTCCCTGCTGTGTGTAGTTTAAAAAAAAGTTATATTATTTGTTTGTATTTACAGGTAATCAGAATGCTGGGTTGTTACAGTCATCAGTGATCACATTATATGTGATGTATCTAACATGGTCTGCTCTCACCAGTGAACCTCCAGAAGAAAGTAAATATTTCTGTATATTAAAATAAATTATCATTTTATACACTTAAACATTCAAGTATATCTTTGATTTTTTGCATGGAGTTTTAGTTGACCATAATTGACAACAACTTTCTTATTACCAGTTACACTGTTCAACTATCTTACTACTAATACTTTCAATAATTATTACTTACAAAATCTGTACTGAATAGTCATACTTACATGCCAATAATGCATGTGATTTTCTTCCTTCAGTCTCGTTCATAGAATCAATAAAGACACAGGTAGCATTGAGTATGTTAGCTAAACCTGCAGATGGTGTTGAAGAACTGGAGGATCCTCATGTAAGTTATTACTAGTTGTAATTAACAATAATCTATGCTACATTTGTCAAGGGTTGCCTCAGTGGCTGAGTGGTCAAGGTAGCCGACTTCAAACAACTGGCCCAGCAGGTTTAAATCATGCCATGGACTTAGTCCTTTAGCCATGAAGTCATCATGACTTTCTTGTTTCTATTCAGGATCAAAATAGTGGGGCATGCTTTCCTTCACCAGTCTAAGTTGCATCACTAAAGTAGAGATTGTCTACTAATAATGTATTAAATTCAGTAAAATGCATGATAAAGGCATTATATTTAATGATGTACATGTATGTATTTCTGTATACAGATTGGATCTGTGAGTGGACCAGAGGAGCACATGATACCATCATCTATGAACAGTACTCAACTATGTCGACCAACTGATGTAGATCCACAACGGGAGATGATTGCAGCATATGCTGGGCTCTTTATTATGTTTGTGATGGCTGTATTTGCAATGTATGTACAGTTTGTATATACTATAATGTGTATTGTTAGTGATCATTGATAACCAATATAAGTATGTATGTGACACTTCTGGAAGAATGTTAAATGTTTAGGTTAAACACTATTTAAGTTAGATTGTTCAGAAACCTTGTAGATTATTTGAACCTTTTTTGGGTCCATTACCTTGAACTAATTATTACTGGTGCCATATCAGGAAAAACTTTTGTGACATTGATAGGAAATAAACCCAGGATTACTTGGTTGTGAGGCAGACAACCACCAGGCCACCTTTCACCTTAAAATTAAAAGTTTGTAAGCTGGTACTGATTTGATTGTTATGGTTCAAAAACATAATTTATGGATCAGGTGATCCTACTTTGTCAATGGTTATAATCATCCTATTGTTATAAATAAATTTGAAGTATTTGGTCATGTATGAAGGTTTCAAATACTGATATCTTAAAGAATTGAATTTGTTCTTTGTTTAAATTAAGGGAAAATGATAAAAAAATAAGGGGAAAATTATGCAAATCTAATTCAGAATAATAGACTCAAAATAAGGATAAATCCTAGGGTCAAGATTTTAATTTGGATCAAATCTACCAAACTGAAGTCTTGTCATCTGACAGTGAACATATTTCTGGTTACTTTGCAAGTGTGTTATTACCACAATTATTGTTGTGTTTTCAGTGTGAGTACATCAGGAGACTCTCATAAACTAGGAGTTAGAAGATCTGCCCGGCAGGTAAGTTTACCATCACACTAATATCAAGTACTTACATTGGATATTAGTCCATCGTTTTCAATCATTAAATAATTATTTTTTAATTTCTTAGATTTTTTCCACTGAAAAAAAGTACAAAAAGTTTATTATATCTTGAATGTACAGTAAAACCTGTGTAGAACAACACTCTTTGGCAGACATAGGTTTTGATTGTTGCTGTAAGGTGTTGCCATAGAGATTTTTTTAATTTTATTGTGATGTCTTATTTTGAGAGGGTATTGTTCTACAGATGTTGGACAATGCATCCTCACACTTCTTGCTTCAGTGCAAAAATTTCTTGTCTACTTATAGTAAAAAGCATAGCTAATTATTGAAAGATTTAAAATTGACATCAAGTTTTCTTCAAAATTATTCTGTAAACTTGTATAATATGTATATGTTATAATATATTTGATGAACGTTTTCATGTATGTGTTACAGACAGTGGACACTTATGATTGTTGTTGTTGCTGTAAAGTTAGACAAAGTAAGTCTAATATACATGATACATTTTTTTTTCATCCTGTTTGTGCCTGAAATAATGCACAGAAGGGCACCTGAGGTCTTCCTCCACCAGTAAACCTGGAAAGTCACCATATGACCTAATTACTGTGTTGGTGCGACATTAAACCCAATCCAAAAAAAAAAAAGATAAAAAATTGAAAATATTTTATGCTTTATAATTATCATTATTATGTTTCCATTTATTAATACAATGAAATTATAACAGTGAATTTATAAATATAATTTTCTTAGCCATATTCTGCCATATAACATGAGAAAAAATGTATATAATTTGTTTAGAAAGTTCAATGTCATCATACATCATGTTAGAAATTTAACAAAATTAGAGAAATTTAACGGAACTAGATTTCAAAACTGATGATGTGACGTCATGATATAATGACGTCACAAAGGAGATGCGAGACGTTACGCGGCAAAATCAGTAAAAAATAGCTTTAAAAAGCATAAAATAAAAAGAAAATTTATTTGTTTTACATATAACATTGAAATATATTTCATTCGTGAACACCAGCTATTATATTTTCATGAGTGGCTACGCCACTCGTGAAAATATTGCATCTGGTGTTCACTCAGTGAAATTATATTTCAATCTTACATGCAAAACAAACAAATATCCTCTATATAACTGAAATACAGTGTTTATCTTGCTGATTCATGAGAAATAGTAATGAAAAGGTTTGCACAGGTTCTATAACTAGCCTGTCTTCTAGATGATGTAGGATGTAACTAGATGATGTAGGATCTTTATTGTACTCAATAATGTTTATCTCATATTGTACTTGTGATGGTATTCTTTTCTCAACATGGAACTTTTTGTGTGTTTAATCATTCCTGGTTATATGTGTGTAAAGTATCAATCTTGTCTGGCATTGAACTGTTTCTATGCTGTCATAAATTTGTTATCAGAAGTTTATCTTGAATGAATTGATTGTTCACATCATTAGAGTGACTGTAATGAATTACTTTTAGTACCTGAAGTTAGTAAAACAATTGTGTCCTTCCTGTGAAAAGTATGAAACCTGGCATGATGTAGGAAAACATATTTCATTGTATTTATGCCTAAGATCCAGGTTGTGAAAATCCAAGCACAATGAAGCATAAGTGTGCCAAATGTGATACTTTTCACAACAGGTGCACAATTTGCCTTATATTATGTACAAATTGTATGTACTATTTCAGGATATAACCCATCAGAGGCTGGAGGACAAAAAGTTTTGTACAATGAGGCAGATGGAGTTATTTATAGCTACGCATTTTTTCATTTTATATGTTGTACAGCCATTCTGTACATTATGATGCAGCTAACTAATTGGTACCGGTATGTATTTCCATATTCACTTCTCATCTTACTTTAGTAGTAACACAGGTATATTAGCTCGATTATGAAAACAAATTCTACATACTTGATAAGTTGATATTAATCACTTTCCAGTTTGCTCCCTAGACTAGTGTAGTAATTATGAGGAAATATGATATTAGTACAATTAGAGACAGACACTTTAACCACATTGCTTCTGCTTCCCTCACTACTTAATGTCATACTACCTTTAACAAGAGTATATTATAGTACATTATAGATTGTGTTCAGATGAAAGTTTGTTTAGTTTTTTGAGGTAAATGTCAAGGACACTACCCTTTTGAATTGAAATTATTTCCAATGAATATATGAAAAATACAATAACCATGCATGGTAGCATCTAATGGCTGTTTGTTGGTAGAAGACCTCCTTCAATTCGGAAATACCTGAAATACCTGGGTTACATTATGATTTTGAAGTTACTGTCACCATGACATTCAAGAGTTTCAGTCCGAGAAATAACAGTCTTAAGAATTTGGTGTTTAGATAAATAAGAAAAACATTTTCTGATTATTTTATACTTAAATATTTTAATATAATAATTATATTAAGAGATTTATATTTTATATTATAGTCCAGCAGGGTCAGATATAAACAGATTTGGTTTGAACTGGGCCGGTGTTTGGGTGAAGATAGCCTCGTCTTGGACTTGTGTAGCAATTTATCTATGGACTCTCTTCCTGCCACGTTGCTGGATGGGACGAGACCAAACGTTCGCCTCGGGCAACTTTGACAGGGTTGATGGTGGAGAACAGGAAAACTTACGTTGTGAAGAAGTTGTAGCATCCAGGGAATCTGTATTGTAGACATGTTATTGTAGTGAAAGCATCAATAAGTGTATTAAAACATCATTGAGGGTCATTGCTATAATTATAGCATAGTTTATTACAAAAGTAATATACTGCTTAAATCTTATATATTAACATACCAGATATGATCAGGATCTGTCTGATAATCTTTTTGTAACACTTTTGCCACAATCTTAATGCCTATGCATTAGATACAGGATTGTATATTATGTGCAGCATGGCCTAGGGAACATTTTCCAAATTGATCAGAATATGATCCCAGTGACAAAGTAAACATTACCAGGCAGTCACTCGTTTTGTGAGTATATACTCATGTAAATGGAACAAAGTTGCTAGATATGATACATAAATGTAGATGTCTCGGGTGACTTTTTGAAGAATCTCTATTCTTGATTTATCTAGTTATCAAGTAGTTTTTTTTTGTAGTTTTTTTTTGGTAATAAATTTTTGGAAGAGATGTGAAGATCTTTAAATGATTTAAAAGCACAGCCTGATTTAGGAACTAATTTAATAAATTGATTGAAATGTTTTGCTCAATATATGAGTTTTGAAAGAAAGGAAATATTCATTCAACCTTTAATCATTTGTCAGTTTTTACTAATGGAACCATAATATTTCATTTATAAATAAGAGAACTTTTACTCAGAATATTTCGTGATTCAAATACATATACCATAAAAGTCAATAAGTTTAGTTAGAATCCATTCTACCATTACCTTTCAGGGAAAAGTTTATAAAACATTTTATATGTTCTTGTTGACATGTATTGCATGTGCAATTCATATTATATTGTCTTCATGTAAAACATTTACCCTTATATTTTGGATTCATGTTATTACCGCCCATCAAAGATATAGAGATATAGATTTGGGGTTGTCTTTTCCACTGTTTGTCTCTCTGTCTTTCCACTTATTACACAATACCGAAAAGGACAGGGGGCCATCAAACTGTAAACAGAAGTTCATTTAGTAACAATAGGGGAAAGGGCCAATGGTCAGAGGTTAAACAAAAGAAAGTAACAAAAGAAATGGCACATCATCCTAATCTGGTCACATGTCTGTACGTTGCCCACTTGGAAATTGCCCATCGTATATTAAACTTTTTTCAGTTTTAAATATTTAACTTTATATGTGGTTACAACTCATTGAGAAGAAGTGCTGTGTGTAAGAACTATAACTCTTTTTTGCAAAGTTTTGGAGTATGTGCTATTCTTTATTTTTGTATTGAGCATAACTAGAAAACTATGGCAGGTATAATCTTGAAACTTTATAGATTGATAAATCACATATAGAAAAGGAAAGTTTATTAGAACCATTACTGCGAACGCCAGTAAGTAAGTAGTATTAGAACCATAACTCTCTCTTGCATAAATTTGGAGTTATCACCCTTTGTATTTTTTACATTTTATATTTCTCGGATCAAAACTTTATACATTGATAGATCTTATTAAGGAAAACAACATTGTGCAAAACCATAATTCTCTTTTGCATAATTAAAGACTTATGCCCCTTTGCATAGGAACAGTAACTCTTAGAATTGAATATAATATTTATGATCTGACGTACATAATACTAAGAAGTCTCAATTAAACCAGGATATCAATTAGATTATTTTTCCTGTTTTGATTTGATAGTGTGCTTATGTTATCTGATAGGGTGCAAATGAAAAATATCAACTTTTATTTTTTTTCTCATAGCCTTACTTATATTACGCAAAGGGATACATTTTGTATGAAATACTTTACATTTATGTGCCTTATTTTTCTATTATAATATTTCTGTAGATTGCCTGTGCAATTTTTAGCATCATTTTAATGATTTATATCTGTTTTCTTATTTTATTGTTTACTTGTTGAATGATCACTTTTTGTATACCACATTTTCATTATGACATTTTATAAGTCTCTCATTCACAGCTGCATTTATCACTTGTAATTATTTTCTCTTATTCACAGCTGCGCTTTTTTACATGTTTTATAAATACACAACTGTATTTATAGCTTAAAGATGCAATTTATTGTTTGAACATAAACTGTTATATACAGTACAAACTATAGTTTTTAGGTGAGTCATAATTTTTGCCTATGTATTTTTCTTAACATTTTTTGATATGTTAAACATGATGATTACATATGCCACATAGTTTTTAATGCTCTGTAAGGGATATAGTTTCTACTTTGTCTTTAGTTTTTAATGCTCTGTAAGGGATATAGTTTCTACTTTGTCTTTCTGTTGTTTTTTTCACAAACTACTGTTTCTCAAAGCACCTATATCATTAACTGATATCTTAGATACATGATGTGATATGTAACTATGATAGATAAATGATGTAATATGACTGATATCTGAGATATTTGATGTAATATGACTGATATCTTAGATATTTGATGTAATATGACTGATATCTGAGATATTTGATGTAATATGACTGATATCTTAGATATTTGATGTAATATGACTGATATCTGAGATATTTGATGTAATATGACTGATATCTTAGATATTTGATGTCATATGACTGATATCTGAGATATCTGATGTATTATGACTGATATCTTAGATATTTGATGTAATATGACTGATATCTTAGATATCTGATGTATTATGACTGATATCTGAGATATCTGATGTAATATGACTGATACCTGAGATATCTGATGTATTATGACTGATATCTGATGAAATATGACTGATATCTGAGATATTGGATGTAATATGACTGATATCTGTGATATCTGATGTAATATGGCTGATATCTGAGATATCTGATGTAATATGGCTGATATCTTATGTAATATGACTGATATCTGAGATATCTGATGTAATATGACTGATATCTGAGATATTTGATGTAATATGACTGATATCTGAGATGTTTGATGTAATATGACTGATATCTTAGATATCTGATGTATTATGACTGATATCTGAGATATCTGATGTAATATGACTGATATCTTATATATCTGATGTATTATGACTGATATCGGAGATATCTGATGTATGACTGATGTCTGAGATATCTGATGTATTATGACTGATATCTGAGATATCTGATGTAATATGACTGATATCTTAGATATCTGATGTAATATGACTGATATCTGAGATATCTGATGTATTATGACTGATATCTGATGTAATATGACTGATATCTTAGATACCTGATGTAATATGACTGATATCTTAGATATTTGATGTAATATGACTGATATCTGAGATATTTGATGTAATATGACTGATATCTTAGATATCTGATGTAATATGACTGATATCTTAGATATGAGATATTTGATGTTAAATGATTGATGTCTTAGATATTTGATGTGTTACTACTTATGTCTTTGATATCTGATGAGTTCTGACTGATGTCTTAGATATTTGATGGGTTCTGACTGATATCTTTGATATTTGATATATGACCATTTTCTTAGGTATTTTCTATCATTACCAATATTTTAGATATTTGATGTGCTGGGACTGAAATTTTAGATATTTAATTATTTGATGTGTTTGTACCTTTCGTGGATTTCTGTCTTGATTGATGGTCAATTGTGTTTTAGTCAAGGTCACCTGCTCTAAAAATAGATCATTTTACTTTTCCTCAAATTGAGGCAATGTTTTTATCTTTTGTCAAAGCAACATCAATCAGTGTGTATTATCATAGTTCATACTCTAATTTGTTTGGCCAGTAAAAAATGTGTTCATGATTATTGTATTTGTGGTCATCTGAGCAAATTTTCATGTTTGTTCTTTAAGATGAGAGATTAAAATGTTATTGTTATTCTATTGTTGAAAAATATAATGTTACTGTTGTGTACAGGCATACTCTGAAAGTTTAGAAACAACAAATGGTTTTTAAAAACTTAAAAATTTTTAGTATGTTTTATTAGCAAGTTGAAGTTGAAATATTTTCTGAATATTTTAACATGTTCTTTTGTAGATACTGTACCATAGCCCAAACTATATAGTTTATAGATATTGTATCGTGGTCTAATCTCTTTACCTTATAAATATTTTACCATGGTCTGATCTTGTATACTTAATCCATAGTCTACCATGGCCCTGAATAAAACGTTTTATACAGTAGGTACAACACTTACTTATAACATGTCAAACTTTATTGAATCATTTTAAAAACAATGTGTACTTTCATGTGATGTATGTGTTCAAAATTTTGCTTAGTAGTGCAATATTTCAGTCAAGTTATTGGTAGCAAAGTTATTGGTAGTAAAGTTATTGGTAGCAAAGTTATTGGTAGTAAAGTTGTTTGTAGTCAAGTTGTTTTGTAGTCAATTTTTTGGTTGTAAAGTTGTTTTGTAATCAAGTTGTTGGTAGAAAAGTTATTGGTGTTTGGTAATCATATACTACAAATGTACAATTAATATTGATTTGGTTTCCTTTTTTTTTAAGATTGTGAATTTTTTAAGGACACTTAGCTTTTTGGGGAATATGAAGAGCTTATTTATTGTACTCCCGTTGGTATGTGTGTTGGCATTACTGTCACACTTTGGTTAAGTTTTTGCATGAAAGTTGGTATCTCCATAAATACTGAATGAAATGGGTTAAAACTTCACACACCTTGTTTACTGTGATTTTCTATCATGATAGGCATAGATCCCAAAACTCTGAGTAAGCTTCTTACATAGTTATGCCCCTTTTCGTACTGTAAAGCATTGAGAATAGTGGAGCATGTTGTCTAAAGGATGGCTCTTGTTTTATGTGTAATAAATTCTTACACTTTTAAAGAATGAAGAAATATGTATTATTTAAATTATAATTATATTAAATTGAATTATTTGTTTGAATTTTGATTATTTTATTTTTTATTAATTTTACCATTTATTCTTTCATCAATTTATTAGTTTAACAAAAGTTATTTTGTAAGATTTCATTTGCTACATAGTCCTTTTAGACTTTTTTTACTCTGTTGCAGATATGTTTTTGTTATATTACTCATTAGTACACAGTTTATTAGTGCACAGTTTATTAGTGCACAGTTTATTAGTGCACAGTAGTACACAATTTATTAGTGCACAGATTTGCTTTATGTATTCAATCAGTATTTGAAATTTAGCATAATCTTCATGAATAGACACAAAATAATATATTTTTGTCACCTAGCAATGAAATTTCAGAAGAGGGATATTTTGTTGGAATGGCTGTAATAAATTTTGTTGTGATGTTATTTAACATTAAAGATACAAAGAGACCAATCTAATGTATTACAATGTAAGTGGTTAAATACAAGTTCTAGTTGGATTTCACTAAGTATTTTACTGATAAGGATATATTCAATGCATTTACGTGTTTATATTTTATTTCTTATATATATGAGTACATCATTTAATCATTAGTTTGTTTTTGTACATTTGTAGTGATGTTGTGGTGTTTGATGTATTTTTAGTTATTAATGTTACTAGGACCAAAAACAGTTCTTGTTCAGGTGTCTTTTCATGTCCAGTCAAGTTTTTTTCAATTTTTCAAATCTATTCTTTGCAATATATATTAAATAAAATTTGTAAAAAACTATTTAAAAAAAAACAACCCTACTTATCTTCCCTCTTTTTTGGCCAGATGCGGAAGATGAAACTTTGAATAAAACTCTTTTTTGGCCAGAGGCCAGACATAAAACTCATTTTTTTGGCTGGAGGCCGGAAATAAAACTCTTTTTGGCTTGAGGCCAGAATTAAAACTCTTTTTTTTGGCTAGAGGCCAGAATTAAAACCCTTCCTAGAGACTAAGAAACCATTTATTACAGGACAAGTGATCTGATTCTATTTTTGTAATTACATCATATTTTGTGTACATTGAGGGTCCAGCCATTTAAGTTTAAATGTATAAAACCCAACAAAAGTGTTTTTGTTGATATGTCCATTTTGTATAGTTAGTGGAAATTTACCTTTTTTGTTATCATGTAGTATAAGCCTATACATTTGTGATATATCTGTTCTACTGTTCTACAAACATGTCACTAAATGTCTTCCATAGTTTTATATTTTATACCTTTCCTTTTATATTATTATATTTGCTCATTTTATGCTGTTGTCACAAACCGTCTGTTGTTTTATAAATTATTTCCTTCATTAATAAAAACATTTTTTTTTAAATGATATTGTGAGTGAAGAGGCAGTTCTATAATGATTGTGAAATGTTCTTTTTCGTTAACTTACACTTTCTTAGGCCAAATTACAAATATAGTAGTGATTGTATTTTAAGTAACGCAGAGTAAAAGATTTAAATTAACTAGTGTAAAATTGAAATACCATTTTCTGACAATGGTATATTCTAATATGATTCAGATGAACTGTTTAGTGAGTTTAGATAAAGATGTAAGCTGATATTTTCATCGACAAAGCTATAGATAATAATATAATTACTACATCCAAATGCCAGTTTGAAAAGTAAAGAATAAATATGAGTATGTACTTACTTTATTTATGAGTATGTACCAGTTTTTTTTTTTTGTCATGAATTCTAAAGAATATTTGATATTCGTTTAAATCTGTTTTAATTAGGTTGTGAAAGTTTGATTTTAGACACTATATTGTTATAAGATTGCGTTACTGATATTACTGGTAGTATACAGAACAGAACAAACAGAATTTTATTTACATACTTATATATAGTACATTGTCTTGTTAACAAAGATGTGATTAAACATAGTCACATGGTATATAACAAGTGACATTGATTTTAATTAGTTATTTCAATATTTAAGTTATAAATGTGTTACATAAATTTATTACATGATGATCTTGCCAGCTATTGTTACATTATGTGAAATGTGACACTGTAGATATAAACTCATCACTGTAAGCACTTGATTGAACTTGAAGCTGAATTATACCTTATTTTTGCTATAACAGACTATCTGTTTTAAGACAAACATTGTTGGAAGAAAAATTACTTTGTTTTCTACTGCTTCAAAGCCAGATAGATTTTTAGGCTTCACTAGTTAAACCTCATAATACAAAATATATTTTTTTAGAGATTACTGTGTATTATTATCAAATAAAAATTTGATTAGTACAAATTTATTATTCTAATATTATTAGTTTGATATGATATCCTCATTTTATCAACTTGTATATTTTATTATCAATATGTTAGACTGGTTGTTAATGTTTATACAGTGGATACAGGTGATCGTTAAAGCAGGGTAGTACTCCAAGATTTAAGTCCCTAAATGCCAGTGATAATTAACTAACCACCAGAGTCAAACAAGTCTGTATATGATCACTAATATAGGCTTATCTGTATCTAATGGCCGGTAAATTATATCACTTGAGTATTGAAATCACTTTGATTAAGATTATTTTCCCTCACTATTTTTGTAATTTTAATTTCCCATAGGTCAGTGGGAGTTATTCTTACTGTTACTTCACTGTATCATGTGACTTGTTACTAAGGTAACAGTTCTCTTTCAAAGTATAAATCTGAAAAATAAAAAAGCCCATAGAAACAGTATCCGAATGAAGTATTTGTTCGGGCTAATAAAAAGAATTACACATACGTTTGTGAGTAACATAAAAAAAATCATCCCTGTAAAATACATTTTTTCCACAGGATGCTATATTTACTGATACTCACAAATCTATGTATTATTTACATGTTTATAATGAATGGTTTAAAAAAATCAAGTTATTGACATGACACAAATTAATTAATGTCGTAGATTTTAAGGCAGGTCTTTTAAAGTATATTTTCACCATTATTATAAAACATACGTGCATTACTAATCTGGACAAAGAATCATATATGTAATATTGTTTCTGTGTTTGGTATGTGTAGTTTATGTTTTCAAATCTAGTCTGTATTTGTGTTTCGTGTTGAAATCATATATCTTCCTGATTAAAAAATATTACTAGAAAATTTTGCTTGTTATAATTTCATTTGCAAGTATTGCCAGTTAATGTAGTACTTTACAGTACATTATATTGTTTTTCTGTTGTTTTTACACCGACTTTAACATACATTTTGGCCATGTCTCATAACTGGCTATCCTGGATAACCAATCAGTAATTACCACGTGACCGACCGATTCTACGCGAGTGACCGACTACTAACAGTATGTTTACAGGCATTTATGAAGAAATCTTATAGACATTCATGTCAAGTATTACCGGTTCAAATAAAAAGGTTGTGAAAATACCTTTTCTTGTAGACAGTTTTATTTAAGAAAAAGAATAAACATGACCAGAACTCTAACGACTTTGTAGATTTTGATGGCATTTATATCACTGCAGTACTGACATCCCTTTGTTTCCAAATTCTTAAAATGTAGCACACCAGTTTCAAGGCACGAGTCAAGTGGAAAGTTTGAACATTTTTTTTTAAAATTATATAACAAATGGTATATTTTATTAACAATGCATCGGTGGATTTTGATTGTATTTGATCGACATTATTTCCTCTTTGGTAATGGACCAATGTATTATGTCCCAGATTAGTATATATATATATGTCCCAGATTAGTATATATATGTCCCAGATTAGTATATATATGGTGGGAATCGAATCAATCTAACAGACCTGTTGTATAATATGGTTTAAACTAAAATGCCAATACAGTTACATATGTACTCAGTTTGATGATCTTTTCATATGCACGTTAATACAACTTTTCATTACAATCTATCCAATAATTTAAAACCTAAAATACATTTTTAAAGCCCCACTTTTCCCGCATCTCTGGCACATTGTTTCAGATACTATTTGCGAACAAAAACAAAGTCGATGAACACTGTCTAGTTTAAGATCTATTCAAATAAACCCCATTTAAGATTATTTGTTCTATGAACATTCATGTAATTACCAGAGCATGGATATCTGCATTAAAATCACTCTATGTCATTAGAATGCAGCTTCACGTACAGTGAAATTAATTAAATAGGTATCCGAGTGAAATTATTCATTCATCGGCACGTGACATATTTCTATTCTTAACATTATAAATGTTTAACGAGTTATCGTGTCTTAGAAAAAAAAGGTATATTTAAAAAAAAGTAGTTCGAATAGGGTTAAAAGTAATATTAATGCTCAGCCAGTTTAACTGTGGCCACGACCGCATTGACAAAGTGGACGCGCTCCACTTAGCATAAAATGTAAATTCGTTATGCAGTATTCAAGTAAATTTTAACTTAATATTTTGTATAGGGGGTTTTGTACCGAATTTGTGTAGTCTTACTCGATTATAATACTATTTTAAACCGATAGACATCATTTACTTGCTTTTTTAAAATGTTTTATGACACGAAACCTTTAATGTTATGCATATCAAATTAATGAAGAAAAACTTAAATAAATACATAGTACAAGCCTCTAACAGATTAAGTTTATATATTTAGTCGGGTATAAATGTTTTATCGCTCTCATTTTGTTGACATACATCTGTAAAATGCAAAGCAACGTTAATGTGAATGTTATCTTACCAAGTTTAAAGACGGAATGTAAATAAATCTAAATAAATGATTCAAAATCAGGGAAAGTTCAATGGCGATACATTTCAATAGTGATATGTTACGTTATTATACGCAGGAGCTTGATTAATTCATTTCCACTGGTCAGGCAGTTTTGGACAGTCCGTCATCCGTTGAATACGTTATACTTGTCCAGTTAGAATGTAAGTACTCATTTAGTATATTGATGACTTCGTTAAAGTTTTTTTTTCTGAAAGTTAATGTAAAGTTAATTCAGTTATAATATCTTAAATTAAATATGTTTTAAAAGGATATACGGACCGGTGTTAACTTTGTAAGGCTGTATACTGGTAAGCGAGGGTTATATGGAAAACAATAGTTTATACATAACAATGGCATGTAACCGTAAAAAAACAACGAATTTATGATACTGAATTATTGCTTTAATATGTAAAGATGAAGTTTGTTTAATGAAAAACAACGTCACAAACGAGTAGATAACGATTCAATTATAATCTACGTCCATCATTGCTTAAAAAAAACATTCTGACATCCTTTAAGACTTTTTGTTTGCATTAATATCAATTTAATATTGTATGTTTTCAGCTGCAATAGAATGTCGTCTGCCAACATAACGAGTGCATTCAACAACGCCGGCGTCGGTACAGCTGACGTTGTTATTATAATCATCTACCTGGCTTTTTGCCTAGCTGTAGGACTTTGGGTAAGGCCGCTCGTGTGAATACAAATATTTATTGTCTCTTCAAGGAACAGTGGCAGAAGTATCTTCCAGAAGTGTTTGTCAAATTTCATATTTTGAGAGTTAGAAAAGGCAGCAATGTGTCTCAAAAGACATAACATACATTTCTTTGCTGCACAAGCATGCACTTATTTAGACGGGGTCTTTGCTGAAAGTCTAAACCTCACTTCTTGTAGCGCGAGACGGCACGTGTCCGCGAGACGGCACGTGTCGGTTTTGCCAGTACAGTATTTTGTAGAGTATTATATACAATTATAGACTTAAATTGAGGTCTATTTATAGTTTTTTTCGGACCTGTGAAAAGTTATATCGATCACGGACGACAGTATAAGATATCGTATGATGTATCCATATCAGTTAATGTTTACTTTAAGAAGAAAAACAAATGTGTTTTACTTCGGCCACATATCTAGCATGTCGTCATAAAAATTTCGTTGTTTATTCAATGCTTTTTATATTCATTTCATTTGTATAATCTGATTTTTGTATCACTTCAGGCAACATGGCGAACTCAGAGATCGAGTGTAAGCGGGTATTTCCTGGCTGGCAGGGACATGCTATGGTTTGCGGTAAGTTATTTGAACCTTGGTACAAGGTCGTTCTTGCAACAAATACCGGTATGTAGCAACGGAAAATCATTTTAAGGTATGGTTACAATACACCTGGTAGTTAGATACTGGAAAACAAGCTCTTCCGGTTTTTCTTTGAACAATTTTACTAATCAGCGATTACACATGCGTTACTGATTAAGAGTTGACTTGTATAGTTGACCATTGCGAGCATATTATATTAGCCAGCACGTATAGCTGAAATCGGTTAGAGCGCGATACTTGTAATCTCGACATTGTGGGTTAGATTCCCGGGTTGGCCAACTAACATTACCAATCAGTCTTTCGGATGAGACTTTAAATCCAGGTCCCATGTATGAGTGCTTAAAGCCTTAAACATTTGACACGCAGAAGAACCAGGGGAAGCTTATGGAATTGGGGCATCTTTCTGTATCTGTATCTTGCACGATCCTCCAAAATCAAAATTGACTAATACTTCTCAGGAGGATTCGCCCATGCGAGTATAAATAAACTCAAATAAACTCGCACACACGCACATGATATTGAAGAATAATAAGAATATACATGTACTTGTAATGTTGCAGTTAAATATGAGAGCCAATTATACATGGAATCTAAGCTATTGTTGGTATATATTAGGTACACATAAGGTTATTTGTTATAAGGGAGATATGAAGACATGCTGAGTGACTTTTTACCGATTTATGGTATTTATTTTTAAATTTCAGGCAGATATATATTATGAAAGGGGAAACACCACGGTGCTTTTCTTTGGCTGACATTCATTGACACTGATTTTATCCTACACATTTTATTATAGCACCGTCTTGTCTGATTTCAATTTATATCAAACATAAGATAAAGATATCACTCGTTTCTCAAGTCGGACAAAACATATGTAAACAATGTAAACAGGATTATTTTACTTAGTGAAAACTGAATGTAGTTTATCAGTGCGAATGATATATTTCTGTTACGTAGAAAATCAAAGCACAGAAGGCGCTGAATTTGTTTGGGTCTCAGAATGTAAGAAAGGTGCAGGTTGTGAGATTATATGTTTAGTGCCACCAATGCTTTCCAGCGTTTTAATTGTAGTAAATTGGCTATAAGACTAATTGCAACACTGATATTCAATCCAATGTTTATTTGACTTTAACAATTTAAAAAAAATGAGTTACCTTTACTGGGATTTGAACTCCAGACCTCTCGCTTCTTAAGCGAGCCCGAAAACCCTTCAGCCACGGTTAAATTTATATGTGAACGGCCTGAAGAAAACCATATTATTCTAAATTAGGGCTTGTAACGACTTTTAACTGTTGTTTAACACAGATGTAAATAATCCTGAAGCTTACTATAAGCATGTATATTTATAAAGAATCAAAGGGCTTCAAGTTCTTTGGTATTTTCTGATCTTTGCAATCTAAATCGTACTGTATATCTGTATGCATTTTTCTGTATAAGTTTATTTTTATGTTTTATAATTCATTTTGTAAGGCACATACGGAATTCTGCATAACTAGAGTTGCATCAAAAAATCATTTATGTACTTTTTTTACGACAGCCAATGTAAATCATGGCTACTTCCTTAACAAAAACAATTAAAAAAAGAATTTAACAAAAAAAAAATTTCCTCGACTGGGATTCGATCTCGAGACCTCTCACTCACTACGCGAGCGCGTTACCACTGTACCACGGAGAAGTTATACACAGAATGTCTGAATAATATCAAGTCATTCTAAATTTAGAACTTCCATTGCATTCAGGTTTGTAATCCTTATTAATTTCGAGGTATAATGTTCAGGGTAAACCTGTTGTTTAAAATTGAAGTAAATATTTTAGCGAAAATCCTCTCGCCCAAACAGTCCGACATGTAGAATCTATATATTCCAATACTCGGTTTGTGTAGTATTCGGCAATCTACATGGCTAAAAATAGTATTTTCATTGATAAAATCATATTCATCCGCGTAATTTGTGATTGTGCATTTATTGACAATTCTATAAGCCAACGCTATTGTTTAACTTTAAATGCGTTGTAATTTGTTGGATACTTGTAACAAAATAAAATATTTCTTTCTTTTAAATCGCTAGTTTTAAGCTGTTTTGAGAACTACTTGTTGTTAGGTTTGTCATAAACTTCTGTGTCAGAGATTGAATGTCCGCTTTGTATTTAGTTATTTTCGATCAGAAAATACCAGAAAACAATATTAGAAATCTTTGACCATTCGGGAATTACTTTGCTTGAAAATTGATGCGCCTGTCTTTGACCATCTTTACGCAGTGATCTCCCTTGAATTTTTCGGCTTTAGTGTACATACAAAAGGGAAGTAACCGCTTCAAAAAAGTGGACTACTTTCGGCATTTGCAATTAAGAACATTAGACTCTGAAATTTCGCTACCATTATTTGTTTGGTCTGACGACCCAAACAAATAAAAAACTTCCGGATGGACTACATAAATTGAGACATGTTTTCACCGAATTGGTATACTAGAAGTGTTCCTGTTAAATCTTTTTGACATCGACAAAGTCATAAATTGTCACTTGGAGATATCTTTTACAAAAAGAATGTTGTATTGATATTGATAAGACTATGATCTTTCCGTACTCTAAAGTGCAAATGATTATAAACACTACTTGAACGATCTATTTCTTTACGGGGAATGAACAAACTTATCTATGCAATCATTATTTTAATTTGAGTTATAACAATTTGAACGACAAAGCTTTATTAAATTGTTTAGTTTCTACGGTGGCACAGAGGTGACATTTGTGTGTTTTTATTTATCTCGTACGCACGAGTTACTAAGTCGTACACACGAGACAATTAATTCGTGCGCACGAGTACTGATCAACTCTATCACATGATGGTCCCCACCCTTTAAATACCTCTGTGCCACCGTAACTTTCTCATTGTAACCTTTTGTTGCTGGAAATATTAAGATCGATTTTTATATGAATATAAAAATAATCAAAAATGTTTCAAGTTTGATCATGATATTCTACATTTGATGTATAAATGCTCTGATTCGTAGCACTGTCTTATACTTGCATTGGAAAGATCAGGATCTTATTTGCAACGTTGTTTTAGCTTTTCTCGTTCTTTTCTCAGGGGGAGGGCGTGTATTTCTCTATTACGTTACGATATTGCATAGTCAGAAAACATATATAAATCTTTACCCTGATAATAATGTTATCCTTTCACATATATTATATGATAATGAAATATTTTTTCCAGATTGGAGCATCTCTCTTCTCCAGTAATATTGGTAGTGGTAGCTTTGTTGGTCTAGCTGGAACTGGAGCAGCATCCGGTATAGCAGTTGCAAGCTACGAATTGAACGTAAATATCAAACAATCTATTCTTTTTAAATACTAAATAGAATTTTGTTACGTTATTTAGTATGACATTCTACCAAGTACAAATGTAGTTTATCAAATAGTAGCCTAAAGCTTCAAGAGACACATATATTTAAGCATTAAATTAAGTGTGCTTCAACAGTTGACAAAAATTTTCAGTCTTGAAATTGGCCTCTACCCGTTACATTTACATGATTGACAAAATATTAGACATATATATTTACAATATAGAAAGTGTTGACAAGTAAACAATTTGCTCGATGCGTATTGTTTTCTACCGGTGAATATTTGTTATTTTTTTCTCATTAGCGGTAGCTAACATAACGATCTTTGACTGTACTGAAGTGAAATGATGATAGTAATGAAATATTAATCATGTATCATAAACAAAATTGCACATGGTATATGACCTACTAAATAAGCAAAACATGTTGCAAGTGTATCAGTTTATTTTGTTCCATTGCAGGGTTTGTTTTGTCTTCTATTGTTAGCATGGCTTTTTGTTCCTGTTTACATTGCAAGTGGGGTAAGTTTATAATTACATAAACACTAATCTTTTCGTTTGTTTTCTGCAATCTTTGATGATGGTGAGTATAAATCAAACCTCTCCTGGGAGGGGACAATAGCCCACATGGACAATATCCGACTGGGACTCAACTGCTGTCCAAGTAGGATATTATCCAATAGACTCTTTCCGAGTGAACTATAATCCAAGTGGGATAACATCCAATGGGCTATTTCCCCGGTTGGCTTTTATCTTAGTGGACCTTGTCCTAACGGGCTGTTGCCCGGGCTGGCTATTGTCAAAGTGGACATTGGCCTAGTGAGATTTTGATCTACACTCACTCTCTGTCATGCTCACTGTTCAGTTCTCATAATTTAGCACATGTGAAACATTTCCAATGATTATTCTACACATGTTTAAATTTTATCAGGTTTGAAAGCTTGCCAAGGAAATACATATATTAACACTGTGAATTGCATTGAATCTTACGCCATTCTGTTTAAATATTGTTACATGCTATATTGTAATTAGTAAGGATATACGGTCAGCTATACATATGAATAAATAAATATACTGTAACGCCGCGTGGAAACGTCAGTATGGGATGTTCTGCTATAGGGTTTCATAATCGATATGGTAGCAAATTGACTTATGATTGTAGAATTCATTTCCATTGTAATAATAAATGTATTCTGGAAAATCATATTAACTTTCACAAAAACAATACGATAAACATAGAAAACGATAAGAATAGCAGTGTTTTATACTAGATTACGTATATTTCAGGTATATACCTTACCAGAGTATTTGAAGAAACGATTTGGTGGTCAACGATTACAAGTGTATATGTCAGTTCTAGCACTTCTAATATATGTGTTCACTAAGATTTCCGTAAGTTATTGCCTTATTAAATGTATGTTAACTTAATTACGTGTGTATTTATTAGCGTAGATACGGACTGAAAAGGGGAAATAACGAAACATAACTTATTACTCAAAGATCCCTTTTGCTCCACGTGTATTGTTTTATACAACCTACGTATACGGTAGATACAGACATTTGCTATAGTTGTAGTTAAAATATTTATCTTAATAACACGGGTGATAAAATCCTGTTACTGTTTTGTGGTTGTTATAATTAAGTAATGTATGGGAAGAACATCAACTTCCTGATCTGGGGGGTCTTTGATTCGAGTAATGGAAAAATAGCATCAAAGACCAAAAAAAAAAAAAAAAAAAAAAAAAAACAACAAAACAAAACAACATAATATTTCAGTGTAAATCCATACCTCCCTATCTACTTCTGGTATTATTATTTATCTGTTGCATTTTTCCCCCCAATTTCAGGCAGATATATATGCTGGTTCTATATTCATACAACAAGCAGTAGGCTGGAACATGTATGTTGGAATCATTGCTCTGCTCGCCGTCACCGCTATATACACTGTCTCAGGTATGTTGGCATCATTGCTCTTCTAGCCGTCACCGCTATATACACTGTCTCAGGTATGTTGGCATCATTGCTCTTCTAGCCGTCACCGCTATATACACTGTCTCAGGTATGTTGGCATCATTGGTCTTCTAGCCGTCACCGCTATATACACTGTATTAGGTATGTTGGCATAATTGCTCTACTCGCCGTCACCGCTATATACACTGTATCAGGTATGTTGGTATCATTGCTCTACTCGCCGTCACCGCTATATACACTGTCTCAGGTATGTTGGCGTCATTGCTCTACTCGCCGTCACCGCTATATACACTGTCTCAGGTATGTTGGCGTCATTGCTCTACTCGCCGTCACCGCTATATACACTGCCTCAGGTATGTTGGCATCATTGCTCTACTCGCCATCATCGCTATATACACTGTCTCAGGTATGTTGGCATCATAGCTCTACTCGCCGTCACCGCTATATACACTGTCTCAGGTATGTTTGCATCATTGCTCTTCTAGCCGTCACCGCTATATACACTGTCTCAGGTATGTTGGCATCATTGCTCTACTCGCCGTCACCGCTATATACATTGTCTCAGGTATGTTGATTTAATTGTTCTACTCGCCGTCACCGCTATATACACCGTCTCATGTATGTTGGCATCATTGCTCTACTCGCCGTCACCGCTATATACGCTGTCTCAGGTATGTTGGCATCATTGCTCTACTCGCCGTCACCGCTATATACACTGTCTTAGGCATGTTGGCAATATTGCTCTACCCAACGTCACCGCTATATACACTGTCTCATGTATATTGGCATCATTGCTCTACTCGCCGTCACCGCTATATACGCTGTCTCATGTATGTTGGCGTCATTGCTCCATTCTCAAGCTTTCCAGTCCAGTCTCCTATAAGTTTCAAATTATAAATGTGCATATAAAGTTTGCCTTCCCGTAGCTCACAGTACACTACAAACAAACAAACACATAAACAGATTTTTGTATAAAACAATGAAGAATTGTTGGACACAATCTTGTTATATTATATGGGATATGATCATACCAATGTTATATTTATTTTTTCAGGAGGTTTAAAAGCCGTCATCTACACGGATACGTTACAGACAGTAATTATGGTCGGCGGTGCTATTGTACTCATGATTATAAGTAAGATTTGTATATAACTAGTCACATTACCTTTATTTGTTAATCACAAATGCGTATTCTTCTTGCATAAAACAAAAAGTTAATGTTGATTTTGTGTAAATTATTGATTAAAAATAATTTCTGGAAAAGAAATTGCAGATATGACAAAACACAACGAATATCTATAAAATACCGGTAGCACAGGTACTTCTAGGGTGTGGAGCTCCAAACACCTTAGAATCCAAGTAAATTGTACATCTGTCAGTCCTAGCTCATTAACTTATCTTAATTATATATGTTAATAAAATATATAAACGTTGGAATATGTTTTTTTATTCTAAACGGCGTATAAAATAGAAATAGTTTGAAAAACAAGTGGATTGTTGTTCACTAGTTTACACCATTCACATATTAAATGGAGGACATGTTATTTACAGGTTTTGTTAAAGTTGGTGGTATGAATAAGCTTTACAAGGAATACCAGTATGCCGTACCAAAAGTCCTTGTGAATAATTCTGACTGCGGTAAGCCAACTGATGAAGCTTTTCATCTCCTTCGTGATGCTACAACAGGTGACCTCCCTTGGCCAGGAAACGTGTTCGGCATTACTATTCTCAGTACTTGGTACTTCTGCTCTGACCAGGTCAGGTTGTCTTCCTCATTATTTACTTTCATTACATGTTAACAGGGAAAAAGGGGGGGGGGGGCTTCCTCGGCTAAGTTGTTAAAGCCACTGGCCCATCACCGCTGTGAGTTCGAATCCCATTAGGGGCTTTAGTGGGGCGGGAAATAAGGTCTCTGCTGTCAAAATAGTGCAAATTGTGATACAAGCATGAAACTTTCAGGAAATTATCTTTAGACCATGTAGATTTCAAAAGTGAAGTGGGCCAAAAAATATCTCTGCTCATTCAAGATGGCCGCCATTTTCAAGATGGCCGCCATATAAATTTGACGTACATAATAGCTTATTCATTCCAAATTTTTGTACAGACTTGAAACTTACACCAAAGCATGCATTATAGTTTCCCTTTTCAAATGTTTAAATCTTTAAGCAATTTCGCTTGCATGTTTCTTCAGAATCCAAGATGGCGTCCAATATGGCTGCCAATTTTAATGAAAACTGATATATCTCTTTTGTAGTATAATTTTTTGCACACAGTATGCTTATTTCCATATAAAATTGTTAAACATATTAGAACAAAAATAAAATTTTAGGTTAACCACATTGTTAGTCATGTTTTTAGTTTTTTGTACAAAAAAAAATCTTTAACAGTTTCAAAGAAAAAGTTCCACTTTTTGCATTTTTCTCTAACATGGTTTTCTAGGTCTATGTACAAAATTCCAAAAGTTACATAGTTTCTTAAAGTGTATTTTATATTGAATCAACACTGTTTTATTGTATAATTGTAACGAAAACAAAAAATGTGAAGGTTTTATACTTATTCAAAGTGGGTGGGGTAAACTCAGACAATTGTAGTACAAAATAACGTCTTTTATGAATTCTTATGCAAATAGTCACTGTAAAAGTATTTTATTGTATTAAGGTATTTTTGTCTTCCTTCAGGTCTAGAGGGTGTACTTAAATATCAATAAATGCAGATACACTCATATGTATACATTCAGTTTAATATTAAATGTGTTTGCATGATATAAGTTGTTTCAACATTCTTAATATAATTTGATAATTGTACAGAAAGAAGACTTGACTATTCATCAACGAACCATATGTTAGATAAAATCATGACTGGACCTGAGTGAAATGTTGTCTATTTATGAATAAAATTATTTCCTTGCTAAAAGCTTGTAACAGAATGATTCAAAGTTATATTTACTTGCACATCTTTGTAACCAAGTATAATTGAGTTAGAACTGTCCATTTCTAATAACTTATGTAGACATGATATTTTCAAAAGAAACAAAAATTAAGGCGACTGATACATCATATTATCTATGTGTGCTAAAATATGTATCAATAAAACCGCTTGACCCACATAGCATAGCTTATGATTTGGAATATAAACTAAATGTATTCATACTTTATTTTCCCCATTAAACAATAGAGAATAGTTGACCCTAGATCACTCGCCTAAGATCCACTGCTGGAATTTTAAGATCTATAATTCTTTAATACTGAAGAATGCTTAAATCATATAAGGAGTATCTTTTTTCACCAAATACAGTCATGATTTATATACTATTTGAAAAGAAACATGCCCAATAACTAGGCTCTCAGAACTACAAAAAGACTCATATAACTATATTCCAATATGAGTCCATGTAAACTAAGTGATTTTGACCCTATGCCAAAATAGTTTATATAGCATCACAATGTGATGATATACAATATATTTTCTTCTCTGTACACTGTATTTTCAGAGAAGAATTTTAATATATAAGTGAATGTAAACAAAGTGACAGGTAAAGCCATTTTGGACTGCAGGAGCATGATTTAAATGCCCTCACGAGGAACACAGTTTTTAAAGACCTGTGTCGGGAATCTTATTGAAGTTTTTTTTTGTTGTTATTTTTAAAAAAATCAACAAACAAAGAAACTACAATGCCTAGAGCTTAGATAGTCACCATGTAACCTTGCCAAGTAAAGAAGACCTCTTTTAAAGTTACATAAAACACTTTTGGATCATTAAGTGTACATGCAAAATTAAAAATCTTCTCAAAAATCAAAATGCACAGAGCACAGGTACTAAGCATGTAGCCCCACCTTGTGTCTTTACCAACATATTTAATGTACCGTGCTCATAGAGCTACCTGGGTTCACAGTCTTGTATAGGAAAACACATTAAAAACATCTAGTGTTAAACTACAATGACTTTAACTAAGATATTTGGGATGTAGCCTGATATAACATGCATACATTTGAATGTATGATGCTACTGCAGTCTAAAATGGTTTTGCAATGAGTATCACTTAATTTACTAAGACTAATGTATTAAATCTGTTTTCTCCTACTCCTAACCAACAGTATCTCAATCTGACGCATAGACATTAATCATGTATCATCATAATTGTGTTATACTCTACAAATATTTGATATATCATGGTCAACATGGTCAAAATTTACTAAGTTTATATAGACTCATATATGAATAATGTTATTAAAGTCCTCTCGTGTGAAAAAATTGAAACTAGATATTGAGCATGTTTCTTTAAACGCAACCGGATTCAATTATGACACAAATCATGTGTGTTCTGACATAATTGACACTCCCAAAATGATATTGTTACCTTTTTTCCAACAATGATCTTAGGTGAGTGATCCAGGGTCATTATTCCCTCTTATTGAAAGAAAAAAAAAAAGAGATACGATTACTTTAGGAAATACACTTACTTTGTATCTTAACTTTTCAAAAAACTGCATGCAGGCCAGGCCATATCATTGATATATCTGTTTCACATCATATACATTTTGTTGGCTTTTAAGCCATGTTTATATTATAAATATAAAATTGTGAAGGAGGCAAAAATATGCGTTTATGGACTACCTTTATACCTTACATTCCTGTACATGCTTGCTATTTTAAGCACGTTTAGTTGATTTATTGCCTTCTTATATGTCTTTACAATTAACAATTAATATGTGATATCAAGTATATTGAAACAAAAATTATCATGCAACCAAATTTAATAACTGAATGTATACAAATGTTTGTATGTGCATTTCTTGCTTAGCCACTTGGCCCGAAGGAAGACAAAAATACTTTCATCCAATAAAAACTACTTTTTAAGTTGGAACATTTGCATTAGAATTCATAGAAAAGCAAAAAGGCAAAGAAATAGAATGAACTTAGCTATGTTTATTTTCTGTTGTTTTTTCTTTTACAATAATTACCGTATAAAATTACCCCACCCACTTTCACAAAATATAAAACCTACAGATTTAATGTTTTTCTTACATTTTTAACAATAAACACATGATATTAATGGAATGTCAATTCCAGTTTAAGATATAAAGTAACTTTTTTAACTTTGTACATTAATTAAGGAAATCAAATTTGAAAAATATGAAAAAAAAAGGATTTTTTTCTTGATCTTTCTGAAAAATATTTCTAAGACACAAACTTTTAAAATGTTTACTTTTATTGAAATTAACATATAATTTGATTATCTTTGATATGTTTAAACACTTTTTATCATAATAAACATAATTTGTGCAACAAATTTTACTATAAAAATAATATAACAGTTTTGCACAAAATCAACGGCCATATTGGACGCCATCTTGGATTTGGAAGAGGTATGAAAGAGAAATTTTGTAAGATTTAAATTTTTGAAAAGGAGAAACTATATGCATGCTTTTGGTGTTAGTTAAATGTCTCTACTAAAAATTGGAATGAATGAGCTAGTATGTACGTCAAATGTGTATGGCGGCCATTTTGAAAATGGCGGCCATCTTGAATGAGCAGAGATATTTTTGGGCCCACTTCACTTTTGAAATCTACATGGTCTAATGATGATTTCCTGAAAGTTTCATGCTTGTATCACAATTTGCACTATTTTCTCAATTTCCCGCCCCACTACTTAGGATTCCTTCGTGTAAGGAAACTATCAAGCAAGATGACGGAAGATCAGTGGTTTTACTCAGGTGTCCGCTTGAATCAATACACGGACGGGCAGTTGTAGTTTCCTTCACCACGAAAGCTGGAAAATCTCCATATAAACATAATCTTACTAAAAACCAAACAAAAATATGCATTTAATCATAAAACGACGCGCGTTTCTTTTATACTATACATGTATTACGTTATAATAAATTATAAACACTTATCATGTTTAGGTTAGGGATTAGCAGAACTGTGTATAATTTATTGTACTCTTTAGACTATTTAATTGTTTAACAAACTGTTACAGGTTTTGGTACAACGTTCTTTGGCAGCTAAAAATATGCACCATGTTAAAGGAGGGTCAATTTTAGCGGCATACCTAAAGATTCTTCCATTGTTTACTACAGTATTTCCCGGAATGATTAGCCGAACACTATTTCCAGGTTCAGTATTGTACATTTTATACAATGTATTAGAACTACAAATAAGTGTTTTTTTTTTATTGATCGATTGAAAGCACAATTGCTTGCGATTATTTACTAATTCTCGCTTTGTTTTATTTTATTAGTACCAACCATTGTTTTAGAAGTACACATTTAACTTTATACTAGGATGAATTTAGAAGAAGTAATTTTATGTAGGAAAGAGCTAATATACTAGTACCAACGAATAGACACATTTTGAGCAAGCGATGTCTTATAAGTAATCTTAAAACATGTCAGTGGCGCTCAAACCCTTATTAATTTGTTACAAGCAAGAATCATTACTTTGATCATCGATTTATTGAATTTTATTCCGGAATCGAAACTTTGCCTAATGGTTCTGATTGAAATAAACTTTGAAACTTTATGTAACACAACAAACACAGACTTTGCATGCCGTTCAAGAAAACGTAAATAACAAAGGCGAATACATGTCCCCTTGTCTCAGTCCATTTCGAATAACATTTGATTTTTGTTTTCAACGTAATCATGTCATATCCAATACTTGTCCAATAAACATAAATTATTATTTGAGGCTGAATATCTGAAATATTGTATCTACTTTTTTCTACTTTGAATGTTTTATACTTCCTGACCAGGTCTTCCAAATATAGTCAGCTTTCATCCTATTTTATCATTAAACTTCGTAGCTTTCATCCTATTTTAACATTAAACTTCGTAGCCTTCTTCCTATTTTATCATTAAACTTCGTAGCTTTCGTCCTATTTTATCATTAAACTTCGTAGCTTTCGTCCTATTTTATCATTAAACTTCGTAGCTTTCGTCCTATTTTATCATTAAACTTCGTTTTGTTGATACAATAAATTAAGTGTTATAACGTTGATAACATAGGAACATAGGAATTAATAAAAATGTCAAAACTTTTATTATCTGGTCGTTTTATACAATACAAATTTTAATATTTAAAGTTTTGTTTTCTGTGTCTTCTGACAGATCAAGTGGCGTGTGTAGATCCAGACATTTGTAAAGCTGTGTGTGATAACCCAGCCGGATGCACTAATATTGCTTACCCAAAACTGGTTGTTGAGTTAATGCCTCTAGGTATATATTGTCTATACTTGTATAACTGCAAATCGGCTCTTACTCGGCAACCGCTTTTTTCGTGAAGAAACCAGTGCTAATAGTGAAAATTGTGACATATTTTAATTAGCCAGGTCAGGTGTTTCTAAAAAGGCTGATAACACTGTAGCAATGTGAGGATACATTCAATTTATTACATAGATAATGCACGTGGAGCTCAGCTCGCAGAGACAAATGAGTACATATCCTTTTAACTCTAAGAAAAATGTCAATTATTAATTGCTGACTGTTTCTATTTTTTAGAAAAAGTAAGCAAAACATTATTTTGTTTCATATGACAGGAATGAATTGCATTAACAATCCTAGGTATTGTTGAAAACTCATTGTTTTACTTGCCAGATTAAGTAATTGGACCCCATCCTTGTTTGTACGTGACTGCTGGGGGAAAACAATGTTATGCTTAATTAAAGAAGTGACACTTTCTATATTTTTATCTGATATCGAGTTGTAAGAGCCGATTTGCAGTTATATTGGTAAGAGTTTGATAAGACTCCCTATGGTGGTCTTAATACAAATTCTTACCCATACATCATGTTATAATGATCTGATTTTTTGTCTGTATGATGTAGCATATGTATCGATCTAATCAGGTTTACAGATTGTTTCACATTGTGTTTGAAATTATGGTTGAAATAATGTAGAATGCTCATGCCTTTTGTCAAATTCATCATACAACACACAAACGCCATATAATGTCATAGCAACTTCTGAGTTTTTTTTAAAGTTGAGGAAAAACTAAGATGCCCACTGAACATTATCTTAGACACAAAACTTATGTAAATTTACCGCTAACTAATTATCTCAGATATAGATCTTTGGTAGAACCACAAGACTAGTCAAAAAGAATGTTCATATTTTGCGCAGAATTCTTATACACGATGGCTAAGGGCAAATAAAATATTTCAACTTTTAAAGGCTAGTCGTGGTTTTATGTGCCCGTATGTTACAGGTTTGAAAGGCCTGATGCTGGCTGCGATGATGGCGGCATTGATGAGTTCTCTAACATCAGTATTTAATAGTTCAAGCACTATATTTACGATGGATATTTGGCACAGATTCAGACCCGCCGCTACAGACGGAGAATTACTTGTCGTGGGAAGGTAATGCTCTACTAGCGGCTCAATTGTTTTAAATTTTATAGAATATTCATTAGATTTATATATCTATTTTATATATTTCGTTTCCATAAAAGCATTTTTGAAAAGATATTCTGCTAGTTATCCCGTTATTTAATATATACATAGACTGATGAACAAAAAAGCGAAAGTTGCTTCATTTTTCTGTATAGAAAACAACATAGAATTTTCAACAAATTTAGGGAGGTAATCTATTATACATTTGTGACAATTTCGACATATTGCGTTTTTTCCATGTTTTATCAATATGAAAGAAACATCTAAAAAACAAAAGCAACACAACGTTTCAATGATTTTGAGCTCAGATGTAGGGAAACTGAAATAATAAATTACACAACTTAACGTTATAATGCATGTATCCTCAACAGAAATAGCTCGAGCATAATTTAAAAGTAACCATGTTTTAAGTATCATGTGAATGTGAAAACAGAAAACACGGAATTAAATAAACGTTGAAGAAAATAAAACAATGCTTACAAGTTTGATGTTGCTGTCATAGAGCACGAGATTAAGTATTTTATTTGTATTATGATATTGACTTTGTAGTTAAAAATGTTTGGATTTTCAGGATATTTGTGTTAATTCTTGTTGGTGTGAGTGTTGTTTGGATTCCGGTGTTACAAGCGTCTCAAGGTGGGCAACTCTTCAATTACATACAATCGGTGACTGGCTATCTCGCACCGCCTGTACTCTCACTATATCTTCTAGCCATACTTTGGAAGAGGACAAACGAAAAGGTAGCCTTACGCAACAAATTTTAGATACGTATTATTTAAATGTACATAGCGATGCCGATTGTTTCTTTTGCAATACCTGATGATATTTTGAGTGTGTAACTGTTCGACATTAGTTGCGTTGCCTAAATAAAAAAGAATAAAGCGGAATACTGGAATATAAAATGTTTTTCACTCTGACCTCTTTGATATGACATTTACATGTTCAGCAGGACGATAGCCAACCATTTATAGTTTTGTTGTCACGTAGTGTTAACTGTTTTTGTTTGTCCTTTGACCTCTTTTTATGACTATTTAACCTATGGATATGATGTTTGGAATAAGTCTTTGAAAAATTTACTTATTTAAATTTCTTTGAATAACTGAATTTAACATTGACCCAATGGTATGATTGTGAAAACGTTTGCATGAATGTTCACAAAATTTTTGACATGACACAGTAGTTGCAAGATATTTATGCTATACATTTTATAATTTTTGGCATTAAAGAATAGTCGGACACCTTGCAGTATTTTACACAAGATTTCTATGTGTATAAAGTCATAAAACTATACTGCAATGAAATGAAATGAAAATACAATGCAAAGTATTCATATTTTTTGTGATGATAACGCAGGCAAAAATTGGTCTGAAATTACTTTTTGATAGTTTTTTCATCTTTGGAGATACTAAAACGTTTGCGAAGATACTCGTAATTTCAAAGTCTTTAAGAAAAAAGACAACATCAACGTTTTTTTTTCTTTTAAGGGAGCGTTTTGGGGCTTAATGATTGGCTTGTTGGTAGGCTTAATTCGGATGGGTCTAGATTTCGGATATGGAAGCCCAGCTTGTGGTGAAGAGGACACTAGACCAGTCATTATATCAAAAGTTCACTTCCTTCACTTCACCATTATATTGTTCTTCATTAGTCTGTTTACAACATTTACTGTTTCCCTTATGACACAGCCAATCAAAGAAGAGCATGTAAGTAGCTATTTTGTAAATCGCAGAGGAAAGTCAAAAGATTGTTGTTTATTACTCAAAAGAGAGTAACTTACACATTTCAGTTTTCATTCTTAATTTCTTCGAATTTATTGTCTTCTTTTGCTATTTTTAGTTACTGAAAGGTTTGTTATGCCAATTTCATTTGTATAAAATGACAAGTGTACATTGGTGTATTTGAATAGAAAAAAATGTTTTGTGTGTTTCATTCTTACTTTGTAAACTTTATGAAGAAAAATTTGTGAATAACATCTTCAGTTACAACGTTTGACATGGTGGAGTAGACACAGTACCATAGAGCGTATACCGTTTGATGAGGAAATAGATTACAAGAAACGTGCGCTCGAGCATGCGCAGAAACATGCCACACACGAACAAAGTAAGAATGTAAATTGTAAAGTCCTGGGATATACATATGTATTATATTGATAGTTATTGACACAAAAAAGTTAAACATCCAAATGTTATGTCAAACATGCAAGTGTATATTGAGTGTTTCATTTTGTTTGAAACCACTTTGAAGCCTGTTATCATAATTATTATTGTCACAGAAATCATGAGTTGACAACGCGCAAAACTGAGGCATCTACATGTTCGTTTTAGTGAGGTTTTACTGTAACTGACTAAATTGTGATACATGAAAATATGTTTAGTTTATCGTCTATACAGTAATACAGTAAGCATATATTTACGTTGTTATCAGTAACTATTGTAGTTAAATTGTCAACTTAAAGACTTGCAGCATATATGTATCCTGCATAACCTTTTAGTTCTATTATATCCATAATACAAGGATGCAGTTTATACAGAACTTATTGTAGTTCGATGCAAATTGTGTAGGCAGCTATACGCTTATTGACACGCTCTTGAATCCATCCCCGCACAAGCCAACACTAAGCAACGTAAAATTTCTTGCTGGGGTTTAAACCCATACGGCTAGAAAGCTTTAGACTACCAGTCTGACGCGTTAACCACTTGCCCTCGCAGCCACTATCGTGATGCGTTGACATTTCATGTTGAACAACCTTTATAAAGCCTAAGTAATTATGATGTCATCAACAAGTTTCAATGCATATACATGTATTATATATATTTTTGTCAGAGGAATTACCGGGATGGCGCCGTGTTGTGTACATTATTTGTGGGTATGAATCTCCGAAGCCACCGGAAGAAGTGACAGCGGAGGAACATAAGGAAAGGGAACGGCAGCTTACGTCCATAGAGGAACATCCTAAATGGAAGTGGTTTGTCAACATAAACGCCATTTTCCTGATGACCATTGGTATCTTTCTCTGGGGATACTATTCATAAAATAAACACTTAGCAAAATATCTAGTGTCTTATAGAATGATTATACATAGAAGACATTTAATATGCATTGTAGTTACTAAGTAGATGTTTCAATAAATCGTTGAGATAATAATTATTGTTTACACAAGTTTACAATAAAAACGTCTGATGATTTTTTCTGTTGTTGCTGTCATTTCGATTTCTATCAGGAGTATGAGAACAACTTAGCGTACATACAATTCAAAAACCTTTGAAGAGGAACACCCTTTGTTTGTGAGACAAATATTTTAACATTTCTACTTATTAATCGATTAAATGTTCACTTTAAAATCTTAAACTCTAGCTAATACGCAGACTATCGTATACTCCGTCAGAAATACCAAGCATAATACCAAGCATTCAGCGACATCCACATCGTGATTTAATGTTAGGAATATAGATTTATCCACCATTAAAATGCCGAATGTCTTAAATAGACTTGTCCAAGTTCCATTTCCGGAACTGCCCAGTGTCAGTTTTGGTGATTAACAATGTAGAGCCTGGCTCTATAGTGCAGGCAGTGATCACTTCCGGTTCCGGTAGCGTAATGGACAACTGATTACTTTCATTAACACAAAAATATATAATAAAATCCTTTGCTTACGGACAGATCCCGTACGTGTTATTTCTGAGTTAAAAACGAAATGAATGTCGTTAGTACTATTGATTTTAATAAAAGATTTGAGGGATAATTATTATACAATATTTGATTTGTAGGTTTTTAGATTATTGTAACAGAGCGCATTGTTTTGTGCAGTTGTAACCCCCCAAATTATCGTAAAACCTACCTAAAATGTAAATGTCTCTAGCTCCACGATGCAGTATATTTAACGACGTCTTTATAATTTACTAACTATTCTAGTATAATAAATTAGATATTTTATTCGCAAAGGAATTCTTTAATAAATGAGAGAAAATAAATTTGAAACTGTCTTAACAAAACGATCCGAAATATTTAAATTCACTTTGTTTAGAAAAACAGTAACAATTTTAGGCATTGTCTTTGAATTTAAGTTTTGAGTATAGCTTGTAGAATTAAGCCAGTGTGTTAACATGGGGTGAACGTTTATTTTGATCAGAGATTTATATAATCTAGCCCTGATTCCATTGAGTAAAATAGGCCGAAAACAAAGCGCAGATAACTAAAAAAAAGGGGGGAAAAAGATATTTTCCGGCTCAAAATGTTTCTTTTATCATATTCTAAAATCCTGTAGATTAGATTAGTTCTATAAAAACGTTTCCATTCTGTCTGAAAAAAGCAAAATTCATGTCCTTAAAGGACCCCCACTAAAGTCTGATAAAATTTGAAACTTTTTCATGGATTAACTTGGTAACAAAAAAAAGTAACATACGCGAATATAATAAAGATTACATGTATACTCAAAATTAAATTACAAATAAATTTGTGTGCGATTGTTAGCCCAATTAGAGCTAATATCGTTATAACGCTTTTCATTTTTGGGTCATTTTGCACAGTTAAATGATTATTCTGAAGAACGGATTGAGCGAATAATTTGAAATTTTGCTCAGTTCAAATGATTGTTCTGATGAAGAAGAAGAAGAAGGACAACAAAACGTATCGAGCAAATTATAAGAAATTTTGCATATAAGTTATTTGTCCAGACCTGCATCAAATAATACACAAGTCTCAAAAACATATTTTCAGTCACGTCATGTCAACAACAACAACAACAACTCAGTATATTTAAGTAAATTTTATTGGTAAATCAATAAAATGAACAGTTTATTCGGATGTTTTTTTCAGCACAAGATAAAGCGAACAATGGAAATAACGAATAATAAAGACACATGCAGTCTCTTGGAGAACAATCAAATACAATGTACGTTTTCTTTTATGTCAAGCGCATTCATGAAAAAAAAACAATGTGATAAATTCGTCTTATACAATTACGCATGGTTATCATAATATTCTAAAATCTAATAAATGTCAAGTGAACCAAAGAAAAGCATTTCAAAATATTAAAAATTCACATAAGACACGTGCATATCATCAAAATTATAAACTATACGATTCTGTTTTCTGAACGAAGTTCGGTCTTGTTTAGTAAATAATGTTGACCTGGCCTATTATGACGTCATTTTCAAACGTGGTCAAGTTTTCAAACATGCCATATTGTTTGATATAGTTCCGTACAGGACTTTCCCATTTATCACCAGTTTCCGGTATACAATACGCCCTGTAACTGCTCCAAACACAAAGGGGAAGAAGTTATAGAGACGCTTGCACGGTAGACTAAGCTGTGATGACGTACTTTGCGTCTCATACTTATGCGAGTAGACTGACGTTACACATAGTTCAATGTTGTATGTCTTTGATAATACGTTTTCCGTGCACCTTGGCACGTGTACAATCAAATGTTCAAATAAGCCAAAAGTCAGGGGAAATATGTCTTTCTTGTGAAAAATGTAAGTTGAGCTGTACATCGAGTTTTCGTCCCAAATATGCGTATCATTCTCCAAGAAAAAGAAAATATCTACATATGGCCATGTTATGTGCTTTGCATACATTTTCCCTTCGGAATTATCGGTACAATTATATGTGTTAATTTTTCGTTTCTTGTAAAATTTCCACTGCCTATCTGATGGCGAGTGTATTGCATATTTAGACGTATTTACCAGCACCTTCAATAGTCGTTGTTTATCAGACGTGTTCATAAAGACGTCAATGTCGTCATCCCATGGTATCACACCGAAATGTCGGAACGACCCAAGCAGTGACCCACCGTACAACATAAATGTTAAATTGTTCATATCACTCAATGCTTTAAACTGTTCCAAAATATCAACAAATTCTTTATAATCACATCCAGTTATTCTCTGATCAAATGCTTTATATCGAGCCACGTGCGTCTGTTTTAATAAGTTTCTATAATCCCAAGAGGGTAATTTCTCATAAAATATTGACTGTCCGTATTTCATTTCATAGAACGTTGTCTCTGTGTTACCAATGTTTCTAGTCGGCCAATAATGTAAGATGAACTGGCGGATATTTGGATAGTTTTGATTGATATTAGCTTCAACAGCTAGCTCATTATTCTTCTCCAGATCGAAATGGCTCGTACACAATGCAAACACAAAATACGCCACACAAACAAAACTCACACAGATAACAAAAGGCAACTGTAAACGATTCTTTCTTGCTTGCATAATTTTTTTTCTGAACTAACACTACAAATTTTTTAAAACGTAACTTGCTTTGCAACAAAAATGGCGAGCATACCGTAAACAACGACACACTGTATATAACGAGGACGGTGTCAGGCTCATACTAAGTTGTTAGAGTTGTTTCCTTTGTTTTATAAATTGAATTGTGCAGGTAAAATTACCTTCTCACGTGCAGAACTTTCTTGTAGTTGCATTTACACTCTTCCAGACGTTGATAAAACTTAAGAACATTGACTTTCCTAATAAAACACTTATGTTCAATATGATGTCGGACCCCATTTTATTTAGCTATTTGAACAATTCAAATAATTATCAAATTTGTTGAAATATTTGTTGAAATAACTGCAACATGATTTTATTTTAATAAACTCCTTGTGACACTTGTTCGTCTCCATTATACAATACAGTTATACCAAAAACACTCTTTATTCCCTTCAATGCTTTAATTTGTAGTGTTTTTGTAAACATACTTTTTTCTATGCACGAAATTGTCATATTCTTGTCGTAAAATTTCTTGTACAACAATTCCACATTTTGTTGATTACATAATTCAATTTTAGTCTGGATATCTTCAACTGAAGAAAACAACATTTATTTTACTGCTCATTTTATGTGGAAATCTCCTTAGCTACCACGTATCAGATCACAATAATTGTTTTTATCCGGGATTATCCATAATTTCTTAGCGTACTAAAAATATCCAATATCTAGTATAAATATTACTTGTTGAGAAGACATTGTGGACAGCCCGATCTCCGCTTCTTCTGATATATTTTTTATAAGAATCCGTTAAAATATTACCATATATCTCCTCCAGTATTGTGCATTCACATTCCATTAAGTACCGAATGGATACTTCCTCTCTTTATAAACTTTTAGAACATCATTAATGGTCCAAGCAAATTCAATTATTGCACACACACACACACAAGCATTAGGCTGGTATAGGCATTATTTTCTCTTGTTGCTTTTGGTGTTACAGCTGTCTTGTATTATTGGATGAAATATAGAGTGGCAATTGCGGTCCCCTTGACAGTTATAGTTATTGGATATCAGCGGGATAGCGTGATGAGTCTGCATCATCCTTCTATAACATAACAGATAGTCAATACGCAGACGACTCCCTAATGACCGCTTTCCTCCTTTTGTTGTGACTTGCAGAAGTCAAATTTTATTCTTCCAGATGTTGAGTATATACAATGTATTTATTTACATCCTTATTTTTTTTTCTCATATGTAATTCTCAAAACTTAAATTTATGAAAAAATCTCAATATCTTGACATGGATGTTAATATATGAAACAATCACAATATCTTGACATAATTTCATTTTAACCATGGCATATCATTGGTTTTGATAAAACTTGATCTCAACTCTAAATTCCATGCAAGGCACCAGGATTTCGGTCAATACAAATATAATACAGGCTTTATTAGGATTTATTTTAACAATATATGCCTTCCTCAGGTAAACTCCAAAACTACATAGATGAGAGATATAATTCAGACAAACTTTTTTTCAAATATCTAAGTTATTGCTTAAAATTCTAAATAGGTACTGGTGACGTTGGTAAAGCATGTGAATTATAGATTTTCGTGCATTCCAAATCTATTCGGTTACGATCAACAAAAAAGATGTTCTGAAGAAACATTTTTTAAAAAATAAACCATGGGAGAGGCAATTTTGACAAATCTTTAATACCACTTATTCATGGCCATGTTACACACATCTAAATACAAGGTATTGTGGTTTTTTGACAAGCATATTTCTTTCCTATTAAATGCGCACACCATTGTATTTACAGAAGATCTTTAATATGTTTGTTCGGGTAAAATTAAGCAACCCATAGTTTGGGTAAATTTTAGACCCCGAGTCTAAATTTTAATACTATTATAGTCTTTATACGACATGTGCTTACCTTTTTCCAGATAAGACGTATTTTTATGATTTTCTTACATAGACATATTGCTTTTTTTCAAATGATGAAAAGACGAGTCAAACTTGATGTCATAACCTTGGTAAATGTTACAAAGATAGTGACAAATGTAATATATCTAAGTCTGTTCTTCAGAAGCTTTTTTGAGATATCGATATCAAAACAATAGATCTGACATTGTTTCAAAGGCCCATTATGCATAGAAAAGGCTATTATTTTTTTATTTCTTAAACATTTTTTAAGGCACATTATATGTATTAGAAACGAATAAATTGTTCCTTCTTAGAAATGGCAAAGAAGAATTTATATTATTGTAGTACATGTATTTTCTTTTGGTTAGATCATGACAGAGTGATGCATTGTAAATCTTTATACAAATAAAGAGATATTTGGCGCGTCTTTACACTGTTTGTATAACGCTAATGACGTCACGTCAAAATATATGCACGGCCGTGCAATACCATATTTACGGAGTCGCAAAATCGGCACGGGTGTGTGATAAATATTGTTATTTTTGTCTGCACATGCTACATGCGTCGTGTCATAAAACCTCAGTGGAGTCCTTTCGATATACGGTCCCGTACGTTTCCGTACTTTCAGTTTCCCGTATTTAACCCTTATGTTTATAATATATGGAATTCTGTACACTTCCGTATTTCCATTTATGTTCCGCAGTGGTCATAATGGCGTTAGATGCCGTTTAGTGGAAATTTAACTCATGGCAATCTTTCACTGACAAACAAAATAACGAAACCAAAGTGATAGCGTGACTTTTATCCAAGGGGGGGGGGGGGTTGAGTAACCTACTGTCTTTTCATATCAATTTCATCAGGTGAGGCTGATATGGGCTAGAAAGGGGCGAGGCTTGCCGAGCCATCCCGAACCTGATAACACACCGTACAATCAAATGGGTAGACAACCGTAGCCTACTAGTATATAAACATGTCGGTATAAATACATAATTGACGGACGGTAAGTATTTATCTATTTTAACATATCTCAACTGTGTTCGAATAAATCAATATGTTATGGATTCATAGTCAACATCTAGAGGAGTCTGTTAACAAGTTTCTGGCACTGTGCAAGTTTTACTTTACGTGAATTTTTGATTGAAGATAATCACACTTTCTGAATCATTTTTTTAAAAGTCAGAAAAAATTTGATGGATATCGTTAGCATAACGTCCATTAGAAAGTACTATTAGTTAATATATATTTTAAATGAACAAAAAAGCTTTACTCCCTCCTAGTTACTATAGCACAAAAGTACGGAATACCGTTAGGGCCATCGTGGTTATACGTTAACATACAGAGGGCGACAATGCGAGAGTGCGACAATGCGATGACGAGAGTGCGACAGTGCGATGACGAGATAGCGACAATGCGATGACGAGAGTGCGACATGCGATGACGAGAGTGCGATAACGCGATAGTACGATGACGACAGAGCGATAGTGTTATCGCACTGTCGCCATCGCATTGTCGCACTCTCGTCATCGCACTGTCGCACTCTCGTCATCGCGTTATCGCACTGTCGACTCTCGCCTTTTGGTGGACGGTTCTAAACTGCTGGCGAATAAGCTGACGGTATAGAATATGGGATAATTTTACTTTTGTCATCTTTTTTCTTTTTGTTCTGTTTCTTTTTATTATTTATTTGTTGTTTTTTTTTCTGTATACTAATAATGTTTAAATGAAATCATAAATTAATAATAAGAATCATTTTGTATATAAATACTGAAAGAGTTATACATAGACGGAAAATGTAATAAATTGTGTGAAACTTTAATATCCTCAGATGAAAATGATCTTATGTTGACATTTAAAAGATGAAAAAATAAATAAAATCATTGTTTATTACTTTTATTAAAAAGACAAACGAAATATATTCATAGATCGTCATCAGTGGTTTTATTTTTTGTAAATGAATAATTTATTATATTACTAACATTGTAAATAAAGATACATGTAATTAGAAATTTACGTCAACAAATAATTTTTTCTATATATCTAATATTAATTGGTCAACAATTTTCACTTTAAGATTAACTTAACAGCAGATCCTACTACAATGTATAAGTTTAATTGGTCAGCATATTGTACTATAGCCAACTGACTCCGCTGGTGGACATAGTGAGACAATGTGCTTCAATGTTGAAAAACACATCTATCCATTAAATTTAATGCGAAAAAATTCTTACTGTTTAGTTTTGTTGTTTTTTGTTGTTGTTGTTCTTTTAGGGAAACATGCAAAATTCGAATTACCAACTACCTGCCGGTAGATAGTGGGGAATTAATAAGAATAACCAACTACCAGCTGGTGTAGTAGTTTATTCGAATATCAAACTACCAACTACCTATCAAATTGACGCTTCTTTAGATTTTTATCAATATCTAAGATCGAGCCATTTTTGGTGCTTGGTGAACATAGCGCTTTTATATTTCTTAAAGATAGTAAATAAATATGATTAAATAAAAAAAAAAAGAAATATAAAAGATAAGTATACTAGATTTCTGTGTCCACTTGTTTTATATATAGCCAAAGTGATTTAGCTCAACCTTGAGAAACTGCTTATGGACAGAGGAAAATGATATTTACAGTGAAGTTTTAATTTATTTTGCAATGTTAGTAAAAATTGGTTTATGGTTTATGCCATATTTTCTTCTTATACTATATGGTCAGCAGACTTAACTTACGGTGCTTTAGGTACACATGTATACTAGAATCTGCTGACCAAGTAACCCATTCCCGCATAAGCATTTTGTGAAAAATGGCTGTTTACATTGAACCCCCCCCCCCCCTGTTACACAAGTTCAAATTGCTATGAAACTATAATGTCGGTTGTTCTACTCAGGTACCCGTGCCTAAAATAATGCAACGGAAGGGCACCTGAGGTCTTCATTCACCAGTAAAGCTGGAACGTCGGTTTACTAAGCCATAGCATTTGTATCTTGATTTCCTGTTACCATGACAACTAGGGGACATTTCAAAATCTCTATGTTGTGTTATTTTTTCCATCAAAGCTGCAAATTCCCGATGGGTCGGGACAGATTGAAGGGCTTTCAGCGTTGGTTACACGTTACCTTAAGATCGACCTGATGCATTTTTGAGCCTCTCACAATTTTATTTTTTTCTTGGAGTTGAGAGGGACGGCAGTCACCCTTCAAACCCCCGTGCAGAAGAGGGTACCCCCTCTCTTGCACCCCGATGTATCTTATAAATAGGGCATGGTTTTCACTATTTGAGGCATCAAAAGGGAGGGTGAAAAGGCGTGAAAACACGTCTATATGAGGTAAAAGGTAAAACATATATAACAAGAGCACCGCTAGGCGGAACATTATATGCCCTAAAGTCCTTTTTAGTAAGGATGAAACATTTGTAAGACATTACATGAATTAAATAAAGTATTACCTCTTTCAAACAGCAATCCTCCAATAAAGTTTGACTATTGTTGGCCAAATGGAACTTAAGTTATACTCTGGAAACTGTTTTCATTTTTGAGGTAAAGGTGACCTTGAACTTTGACCTTGTGACCCCAAAATCAAAAGGGGTCTTCTACTCAATATGGACAATCATCCTATGAAGTTTGAACACTATGGGCCAAATAGAAATTAAATTGACAAATTATCCCATATTCTATACCGTCAGCTTATTCGCCAGCAGTTTAGAACCGTCCACCAGAAGGCGATAGTCGAGAGTGCGACAGTGCGATGACGAGAGTGCGACAATGCGATGACGAGAGTGCGACAGTGCGATGACGAGAGTGCGACAATGCGAGAGTGCGACAGTGCGATGGCGAGAGTGCGACAACGAGAGTGCGATGACGAGAGTGTGCGACAATGCGAGACTGTGACAGTGCGATGGCGAGAGTGCGACAATGCGATGGCGAGTGTGCGACAATACGATGACGAGAGTGCGAGAGTGCGATGACGAGAGTGCGACAATACGACAATGCGATGACAGTGCGATGACGAGGGTGCGACAATGCGATGGCGACAGTGCGATAACAGTACTGCTCTGTCGTCATCGTACTCTCGCATTGTTGAACTCTCGTCATCGCACTGTCGCACTCTCGCCATCGCACTGTCGCATTCTCGTCATCGCACTGTCGCATTGTCGTCATCGCACTGTCGCACTCTCGCATTGTCGCCCTCTGTATTTTAACGTATAACCACGATGGCCCTAACGGTATTCCGTACAAAAGCCCTACAATTGTTTCGTTGAACGGTTTTCAGCGTTATTCATTCTTGCTGATGAGTGGATGTCGATTTTATCATTTAGGTATGACCCACCTAATGCATTACCTCCACTTTGAAGAGTACTCAAATAGGCTAGAACTACTGTCAACTGCATTGAAACTGAGGGGCGCGGGTTCAAGCCCCAAGAAGAGGCAACTTTTTTTGTTTCTTTTTTTTTTTCTTTGAACATTATTTGTGTCTCTCAGATCGCTCTTGATAAGAAAAAAGTGTTTCATTTTAATTATTATTGGTATTTATTGGCTAAATTGTGTCAAATTTATTATCAAATATGGTACCTTGTATTTTCAAAGTCTAATAAAATAAAAACTAGATGGTAAAAGTATTTTATATTTGACAAGCGCAACCAATATACCTTTTAGAAAATTTATGCACTCTTTGAAAACAGCCCCTGATTTGAGTAAATTTTAGGGATATTTTGAATAAGGCCCTCCAAGTAGAAAAATGAACAAACAACTTCTTAAAGTGGATGGGGTAGGGTAACATTTATATACATATTACAAACATTTTGAGTAGAAACAATAATTTTGCTGGGTCATTTGTTAGCTGAATGCTATTATTTGTTTCTTAAAAAAAAATTATAGGAAAACATTAGTTCATAATGATTATAAAATAGAATAATTAGAGTTTCCCATTTCTGAAAAAGAGCCCTTCTAATAGCCAAGTTTTACTTTAGAAAAATCTCCATAACTCGTAAACCATACGGTAAACTTTGTTTAAATTTTGCATTCTTGTGTCTTTTAAGGTATATAACTGACCTATGTTGTCAATTTTATAGTTCCTTATAGTGCCCATTATGGGGCTCATTCCTTAAATAGAGGCAAACGGTTGATGACGTTACTCAAATTTTTAAGACATTCAAACTCAAATACACTATAATTATATCTTTAAGAGAAAATCGTTTTACTTTGTCTGCCTTTTGTTCTTCTAAATTTCTATTTCCTATTTCTTTTTATTTCATTTCATTTTTGTTCCTTTCTTAATAAAGAAACCAACTACATGTAACGCGTTTTCTTTTAAAATTTTATTTAACAATTTAACAATCAAACTATTTAACACACTACGATTGCGGAATATTAAAAATTGAATATATGGATCAATATACACATGTATAACACATTTCATTTCATTGTATTATTTACATTTCTGATAATGCTTTTTCATGATGTTTGACATTTCCCCAAACTTAACACAACTGCATATCAATCCGTGTACAAAACCTATTTGTAACTATTTGAAACAAAACTAGTCAAATAAGAAAAAGATACATATCATTCAAATGTAATGGTACCAAACCATGTTACGAGCATGAGACAAAACTGACACGGACGCTCGGCCTACTGCGCTATCAAGGCACAAGAATTTTACTTTGTATCTTATTTATTATGCTTCAGTCTGCCTTACTATTTTTCGCATTGTTATTAATATTTATGCTCAATTTATTGTCCCTGCAAAAATGCCCCCTGGTTAATATTTGAAAACAAAGCGTGAAAAATATCTCCAATATTTAATGCATATAAAACGTTTTTGAAACGTTCAGGTTTTGCAAAATTAAAATAATTCTATTATATACATATAATGAATAGTAGAAAAAACTTTAAAGTCAGAATTTTCCAAGAAGTTAAATATGATCCGTTTAAAATTTCATAGCGGACTTGGAAAGGCGTTAACTGGTTTGTATTAATATTGTTGTATATAAACCAATTCAAGACATATCTGTAAAAAATAGCCTCCTTATCAGAAACAATAAGGCAATGGCATATATTTTTGAGTCTGCCTTTTAAAGGGCGGAGAACTCTTTGGCACGTATTCAGAAACGATACTTAATCTCAATCTCAAAGGTCTGGAGTAGACTTACGGTAAGTAACACACAACGTGCAAAGTGGTTTTCATTAAGATGATTTTGTTTACTCAACCATACCTCTCCGATCGGTTTTTATTGCATAACATCACTCAATATACACTGCACAAGTGTAACCATGTGGTGTAAAAGAGTGTATTTCACCGAAGTGAATTTTTTTAAAAAAAGAATTAATCTATCCACGGATGATGACAGAATTGTTGACCGGATACGACCATCAATATACTTTATAAAATACAGCCTTTCCAGAACCTTAATTCACATTTTACCTGGCTACAAAATTGGGTCTGGCATGCGACACATCATCTCAGTGTGCAAATAGTTCAGCAAAAATATATTTAAAAAAAACTATTTACTAACAGAGCTTTTCAAATTTGGAAGACCGCGGTAAAACTTATTTTTCTTTAAACTTAACGAAATCAACAAAAAAAAACGAAAGTGAAAGACACATTTTGTCTCGGAAACGGATACATTTTTATTCCTTTAGAAAGTGCAAACATGAGTTATTTTACTTGTGAATATTGGTTTGAGGGCATGTTAGATTATTCTAACCTGAAGAATGTATCGATAAATGTGAAATTATTTGTTATAAAAGTGGCAAAATGTAAACACAGAAGTATTTTGACATCCGTACAATACACACAATCACTTTAATGTAATAAATGCAAAAAAGTTACAAATGCAAATAAATGGTTATGTGATTGGCCAATGAGAAACTTTTGAAAACTATAAAAGTACACCAAAAATAAAAAAAAGCTTTTGAGAAATAAAAATAAAAGCATTTCTGAGGCACAATATGGACCTTTAAGAGAAGTTTTGAATCATACATGATTTTTTTTATTTATCATCATCTGTTAATTGTGTGCATATTTCACCTTTTATATCCTTATTGCTATTTTTTTTTCTTATATATTGTCCAGATAAAGGACCTAAAGAATAGATTTCAAGAATGTTTTAAAAAAGTACGCTTATCATAATATAATATCAACAATGACATTAACTAAGTTAAAGTTCACACAATAATGAAATCTGGAAACAAAGTGATCCCTCGGAAGCATTAATCACAGCAAAATTACAAGAGAATTGCAGACTCGGTTTGATTATATGTCTGTACATGAGGGATAATGAATACGTGCAACATCCCTCACGCTCCCTAGCACCGGCTTGAGCGGTACTCAATTCTCAACACTTAATAGTGCTGGCATCAATGATCCCAAAGGACCAGAAAAATATAACAACACTGAAGTGAAGTACGGGACAACCTTTTACAGCTGCCACACAGCACTTGACACCTTCTGTTGTGAAGTATAAAAATCTGGAAAGAAAGTGATCCCTCAAAAGCATTAATCACAACAAAATTACAAGAGAATTGCAGACTCGGTTTGATTGAGTCTGTACATGAGGGATAATGAATACGTGCAACATCCCTCACGCTCCCTAGCACCGGCTTGAGCGGTACTCAATTCTCAACACTTAATAGTGCTGGCATCAATGGTCCAAAAGGACCAGAAAAATATAACCACACTGAAGTGAAGTGCGGGGCAACATTTTACAGCTGCCATGAAGTGTCATATGCAGACAGTCCTCCCCGTTTAGACGGACCCGTTAAATACCGGAAAACGGAAACCATTTATTAGTAGGTATGATATTTAGTGGTGTTTAACTTTTTTACGGAAAATTCCGAATAACAAATTTGTATTATTTTTTGTTGTTTATTATTTGAATATTATTCTAGACTTTTACCTTTACTACTAATTACAAAAGATATTGTTTTAATATCTCATTATTATAAAATAAATAAGTTAAAGATTCTGGATAACAACATTTCCGGTACATGACGTCACCGGAAATAGAAAGAAAGTTATTCATCGATTCGGGAGAGGTTTAATGACCCGATTATTTCACAAACAATGACTGTTTCATTGCCATCCTTTAAGTAAAGTGTATCGGATATTTGAAGAAATATCTTGGACAATCTCAAAATATTTTAGTAAATATGAACGGGCTTTCAATAAGCGAACTGTGTTGTCTGTTTTGCTGTCCACCATGTCCATCAAAAATAGCAGCAAAGCTGGCATTTCTCCCACCAGAACCAACATATTCCTTAGTCCAGGATGAAGCTGGATCACGGTACAGCTTTCATCTCACAGATAGAGCAGAATGGCAATATACCCAAAGAGAATTAGACTGTATAGAAGTGTTTCAGACAAGAACATCGAAAGGAAATAGGATTTCGTGTATGTTTGCAAGATGTTCACCAAATGCCAAGTTTACTATGTTATTCAGTCATGGCAATGCTGTTGATCTCGGACAAATGAGCAGCTTTTATATTGGACTTGGAAGCCGTATAAATTGTAATATATTTAGCTTTGATTATTCAGGTTATGGTACAAGTACAGGAAAACCTTCGGAGAAAAATCTCTATGCAGATATAGATGCTGCTTGGCAAGCTTTACGGACTAGATATGGCATAAGCCCACAAAATATAATTCTTTATGGACAAAGTATAGGGACAGTGCCAACAGTTGATTTAGCATCCCGTTATGAAGTAGCAGCAGTTGTGCTGCATTCACCACTTATGTCTGGTATGAGGGTTGCTTTTCCAGAAACAAAGAGGACCTGGTTTTTTGATGCCTTCCCAAGGTATGATATTATGTCATAGCTATGCCCCAGGGAGGGGTTTCTCATTTTATAAGTGGCCGGGAAATGAAAAGATTATAGATTGGTTACAAGTAAATTTACTTTTGTGACATTCTTCTTCTGCCCCAGTTCTCTACAGTGTACTTTGAAATAGTTGTCGGAACTTGTCCAGGATAACCGGTGTAACGTTTTAAGGCACACAAACCCTGTCGGTGAAAAGCTAGCTGACCACCGAGAGTGGTTAAATTTATGTCCTTATATATTGGATACTTTCCTATAATTATGTTTATTAATCAACATTAGTTTTTGCATATTGTAATGCTCATTATGGGTATTATGACGTTCTACCAACGTCGTTACATTACTTTCCCCTCCGAGACTTGGCCTGGGAAATCTGTGGGTACGGCAAACCCTGTCTGGCAGTTGGGCCATCCTTAAAAAAATGTTGTCTACATCCCCCAGAATATCAGAGATTTTGCAGTGTCTGACTTCCAAATTTTGGAACTTAGTGGAAGCCCTGTCCCCCACACTGGCCACAAAATGTAACGTTTTAAGGCACACAAACCCTGTCGGTGAAAAGCTAGCTCACCACCGAGAGTGGTTTATGCCCCTTTATATTGGATACTTTCCTATAATTATGTAAATTAATAAACTTTAGTTTTTGCTAGTGTTGTCCCGATTGTCTCTGAAAATCGATAACTAATCGGACCACACCATAATCGGCAACAATCGATAGTCCTTTTTAAAAATCGATTATTTAATGTTCTACCACCCCTGAATTGCCTATGGCGTAACTTTTTTACATGCAGTCAAAAAGAAGTTTCCCGACCGAATCTCTTTAATTCCAGACAATTTTAAAGTATTTTTTGTATTCAAAACCTATTTTACATGGTTAATACTACTTTAGTAAATTATAGTTTGCAGTATCATAACATTATAAATTTATATATCTACTGTAGTTAAATTAGTGATCTTCAATACTACTCATTGATATTTTGACCTGTTGACTAGTACTAATATTGACTGCCATAAAGTTGTATATTACAAAAATTGACTGTCACAAAGTAGTATATTGAGGTATTTGTGTTGTTTGTTTTGAATTCAAAGAGCAAATTAAACTAAAGAAAAAAGGGCCATTATAAGTGCGAACTTGATGGTACTATCGGCAGACAATCGATTGTGGTGGTCCGATTATCGATAGTGATTTTTGAGTCCGATACCCAACACTAGTTTTTGCATATTGTAATGCTCATTATGGGTATTTTGACGTTCTACCAACGTCATTAAACCGACATGTAAATTATAATTTACAGTCTAAGCAAAATAGTTTTCCCAAAATTAGTACAAACTTGTGTATTTCAACTGAGAAAGTTTTTTTCATTCATAGAATGACTCTTCCAACCTTTCAGCTCTTTAACGACATTCAACTTAAATATGTTTTTTTGTTTCAGTTTCTTTTTTATTCTTAAGTTTATTTTTATTAAGTTTAAATATTTTAACATGAGTCTAGTCAGCTATAGCCTCTCTCAATTTCCAAATTTCACCATGGGTAGCAAGAAAAAGACAGACAGGTCGTATCAACCATTAGGGGAACCTAAAATATGAAAGTGAATTGGACCAACACATACTGACCATTAATTAGTGATTTAAATAGACCAAAAGTGATAAACATGAATCAACAGAACAAAGCTCAATTTAGCTGTCTTTCAATTTTATGGTTAAAATATTTATGTTGGGCTATAGGATTTATAGAGCCCTGCTGATTTCTATTTTATAAATATTCAATTAATTGTGGTAACTGTAAAAAAATATTTTGTTGTACTTGGGGGTGGGGGAAACCCACAATTGCAGGGTTTTTAAAGCACTAATTAGAGTCAATCATGGCCTGAATACAGCTAGTGGTTAATCCTTTTTTACATATTGCATTAGGGCATTAAACCACAGAAAATAAACAATCTTAATTGATCTAAATTAATGTCCATAATTGTTAGTTGATAGGGGCAAGGTCATTTAGATTACCAATCAAAGGATTAGTGTCAACATTTTCTGTGTATTTCCAGAATCATTGATATAAACTACATCTCTGGTATTTCTAAACTGTCTATGAACAATCCTTTTGATATCAGCATTTATTTTATAAGAACAATTAATAATATTAATTATTTGAAAATAAATTGCCTGATGGCAAAGAATTGTTATAGTTCTTACTGCAAATATGCCTATTATATTCTTAAAGGGATGACATTATTATGTCTATATGAAGTATTAGAAATCATAGCTATCACAGATTTGTGATTTTATGTTGAAATGGATGCTGAAATGGACATTTGCCCCCTTATTTTGCAGCGGTGATCATTTGTCCCCTTGTATATTTGGAAGGTCGGACATTTGCCCGCCTAAATTTTTTTTAAATTATTGAATTTTCAATCAGAACATGTATAATTAATTAGTTAACTTATTAAAATATGTAAAAATTTATGTTAAAAAGATTTGGTTATACACATAAGATGTATTTGTTTATAATTCTGATAATTGACATTTTCAGCATTGACAAAGTGCAAAAGATAACATCGCCTGTGCTTGTAATTCATGGAACAGAAGATGAAGTGATAGACTTTTCTCATGGACTAGCTATACATGAGAGATGTCCCAGAACTGTAGAACCTCTCTGGGTAGAGGGTGCTGGTCACAATGATGTAGAACTTTACGGACAATATCTGGAGCGACTAAAACAGTTTATCAGTGTGGATCTAGCCATGAATTGACGTGAGGAGCAGGAAGTAGACAAAGACAGCTCAAATATAGCACATCTTGATGTAGTAACAGAGGTTGAAACTCTACTCTGAACAACATAAATTTGTAATATCAACTGTGGTAGATTTTAACATGGAAGTTTTATCTTGCTTTACTGGAAAAATTTAGAGTGAATACTCATCTGTAAAAAAATAAACTTTATAAGTCAAATTAAATTATTGTCAGCAATTATTTCAATTGCTTAAGTTACCTGTAGTTAAATACCAAAGTAGATTAGTTTGAATTAAAGTTAATATGAAAGAAATATAGTAAGTTTCATGGTAAAATGAAGGCATTTCCTTAGTTTAAAGGAAGGGAGATGCATATCGAGTCATGACAGGTGTCGTAAATAATTTGTTTTTTAATTACATTGTGTTTGCTTCTTATCTTGTTGGAAACGGTATTTAACAAAAGTACATGTGTAGTAAACAATCACATACATGTAGTGATCCCACCTCATTTATACTATTTCATAAGATTTTGGCCTAATTCACTGGTCTGATATTTTATCTCACATAGATAAGACATTTTTTTCTGTCTTCACTGAGTTTCAGATAAAAAGGTCATACTAAATGGCTTGCAATATTGATAAAGTTATCTTTTTTTACTGATGACATTCAATTGATATTTTCAAAAACATATTTGAGTTTTTCAAAAAAAGTAAAAAATCCAGACACTTACGGTAATCAGACCAAATTTTTGTTTATTGTTTTTTGTGTTTAACAACATTTAAAATGCCTTACCATAATCATAATGTTTTAGCTTTACTTGAAGTACAGTTAAAATTTGAAGTATTTAACTACAGCTTAATAATGATTGTGTGATCTTTTGTTTAGATTTTTATTTTCGGTTGTTTTAAAAAAAGTGCATTTAATGGGGCATGATAATGTACAAAGTAATTTTGGGTATGAAGTGTGTTAAATTTTTCATTATTTTTATCATCTTGGATAGACGTGTATATTAATGATGTGATGGGTGGGGGGAGATTCTGTAAAGACTAAAGTAAAGGCAATGTAAAGACTCAAGACAAACTTGCTTGTCGTGATGATAGAAAGTTCTATATTACATTATATGTATCATGTAAGTCCAGTTTGTTGGTGTGCAAGACTTAAGAAGAACTTGATTGCCTTGATGATGAATAGTTCTATAATATTAAAGTCCAGTTTGTTGGCATTATATTAATAATAGGGTTGGAGAAGTGTGTAAATGCCTAGAACAGTTGATTTGTTTGTTATGATTAATAGTAGTTTGTAGTTACAGAAATTGATTTTTCTTTTATTGTTTACATTTAATGAAATACCTTTGTATTTGATAATGAATTATTTTTGAATAGATACATGTAGGTTTCTGTATAGGTCCATTGAAAAGTTTTTGCATATTTACCATATTGATTTTAAATTTTTATGTCCCATTTACATGTAAATGATTTATATTTGAGATAATACAATAATAATTTAAAATGTTATTTTGGGAACAACAATAACAACAATATTCCAACATATTTATTCAATAACAAAATAAAGAAGTCAATTTGTAGTGCTATCTTGACAAAAGTTAACTTTATAGATTGTTTTCTAAATAATCTCTGGTCATGAAATTTTGATATTTCATTAATTAACGAGATGTTGATAAGTTAGCTGAAACTGTATACTTCATTTTGCTCTTCATACTGATTTAGACTTCTTTTTACCACCATTATTTGTTAGTTCTACCCAATCATTGCTGATATGTAGTGAATATATGTATTAACAATGGCACCAAATTATATTTGTACAAGACCATTGCTAATTATCTGTCTGTTAATAGCTTATTTACATGTATGCACACTGGGGATATTTCATCACATTGCTGGATAATGAACAGTTGTGTTAGATTGTTAATGATGATTGTTATAACTATTGATTATAGGTGAACAAGTATGGTATAATATTAATATGATATACATGGCGGTTTTTATCATTTTCTGGCAAGAAAAATAACTCTTTTCACCTTGTTAGTCAAGCCACTACATATATTCCATATTTGCATTTAAGCATAAAACACAACATATTTTTGTTGTCTTAACATTTATCTATATTGTTGTTGATTAACCAACATACTAAATTATTAAACAAATGGGAACATATATCAACTTGATTCAGAATAATTATGTTTCTTTTGTCATCAGGGCTCTCAGTAGGGTCAGAATTTCACGAGTCAAAGACTCTTTGGCTAAAATTTTCATGAGTCAAATAATTTTTTTCTAGTGTCATTTGACTACATGAATCATTTTTATTTTACAAAAATAACTGTATTGGAGGTCATTTTTGGAGATTCCAAAGTCTAAATTGACAGAAAAAAATGCCTAATTATAAATGTCTATACCCCCTCCACCTAAAAAACAAACAAAAAACAAATAAAACAAAAACATGAATTGCTGTGAAAGAATAAAATAAGCAGCAGCTTTTCTGATTAAATGTAAAAAATATAAAAAAAATATCTTTACTGGTATGATATATCATATAAATTTTAAATACCAAAATGTACCATAACAAATGCACAGGTACTCCAAGTAAATCAAAGACGTATTATAACCCTTTAAAAGCAATCAATAATTGACACCTCAAGTATGTAATTCTTATCAGTTGTGTAGAGCTATTTTTAGCCTGTCAAATTGCAGCCACTGAATTGTCACGCTTCAGTGCACATGGTATAAACAATTGCCGTGTGTAAAGCATTTTACACACAGCTTATACTGCCTGTTGACATTTTTTATGAGTGTGATTTGAACACATGTAGGATTTGATAATTAGGGGTGGATTTAAGGTAATTATTATTGCATAGCTGAAAATCCCATGTGGCAAATTGACTCTTGAGCAGATTTTATCACGTGTCAAATATGTGCATTTCCCGATTTTCACGAGTCAAAACCCGGATCCCCGTGTCAATCGAGAGCCCTGGTCATTATCAACATTTATAAGTTTTGATTTCTTCTAACATATGTTTAATAAGTAAGTTTTTATGTACATAAGTGTTAATACCCTACTTTAAAGATTTAAATTAGAAGTGTGTTCATTTTCTCATGAAACTAAAGTCGAATGTTTAGTGTAACTTCCTGAGACATAAGTGAACACTGATGTCTAAGTATAGGTTAAAGTTTATTAGTACGTCTTTACAAAATTAAATTGGTCAGGCATGGCACAGCCACCACCTTAGTGTTTTAAATTATTTTTATAAACAGTCGATTTACTAGACTGATTAACAGGTTGCCGATTTACTAAAGTAAATGTGTTACGATTCATTTGAAGTACTGCAATCCTATTGGACGAAAAATAATTTCAAACACTAATAATTGGTACTATCTGCATATAAAATACCACTGGAAAATATGACAATTTGTAAGAGAAAGTTGATTAGTGTTCCTATACATATTCTTTATAAAGATGACAGAATAAACAATTTTTTCCATGACAAATTATCCCATGAGGTATGACATGTATATGTATGTACAGTTAATTAGTCTCAATTGAGAAGTTCGGGAACATATCTAAAATAAACTATAGAACTGTACACAATACATGTTGTGTTGATATCAGAGAGCTGTTTTTGTCGATTTCCTGCAGGAGGCCAGGTTCAAATATTTGTACAGATTATTATTATTGTTATTTCCCTATTTTTGATTCAACATTATTTGGTCGATTATAGTACTTAATCATACGTTTCGTGTTTAATTGAGTGGTAGCATTTACATTGTTGTACAACTTTGTTGCTTATGTTTTTGGTCTGTGTAATGTATATAATAGTGTTTTAAATTGATACCATATACTATATGTTTTGTATTTTTTTGAGATGATTTAAAAAATCATATCAAATTAAATAATTCAAATTAACAAAAAAAAAAAATGATTCTTACATGTTTACATTTAGTTGTTTCTAAAAAGAGTGATTTGTCACATGATTTATGTGTTACTTTATATATTTGTTATAGATTAGGAAGAATATTTGATGGTTCGCCTTTTAGTGGACCTGTATTTTTAGTGTTTATTCAATATTTTTAATTGTTAATTTAATTTAGAAGTCCTAAACTACATGAAAACTTTGGTCAGTAGTTGTTTAAATTGTTCAGTTATATAATGAAAAATATCTGTGAGATATAACTGATATCACACTGTTTGAAACAGAGTGAGATTTATAATTTTGGTTCCCATTCTACATATTTGAAGAAAAAGCAAAGAAGACATTATGAATACAGGTCTCATAATTAATGTCATGAATAAAGTCATATAAATAAGTGTAATTGGCTGCCAATTAAATTTTTCTCAAATTTAGGTCAATAGAAAACAATATTGCTTGTGTAAGAATTTAAGGTGGTTGTTTAAACTTATTCAGGAGCTGTGTTATATATTTATAACAGGAAAAAAAAAGTTGTACCTCGTACATATATAACTCATAATCAGAATATATGTTGTTTTTAGATCACTGGAGCTAAGTGCTTACAGGTTACTATTCTATTGGTTTGATGTCAGTTGTATATTGTGGGTTATGATCTACAATGTCTCCAAAAACCACTGCTAGGTTTTGATTAAACCTTACTGGACTGCTTCCAAAGTGACCCTCAACATAAAATATATAAATTTGTCCAATCAAAGGGAGATTAGAGGTATTTTGCTTAGACTTGTTAGGTAGGAAAACATATGAATCTTTATTAGGTATTTGGTCTATAGGTTACTTGTTTCATTGAATTGAGTTACAAAGTAACTTTTAAAAAATCTTGGGCATGGAATATTGATATTTGGCATGTAACATTGTCTGGTGCACCCTGTTGCAAAAGTTATACATATTCTGTGCGTAAAAAATGGCCATTTGTCCAGAACTACTTTTGTTACATAGACCTGTCAGATTGTGAAAAATAAGTAGTCAACTGCATTTTTTTGAAGAATAAGAGTACAGACCCCAGACCTGTTAGGAAATTAGAGAAAAAGTGTCAAAATCTGAATGTCCATTGACACACTTTACATTCAGTGTATGCAGATATTTTTGTATGAAATAACCTTCACATTGAATGACTGTGAACTTCATCAAGTGCTCTACTTCCAATCTTTTATGAAATGACCCTCAGACTTAGATCCATAGCAACCTTGTTTTGAATTTGTTGGTTTCAAAGTGCAAATTTGGTCCATTTGGACATATTAGTGCTCAATTTACAATTTGACTGTGAAAACTTTTAACATGACACTATGATGTACCCCAACAAGTTTAGAGTTTTGTTTACATGTAGCAAGAACTCTCCTTGTGTGAGCATTGCCTTGTTTTTTTCCTCAGAAGTCGGGGATGATTATAAAGAGTTCTTATAATGAAATATTATATAAATGTATTTACAATAAAAAAGATTTATATGCTCATAGAAAAACAGTTTTATATACTCCAGGCATGCTTTTTACTTCACCAAATTTATACTTTGGATTTCTATATGTGTTGAGCTTTTTGCAAAGAAAACTCTATTTGCCATTTTTTCTTTAGGCTAATTTCTTTAAGCAAAGTCTTACATGTTTACATGTTTGAGTTAAACTTTTGTTGTGAGTTGTTATGGTACAAAATGTATGCAGGAATACTTACATGTACTGAAGGTCAAGCATTTGTACAGATGAAAAGGCTTTAATGATTCTATAGCAATTATTTGTAAATGATTAGTGCAATATATGTATAGACAAGTTTGTTACCCACGTATATTTACTTAAAAGACAGAGCACACATGAGTTTTTGTTGTAATAAATTGAACTATTTTTATCTCTTATTTCTGTTACATATTGTACTTTGTGTTGAAAGTGTTGTATACTGTATGCTAGTTGATCTGATTATCAGCGTGAGTCGGCATGTCTCTTTTTCCTTCACTATAAATAAACTATACATGACTGTGATCTGGTGTTGTTAATTTTTGTTATCATCTCATATGTAACTGTGACAACTCTTGTCCACATTCATTATCATATAATGTCCATAACATTTAAAAGAAATGAAAATGCACACTATGTGGTCTTTTTTATTACTTGTTAAGTATATTGTATAATACTGTTCGCACAGTCAGTTACCTAAGTAACGTGTTTATCAGTTAACACTTATTTAGTAAAAAGAACTCGCACACTCACTACCAATACAAGAAGAGATTTCTTGCAACGAGTATGATAATGTTTTTAAATAATTTCAAATTTAATCTTGAAACAAACATCAAGAACAACCTGTGCAAATTATTTGCTTTGGCAGTTACTGAGTGTCGTAATAAATACAATAAGATGTCCACCCATGTGTGTATTCTATATTGAAGGAGGGTCCATCCATTATAAGGTACAAAAATAGCTTTTTCTTTCGAGAACGGACTCGGGGACTAGGTACATCCTTAAAGAGCACAAAGTGGTTATTTACCTCTCGTGAGTATGAGCCAAGAAGATGAATTTTGAGTCTTGGTCACCGAAACGGCCGATCGTTGTTATGCCACCGCAGCATCTGCGATGCGATGGCATATAGCGATTCACTAGTGTGTGTGTTTGTGTGTGTTATATAGATTATATAGTGAACTTAAAAAATCTTCTTGTGAAAAACCACTAGTTCAATTTCAACCAAACTTGACAGAATTGTTCCATGAGTGAACAGCTTTCAA